GGGAACCAGAGATTGTGCTGAAGGCCGAGACTTGGGACGACAAAAGGTACGAGAACTGGCCCGGCCAAGCATGTGAGAATGGAGACAGGTAGCACTGGGAGAGGTACTGGAAGATTTAAGGTTCGATTCGTCTCGTGTGGAATGCCAACCTTAACCTGACAGTTGGATCCGTCATCAAGCTGACGAGACTGGGTGATGACCAGGAAGGCAGAGAGCACAGAGGGCACAGAGAGCACAAAGAGCACAAAGAAACGCATTACTGTGATGGGAGGTAATACTGTACGGTTGAAGTGCTAGACCAGGGCAGGGCATATCAAGTCGGGGAAGCTTGGATACCGTACCTGCTTGCAGTCAGTACATCTATGACGCACCTACGGGATGTACCGGCCGAGGTACCAGCCTAGGCATGATACATACCTCTTCCCTGTGTGGGTGGAGCCCCGCTGTCCGTGCATCTTGTGAGCGGCTCGCGCCTCCCCTTTCTCTGGCTCTCTGGGCTGTCTGGCTGTCTGGCTGTCTGGTGGCAGCTGCAGCTGGACTCTCAGACTTCCTGGCACGCCTGGCTCCTGGCGCCGAGTGTGGAGCAACAAGGAAAGGCGCCCCACACCCAAGTGCGACCTGCCTGCACCTGCATGCTGCACTCTTCCTGCCATCCCACATCTACTCTCCCACCACCCTGCCACCCCATCCCGACTGCCCGACCAGACTACATGTCATCACTTCAGGTCAGCTCCTCTCGTCTTCCCTCGACTCCTCTCCTCTCCCCATCTCGTCGCACACCCCCCTGCCTTGCCATCGAGAGCACACCATCAACTTGCCCTGTCATGTCCGAGGAAGCCTATGGTGGGCAGTGTTCAAGGCCCAGTCCATTCGCTGCCAGCCTGCACTGCACTGCACGCACTCGTCGACAAACCTGCTCTGTTCGGCCCTCCTGACGCTGTCGGTGGCTTGTCTGGTCCTTGTCGACGGTTTGACCTCTTTCCTTGGTCCTCGAGGCCGAAGCATGGTTCGGACGGACAAACTTAGCTCGGTCTGCCAAGAATACGGACCAGAGCATCACATCTGACAGACTTTTAAGAGCTCTTTTGACAAGCATCTGCTATCTCTGGATTCAAGGTAGTGGGGACCAATGGGGCCACGATGGATCATCCCGCAGCCTGTGCGAGGAACAACGGCAACGCTGCGAGGCTAAATTATGCCTCTCCTCTCGGTGGAGAAATCCGTTGGGCCTCGTCCCCTGCTGGCCTCACAGCCGAGGCTGACGGCCAAACCCCAGGTCCTGCCATCTCCACCGTCGTATCTTAATTCGCAGGTTAAATCAGCGACACTGGCCTGCCAGCCCGCCGACTGGCCCCAAAGATCCAACAACCCCGGCGCCTGACGTGCTTGCCTTGTCAACTCTGTCCTCGCGCCCGGCCTCTGTGTCATTGCATTGCAGGCCAGGCTGTGGGCTGAGGTGGAGCTGGGCGGGACGGCTCTAGCTGTGGCTGCCAGGGGGGCCCGCGATTCAACTCGCGCGATCCATCATCACGGAGCCCGGCGTTGAAATAGAGTAGACTACAAGGTTAACTGGGCAGGGTCTCGTGAGGACCATGATCGGCACTTAGCATTTTCGCTAGCTTCCGGCGCGCTTTACCCATTACTGATCGAATCGCGAATCATTTGCCCATCAACCCCCGCTTTATCTTTCACAACTCATAAACACGAGATGTTCATCAGGCAAAATATCCCCGACGGTACAGGGCGTTGCCCTGTAGCAGACAACAGTTGACCAGACTTGCCCAGCCGCCAGCCAGCTTGCCTCAACAGAGGCACCATCGGGGTGGCGGCTACTTCGGGCCTAGTCGCATCGAGGGGAGGCAGGGGAGGCGCGCTACCACTCGCCTTCTGACACAGAGTCGTGCCGGGTTAGCTTGACTCGATGCCAACGCCAACGGCACTGATCAAGCCGGCGCGGATGCAACGGCCGCGATTGAGTCTGAAGCCATCTTCTGGAAGCCATCGAACATTCTTGGCAGGCGTCTTCCCGCACGTATTGACCAATGTCTGTTCAGCAAGTAGGGAGGGGAAAACCATCCTACACCGACGCCAGAACCGGCCAGACGTTTTGGAAATGACGGTCACAATCCTCCAGTAGTCGTTCGATCACGAACTCAGTAATCGCAGTTGATAGTATCTTGCTGCAGCAGGAATTGAGTTTCGGAATCCATGAAGCGACAGTCACAAATCTGCATGCAGCCAACAAGGTTGCCTGCATTCCGCTCGCAGTGCCTTCCGATCAATGCCCCAAAAGCTTGCTGTTCGTCGCCTATGAGCTTGATATCGGATGGCACTTTCAGGAACATTTGACGTCGATGCGAACAAGTCTATCCAGGTCTTTCAGGCGAGGTCTGAGCAGAATCACGGTGTAACTTTTCATCGGCAGGTAAGCCCAAGCAGATGGCAGCAATTCGCATCTAGGCCAAAATCGTGCGCGTCGGTGTGCCAGGCAGCGAGCTGATTTAGTCTCACTTTCATCCCCTATTCTGTGCGGCTACGACGAACTTCTGACAGCACGAAGCCCTCAACCTTGAGACAATGATCGTTGGCGCACCTATTCCCCTCCCTAGACTAGGAGGAAGCCGCCGCTCGCTTACAACTTCACTGGGCGGATGAGACCGGCAAAGCAGACGTTCGGTTAGACATGCACAACGACATCACAGTGTGGGAGGCCGCTCTGCCTCGTGGCTCTTTGTCTCACATGGGCGCTCACCGATGCTCGTGGTGGCCGCACGTTCAGAAACCCCAAATGCGTGCACCTCGATAGCCTGGGCAGATGAAGACACCCACCCTCTGGACCCACCGAAGAAAAGATTGACAGGTGGTCGGTGCTCTAATCCGGCTGATGTCGACTCACCAAATCGAGATCCACAGCATACGAGCATTATGAATGATGGCGATAAGCGACGGGGTTTGTGCACGGTGTTCTGTCTCCCACACAATGTCGGTTGGTGGCGGCGACAATCCGACTAAAACCTGACAGATGACGATGACGACAAATCGGCACCAAATATTACCGCCTATGGAAAAGGCTGCCAGCCACACAGCTGTGGCAGAGAGCAGGCGACTGAATGGTAGCCTTGCTAAACACCACGACCTCATAATCATGGTGACATATAGCATTATCATTGGGCGAAATTAGGGATGAAAGGTCCAAGGAGCTACCAGTCAGTCTGCTTGTGAGCGCGAACCCTTAGCCAGCCGACTCACGCGGTTCCTGGACGTTGCAGGTTTATCGTGGCTATTGATCCTGGGCTGGCCTTGCAGTAGGTGGGCGACCCCAAACGGTCTCTCTGCCGGGCTGCCTCTGGTAGGCTACCGCGGCCAAGGGTGATTTGCTCCCCTTTCTTGACCTCCCTACGCCGCACATTTAATTTGCCCTGGGGACAAGCACGAGAGTCTCAAGTTATCACCTCATCTCATGGCGTCCAATGTTTGAGGAGCAGAGCAAAGGTCTTCGCGATTTGAGGTCGGACCCCGGACCGTGAGGCAGAACGACAGCGAATTATTCTTAGGGACTACCCATCAGCTAATCTAACACGATTAGCTTTTCACCCCACTCTCTCCAGTTGTGTGCTGTATTTCGTCCGAACCTCACGAGTCTCGTCTCTTTGGGGGGCTCTGGGCGCTCCCGGCAATGGCCCAATCAGTGTCTGACAACTTGATCCTCCCGCGCCAATGTCGGTGTTGCCCTCTCTGTCTCTGTGCCTTTGCCGCAGGGATGCATCGCACCTTCTTCCCTCTAGCTGCAAATCAACAGGGACCTCGGCCGACTCCATTGGTGCGAGTCGAGATGCAAGACGGGGTGGACGCAGGTGCTGGTGGATTGGAGCAGTGCCCTGGCTGTCCACCCTTGTACCCACGGAGGCACCACCGCGTTCATTGTCCCCTAACCTAAATTCGACAGCCCCACTCCGAAGTACCTGCGTACCGACTATGGGCCCCTGTTCGCAGCTGCTCGTGCAGGACATCCTTGTCGCACCTCAACGCTCGTCACTCCCAGGGCAGCAGGGTTGCGACCAGAGGTTGCAAGGGTGGCCGTGGGCGCCTCCTGATCAGTGGCTTGTGAATCTGCCCTTGTGCTCTCTCTCCACTTCTCTTGCAGCATCGCCCATCCTCCGGCATCTCCCTGGATTGCCATCGAGCCCGCTGTCCTCGTGCTGCCCGCTTCATCCTACCGTGAGTACTGCTCGAGCATGGTCGAAGGGAGAGAGACACAACAAGATCTTACTCAGCCCTCTTCGGGCAAAGACATGCTGGCTGAGAATCAGCACCAGTTGTTTTCCTTCAGTCACCTGCTCAAGAGAGGTGATCTTCTCGTCTGTGTATCTTCGAGCCAGAAGCTGGAACGAGCCATATGCAGCACAACCCCCCGTGAGGTATCCCTCCGTCGCTCTACCATCCATCCTTCACTGTCCAGTCGCAAGTGCGAGAAGGCAACCAGGGCTCCTGGCCAGCCCCCATCATCTCAGGTGTCCCGCAAACCTTGGAACCCACACACACACCTTTGATCTCTTAGCCTTTCGCCTCCCGGCTACACTCACAGATGAACCCCTGCTTGATAAGTGACCCATGTTGTACCTCCAAGTAACCCCCCGGGATGTGGTCCACAATGGATGCGATTGATGCACACACACACACAGGGCCCTCTCCACGTCGAGATGCCTTATTACCGGCTGAGGGACCTCCATCTACCGCTTCATCGCCTTCTGGCTGACCTCGTTATATCCCACCTCACCTCGCCCTTCCCTACTCCTGGACTAAGTCTGCTGTAGCAAGCTTTTTCCATATTACTTTCCATTTACCCTTACCAGTCAACATCTGCCGGTGGCATCGACCTCTTCCTCCATCCCAAACTCAGCCGCATCTGTAGTGCTCTCAGACTCCCAAAAAGAACTGTGGCAACCTGCAGCGCTTCACCATCTTTGCATCTCTCTGTACTGTTTGAAGATCTTTGAACCATGACTGTACCTCTACCTACTCCGTCGAACCCCAAGGCCGACGCCGCCGCGGTTCGGAAAAGAAGAAGACGTGCTCCTGCTGGCGGAGCCGCTGATGACTGCTTCACCTGTACCAAGAGGAGCGTGAAGTGTGATCGAAGGAGACCATACTGCTCGCAGTGCTTAGAAGTGGGCAATGAGTGCTCCGGATACAAGACCCAGTTGACTTGGGGAGTCGGTGTGGCGAGCCGGGGAAAGCTTCGCGGACTCTCGCTACCAGTAGCGAAGTCGCCTCCTGTCAATTCAGTCAAGAAAGTGTCCCCGGCGAGGGCTCGGGCGAATTCGACCCTGATGAACGGGCAAGAACACGGGCTTGCGGCAAATGCTGGCCACTGGAATGAGCCAGAGCAGCTCTCACCACGAAGCACTCGAAGCGACGTTGTCGATGGCCCGGTAGACCCACGATATCCTTCTTCTATGCCTGCAACGCCATTTCACAGTTACGACTTTTCCAAAATCTGTCACGCCGAGCCAACACCGCCTTTACCGGCAGGGCCTGCTCATTGGCATAATATGCCCTTTTCGGCCGGTCTGCCTCGAGAGGGACCACGGTTTCCCAAGTTGGGTCCCATTCTGGCACATGGTCCCCCCGAGCCACTCTCCGCCTCTATCGATTCCCTGAGCGAGGCCGACTACTTGTCGCCCCTCAGCCATACTTTCTCCAGGGACGACCTGCCCTTCGTCACCAGCCCGCCTCACATGTACGCCGAGAGCTACAACAGCGCCAACTCGCCTATTCCCCAAAGCCCAATTTCGTCTGTGATGATGGATCATCAACATCAACGGGCACCTACATCATGTCCTAGCCTTGTGTACGCTCCATCCGAGCCAAGTTCAAGCCTCCACTCACATCTGGATGGTTTTGAGGCTCACATAAGCAATCGTCTGATGGAGTACGAACCACTTGGTGAGATATTATTCGCGTCACAATTCGCCTTCTAAAATCAGCGGGACTAATGCCCACATTTTCAGCGACCCCTGGGTTGGACGCGTACAGCACCAGCGCCCAATCTGAAAGGCACTTTTGGGGGAAGTCAGCGGAGGAGGATGGCGCGTCCTCTCACCTTGTTCAGGATCAGTCACTCCCTTGGCCGTCAGTACTCGATCAGCCTGTGCTTCCAGTAAGCCCTGATCTTATCGCCAAAATGCCATTCTTCATGGACTATTACGAGAATACCATGTGCCCGGGCATGGTCTTCATAGATGGGCCTTCGAATCCCTTCCGGGAACACATACTTTCGCTCGCCACCGCCAGCCGAAGCCTGCAGCATGCCATTTGCGCTCTCGCGGCTTGCAATCTACGGATGAAGAGAAAATTGAGCCTTGCTCATGGTCAGGATGGGAAGCGTCAAAGCTTACCCGGTCCTGTCCCGGACCTTCGAACTGATGAACGGACGTTGTCAGAGGAATACCAGCACCGAAATCTAGCGGTGCATTTGCTCAACGAGCAGCTTAACGATGCAAACAAAGCAAGAGGCGACGCTGTCCTGGCCACAATTTTAATGCTATGTCACTACCGTATGGCGGAATCCGGAATTGCGAAATTCCATACCCAGTTTGCTGGAGTTAAGAAAATACTGGGCATGAGACGATCTTGCCCATTCCCTCCATCAAGGGATTCGGCATGGATGGAGGCACTTTTCACCTACTTTGACGCCATCTCAGCCAGCATCAATGACCGAGAAGCCCAGCTGAATACCTCATTCTATGGCGTTATGCCAGACGCGCAACTACTTCCACCTGGTGCAGAGAATTTTGTGGGCTGCGACCGAGAGCTCTTCAAAACAATCATCAAGCTTGGGAGACTGAACCTTCTCTCCCAGCATCGCGAGGTCCAGAGTCTCTTTGGCACTACGACCTCACGCGGCCTACCATCTCGTCCCGACTCGCCTCTCGAATCGCCCATTGGTCATATATATAAGCCGCAGCACCAGTTTGGTTCGGACATGCTTGGAAAGACCCACCCTCGATTCGATGGCAACGGCTTCAGCACCACCCTGGACGAAGACCAAATTTTGGTATCTAGCTTGTCCTCTTCGGCCGCCTACGATGACCACCGGTCAACGTTCTGGCGCGAATGGAAGGACGCGAGAATCGCCCTGCAATCCTGGGAATTCGATGCACAAGGCGTTATTGCTTCACAGCCCGCTGGCCTCACAGCAACACATGCGCAGGTCCGTGACTTAGGTTCCCTGTCCGAGGCATTCCGCTACGCGGCGCTTCTCTACACGGAGCGCCTGGCGAGCCCGAGTGTGCCAAGTGCGCACAACAACTTCCGCAACTTGGTTAGCCAAGTGGTTTACTACGCCACATCACTTGAGGCCGGGTCGTCTGCCGAGAAATTCCTCCTGTGGCCACTGTTCGTCGCCGGATCCGAGTGTGTAAACGAGATGCAGCAGGGCATTGTGCGCTCCAAGTGCCGCGAGATTATGTCCCGGTCCGGCTACATGAACAACCTCGCAGCGCTAGACGTGCTGGAGAGGATCTGGGCGGGCGAGGGTAGGGAGCAGCAGCAGGAGGGCAAACTCATGACAAGGAGGGGCCCGTTCAGCTGGACGCGATGTATTGGTGGCCCAGGGGTGGAGGTTGAGTGGATCATGTTCTAAGTCTGTTTACAGCGAGTTTTACTGGAATTGATGTGGGAAGACACACTACTGCAATGGGTAGCAAGTGGACTGGGAATGCATGGGATGCAGGCCCAAGAGGCCAGGAGCTAAAGGAGAAAAGGGACACTGCGAAGTCCTGGTTATCACGACGGGGAACGAGACACATGGCTCTCACGTATTGACGCACTTGTACGATTAGCTAGCTGGATTACTCATTACACGCGAACACGGGGTATTGGAAGGAGGTAGCCTTGTTTGTTGGGCCCTTCACATATCTACCGACCTGAATCAATACACGATGGAGATCATCGAGATTCCTGTATCATCTCATACTTGGCCCCAAAACTGTTGAGTGACCTAATTAGTCTTGCGTAGTGGGTGTCCCTTCTTGCCAGAGGCGTGGTCTAGATCACACCGGCATCGTCTCGTGGCTTCAGAATCCATCACCGTCCGTCCTCCTTAGCACCTCCGTCCCCTGAAGTGTGTGCCAGCAAAACCCATCGTCATCCTTGGAACAAGGCGTGAACCTTAGATTCCCAAACTTGGGGGGCTCGGTGGCCGAACCTGGTCTGACCTCACAGATTGACTCCGTGCTGCATGCATTGCACCTCTGACAGTCACGCCAAGCCCTCGTAGCAGCAAGCTTGTCTCCATCCCAGTCCTGTTTTGTTGTGCCCTCGTCCGAACGTCCCTCCCCCCCCAAATTAATCGTATTTGACAAGCAGCCTGCTTAATCACACATATAATCCGCATGGGCTATGCTTATAAAGTGGGGAACCGGGTTGATAGGCCCTGCAATATGTCAGAGGATAATGTTACTGTTAGACGTGCTGCATTCCCGATGTGTCCATGTCAGTCAGTCAAGCCTGTCCGCCCTACCCGGACCGGAAAATACGCCATACCTCTCATTCCCCCCTCCTCCCCAAACAAACCGCGATGTATCCCCCAGGGCGGGTCCCAAGAGCGGGCTTTCGTGCTGCCAGGGAGATTACTCAAGGGAGGAGGCAGGGAGGGGCCAAGTATGTAGTGTATCCCGTAATGGCTGATACTCGAACGGGGCGGTGCAACAGCAGGCGGCACCACACCATTGCGCTCGGAAAGACCCATAAATGCCCTGCCCTATCACCATACTGGTGAGAGTCCCCGGTGGTGGTGCAACCCCCCCTTTTACTCTGCTGCGGTTCCACCCCTGGTTGTTTCTGCCCTGTAGATCCGGACGGCCAATTTTGCCCCGGTTCATGCCGGACCTGGCCACCTTTTGTCGATCGGGATATTCTGGGACAAGTGGGTAAGTATTGTTGACTGAACGTGTGCTATAGCCGGCGAGTGGTATAATGAGCCTCTTCTTTACGCGCCGCCGGACCGAGACTACGTGTGAACAGAGGACATGAAAGTCGATCATGACAAAGGTCATGACATTACGAAAACAAAAACGAAGTAGGCTTTCTTGTGCGTCCTGTGGGGGGACATGCAGAGTGCAGGTTAGGCTTGGCCACTCATCCAACCCACGGGTTTCGTACCCACGATGCCTGTGCTCTACATTTTGCATCGTGATCTTAAACCGTCGATTCCCGTCCCACCCACTCGACTTAGCCTTCATTAAAGGGCAGCCATCCTCCTCACACAAGAGAATGGGGACCCCATGCAGAGAAGGAGGACCTAGGTCGCCAACACATCCAACTCACACCACCCCCTCTACCACAGGTGCCATCTCCTGCTGCAGTCCGCGCCGAGCAGCCACACGGGAGGCAGAGCACTGCCAGAAGCATGTCACCCGCAGCTCGCCTTATCTCCCCCACCCCGCGTCCACCCCCCCTTCACAACCACCACTGCAGCCCGAGTTTGCTTCTGGAAGGACGGGAAGTGCTTCCATCTCCTGCTGGGCAAGCCCCTTCTCAAAGAGAGTCCGGCGCAAGGCACTGCTCCACTACCGTGCTGATTGGGGGGGAACACTTGCATCGGTGGTCCACTGCAACCGTCCTACTTACCGTATGCCGGCTCTGGTGCCGTCGTCACGTCGCCGGCGAGACGCAGACCAGGCGCCACCATCACCACCCACCCTGACCCGCGACGTCTTCTAGAAGCCAGCATAACGCGGGATACGATATCAAAATCGTTCCAGAACTGCCTTCCTACACCGGAAAGGCGTCAGCCGTAACCATGCTGGTGTGGCTTCTTCCATGGTTCCATCGTGCTTCTAGCGCCGCTGGTGATACCAGCTAGAGAGGTGTGAGTGTGTGATTTCCTAGCGCAGTAGTTCATTAACGCGCCCGCGGAAACCAAAACCTGACCCCCCTACCCTCCCTTAGCGCCCTCGTTATTACTGACCTGGCGGGCGCTCTGGCGCTCTGGTGGGCTCCTGGCCCAGGTACACCAGGCTAGCCTCAAGCTGCAAGAGAAGCTGGCTAGAAGCCCGGGAATTTGGCGCTAGAAACCGAAGCGCCAGGGAGGAAGGGTGACGACAAGCGGGGGATATGCTTGATGATGATGATGATGGCTTCAAAATCCAGAGCCTCGAGCGCGCACACCCATACACGGAACCAAACTTGCACAATTGCCCAATGCATTCACGCCAGACACGCTATCATGCAGCGAGGAGGGGGGACAGGAAAGAAAACAAGGCGTCAACACCGATGACAAACAGCGTCGCAGCAGGCTTTCGAAACCTCCGCTCGCTTCTCTTCACTTATTGATCTCGTGAGCTCTGGCCCCAAGCCCCGGCCTGACCCCCGGCCACCCGGCTGGCGAGGTCTCACAGGCGCATGTGACATGCCTCTCCCCACACCAGTCTTTCTTCACCGGCCCTCCCCAGGCTCGATCAGCTTCAGGACCTAGAACAACCGGAAGCCGCGACAAGCAGGCTGCCTGTGTATGCTGCGTTTCCAGCTCTGGCTGTCTCGTGTTCTGCGCCTCGTAGAGGGATTTGAGCACCAGAATCCTATGGGGCTGGGGGCAGGCACACCACACCCCCAGCAGACGCGAGCTGACCACACCCTGCAGGCGACAGGAAGCTTTTCAGCTCTGAATGATGGCGAGGTGGCTGGCAGGTGTCAACAGATCGGAGCTTGTCATGACCAGTCCGCGATGACAGGCATGACAAGATGGGTCCCTCTCGACGGACCCTACCGGCCGAGGCCTGAGTCTAAATCCACAGGTCGGGGGCCCATGGATGATGGACGATGGATGGAGGAGCCAGGGCAAGAGACGGCAGCAGGTACTCGCAAGTACCCAGGCTGTTGTTCCCCATCCAGGGGCCGGGATTTAGGAGGGGGGAACCATGGATCGGTCCAACCGCCGTTGCAAGCCCAGAAAAAAAAGTTGGGATGATGGATTAACGTCGTTTTCGTTCCTCGCTCTCCCTCGCTGCGGTTTGCTTGCTGGGCCTTGCTGCAAGCGCCGTAGGCTGGCCGCCCGCGTTGTCAGGGGACCCGCACCCTAACGCGCTTTTGGGCATCACCTCCGGAGCCCGCCAAGACATAAAGGTGATCCGCGGGGTCCTTTCACCTCCGCTCTGTGCCTCACCAGCCCGGCAGCCATGGGCACTAAGTCAGTCCCATGGGTCTCGGTGAGGACACTCCTTTTGCTCTCATCCAAGTCGGCTATTTCGAGAACTTTGTTTGCCGAGGAGGTATGACGGCAGCAGCTTATTTGCATCTTGAGCTGCGGCCATCTCGAGGAAAGATCAAGATATTTAAGTAGCACGGCGCGGCCAGTCCTGCAGCAGTTGAGCGTATAACGGCTCGACGGAGTAAAGTACGCTGGGAGCAAAAATACCGGGATACGTACGAATCGGGGACAACGGCGCCGGCGGCTCTCTCCTGCGGACGGCGGCGGATCCCGACTCCAAATTTACGCTTCCTTCAGCCCGAAACTCAAAATTACGCACGGATGTTACGGAGTGCGCCGCTACAATGGATGCACATGTTACAGGTAACTTTAACTTTGCAGGTGCAGACAAGATTAGATGGAGACAACCTTATCGGTGTCTAAGCTTCAGGAGGCTCTCGCAGGGTCGGACAAAATTTCTAACGTCCAAGTTACCACCGGCGCGGTGTTTATGTCTAGGTTACAAGAAATCATACTCTGAACACTCGAATGTAAGAAATAGAACTTTATAATCTTGATTGACCAGCATTTTCCTTGCACAGAAAATTACAAGTGTAAGCTATGCCTCGGAAAAATGGTATTGACGCATGTGATATTGTAATGTTTGTACTTCATGGGGTTGTGAGGAAAGGTGATGAAGTCTTGACTTGAGACAGGAAGAAGCTGTTAGTCTCCTGCCTCTTCTACGTGTTTGCTGACGACTGGAGATTATTCTCTTCCTCGTGCTGTAGAACTTGCGGTTCCATAATTCCTTCCTCTAACTGGTACCCGAGTTTCAACACTTTACCGTAGAAACAACACGTCTTTATTCTAGAGAGACTGGGGCAAGGTATACTCGCAGCAGTCATTTATTTCCACATAGACAATGGTGATCTCAAATGTTTCTCAAGTATTTGTGTATATGCCTATGTTCTTTAACAGCCAGAAGCAGTAGAAGAAGTGACAGAGCACTCATAGAACAAGATGCCCTTCCCATTGAAATTTCTCTTTCTATGGCTTCCAAAATCGGTGCTGGTGACGAGTCTAGATAAAGTAAAAAGCAATACCACTCGAAGATAATAATAGACTGCTGTTCTACGGATCCTTTGATTTGCCTTCCAAGTTCAGCACTAAACTTGTTTGCTTCTGTTCCCTTGTTCGTGACCTCGTGAGCCCTACAGCTATGTGCTTTGTCACCACGTCGTCAAGCCCACGCTTTTCCTGAGCCATCATTCTTGTACTCGCGCATTCTGTTCTGACCCTTGACCTCGAATGTACCATGAGAAAACTGTGAACGGATCAACTGGGTGATAGATTTGTTGGCATGGGCTTCGGCATACAGTGTTGTATCGCTATGCACTGCGACGCGGCCCCATAGAGACGGAGAAAATAGCCACTTCATCTGATCGTAGAGTTCATCATCTTTGAGGAACCCATGCCAGCAGTCTTCGAAGATAATGTTCAGAGCTTTGGTAAGTGATTCAATGCCTTCATCGTCATCTTCGTCTCCTCTCGGCGACACCTAAGCGTCTGCGATACCGAAGAATGACAGGAAATATCTCAGGCTTGCCTACCGTTCGTAGGAATTGGTTGGTTGGAGAGAAGTTGGTTGACCCAAGAGATGCCATAGATATTGTCGAGCCTCAACGCATGTTCATCAAAGTGCTGATCTTAGATAGCAACCATTGCGCAAGTCGGCGAAGTCAACAGCTTGCCTCAGACACTCACTCTCATTCTGTCCTTATATAGCAGAATGATGTGTCAGCTCATAGAGAAGCATATCGGATTGTTGGATTTCTCTGATTTCCCTCGTAATTCGCAAATGAGGCAGTATAACGCCAAACTCTTGCTCAGGAGCAAAGCGTAGCGAGCAAATTAATTGTGCTCTCTTCATAACTTGCCCATCCGAGACTACGCAACCACCAATCGGCTTGTTTGATTTTATAGTATATCTCTTTCAATAATTCTATTCGCTTTCTATCGTATTTTTGAGAAGGTCTTGCAGGAGATGTTGATGTTGTCAGTTGCTTTTGAAGTTCAAAAATACATTTTATTCCTAAGACCGCTGTAAAATAATGACTTACATACAATCACTCAAAGATGGGTGAATGAGTAGTAGTTTAGGGTCGCACTATGTGTCAAATCAAGAACGTCACCCTTTTGGGCTGTGTCTTTCCCTTAGATACATTGCTCCAGCTCCCTAGCCAGGTTGAAACCCTGTGATGCAAGCATTTTAGGAGGTTCGGCCACGTCTCACCAGGCTCTGATAACGTGGTTCTCTTATTGAGTGAACGTTGGTCAAATCCAGTGAAGGGGGTCTCCTCCGGCTCGAGGTCGCTTCAACCGCCGCTTCTACTGGCGCCACTACCAGTCTGGCCCTTACTTGAATTATCTATCCGTCTTCTTCTTCGCCATCTTCACTGATAGCATCAGGTCTAGAAATTGATTAGAGGTATCCGCGGTACCTCACTTGCTTCAAAGTCGATGGTAGGAAGGGGCGATGGACAAATGTGGAACGCAGAGTTTCTTTGGTGCATAATTTGTACCGAGCAATATTCTTTCAGACCAAATATGCCGCTCTAATGGCAAGATCTGTTCTGATTCAGGGTTTGGCAATTGCTGCTCATCTAGTGGCTTTTGCGGCGGCTCAGACGTACGTTGTTGGCCGGGCTGCCAGTCTGGCCTCGGAACATGTGCTTCTGTTGCCAGCAACATTTCTACGAACAGGTCCTGTGGGGAAAGTGCCAAGATTTTGTTGAGCCACAAAACAGCACCTGCTTACGTTCACATGGCTACGCCGTGTACAAGTCTTCCTGGCTTCTACAGATTTGCAAAGGGTCAAGCTTTGGTGATTGCTGCTCAGCCAATGGCTTCTGTGTCGCTTCAGCAGACCATTCCGCAGCAGGGTGCCAATCTAGTTTTGGTACCTGTAATACTGAATCTGCAAATATGTCGGCTTATGGCATTTGCGGGAAGAACAAAAAGTCCTGTAAAGGGCCCGGCTTTGGGGGTTTTGTTCTTCGTGCAACTTCTGCGGTGCGTCTTCTACGCATTGTGGAGCTGGATGTCAAACATGTTTTGGAACTCGCAAAGCTGGAGGAGCGAAGTATGTCGACTGATGGTGTTTGTGTTATGAACAGGAAGACCTGCAGGGGAGCGACAGGATTTGGAAATTGTTGTTCGGCGAGCGGATGCTGTGGCACACCTGCTGCCCACTATGGTATTGGCCAAGGTTGCCAGGCGGCTTTTGGTGACTGTTTCATAACTTTCGGCTCTAAATATCTAGTGAAGAGAGTCTTCAGTCGAAAGTCAACTGAAATCATCCCTCAGGAATATTACGCTTGAAGAAGTATAACTTTCAAGTCACAGTGATTATTGGTATCGCAGTAGGACTCCTGGCCCGAAACCTAACAATCACGAAAAACGTGCAGGGTTCGTGTCTTCCCAAAGAAGCTAATTATTTGTAAATTTGTAAGAGTGCGAGTCCGTGAGGGTCGGCAGGGCTTGTGTTGTGTCATTTCCAAAGGTTTGAACCTGCGACGCGATGAGAGCCCCCAGAATTCGGACGTATGAGCGAGTGACCTGTCTGCGCTGAGCACCTTGATCATACAGCGGTGCCTGATGAATGAAATTTGATTTCGCATCACTGGTCGCCAGGATATTCGGGCAAAAATGAATCTCAAAAATGCTGGATATGGTAGGGCCGCATGGACTGGAGATGGAGGCAATCTGGATGTATACTGCAAGAGAGGCAGTTGGGCAGCGTTGACTGAAAAGAAGTGATCAAAACTAATGCGATGAATTGCTGTATTAAGACACTAATAGGTCCTAGAAATAATGAAAAGCGCGATTGCTAACAGTCGAGTCGGAAGGAATTACCCCGTATTAGGACTCCCGTCAGCTTACAAGATTAACGCCACTGAGACACATGAGGTCAGCCTTCGTATAAGCGCACCTGGAAGCTTACACCAACTTTCATTCTTGGGGTTTGCTTATAAACCTGGGAATGCACCCCGGATTCGAGCACATCTAGACCGCAAACATTTAGTCCTCCGTCCTAGATCGCTAATTCTCGAATCGAATATGGCCAGTACTTTCCCAGAGCGCGTGTCTCGAATGCTGGGACCCTACAGAACGCCGGTCATTCTCACATCATGCGCCGCCCTGCTCATCACACCATTCGTCTGGAAGAAATTCACCTATACTCCTGAGCTGCTCCCTCCGATACCCAAAGACTACCAGTACCGCCTCCATCTCGTCGCCAAAGACGGCTCATCCTCATTCACGCTCCCCGACGGCAGAAAGATCGGGTACGCACAGTATGGGGATCCAAATGGCAAGCCAATCATCTCTCTGCACGGCATCCTCGGCTCGAGACTCGAGAGCGCACTCCTCGATGCCAACGCCAAAGAGCTTGGAGCGAGGATCATCGCCATTGAGCGGCCGGGAATTGGCTGGAGCGACCCAAGCCGGACACCGCTGAAAGAGAGGAGAGTGATTGACCACGCCAAAGATGTAGAGGCACTGGCTGAACATCTTCAGGTGAAAGAGTACGCTGTACTCGGAACCTCGGCGGGGGGTCCTTATGCCTTGGGCTGTGCACACTCCCTTCCGTCATCCTCCTCAAAGCCGGCTCTCCGAGCTGTTGCCATTTTGACAGGACTGGGCTTGCCGGATATGAGCCAGGCTTGGCCGCCATTTGTGGTTTTCTTAAACAGGACTTTCGATCTTCGATGGGCTATGAGGTGGATATTCACCAGATCTGCTGCGTGGCAAATGCATCTCTCGGACGAGGAAAGAATGGAAGGGTTGCGACGGGAAATTGATCTGAAGAAAACCCACCCGGCGGACGTCGAGACGACAAGACGTGCCGACTACCCAGATTTGATGCGCCTCTTCCTCTGCTCCGCTCGCGAAGCCGTGTCCCAAGGCTGGGAAGGCTTTTTGGAAGACATTGCAGTCCTCTCCAAGGATCCGGGCTTCCGCGTGGAGAACATTCGTCCTGATATACCGATACAACTGTGGTGCGGGACCGACGACACCAATGTCTCACCCAAAGCGGGCGAGGAGACTGCGGAGCGGCTCAGAGCTGGTGGCAATACGAAGGTGGAGCTGCATATGGAGGCAGGCCACACACACGGGAGTACGCAGGTGAAATTCCAGAAAACCGTGCTCAAGGATTTATTGAGGGCTATGGACTCCTAGGCCGGCTCTTCGCTCGCGATCATTGTACTCTACTTTTTCTGTATCAATAGAACGACTTGGACTGGGTGTGGGATAATTGATATAGCGTCTCTCTTCACAATATCTTCTACGTCTACGCCAGATTGCGTCATATAGATCGGACACTCTAGGCTTGATTTTATCTTTTCAATACCGGCGTTCACGACTACACGATGTGTACTTGACAACATGCCCTATTCAAGGCTTGCTTGCACTGACTGGAGCTTGAGGATCAGCTTGACATTGGAGAAATTCCGGAGGACCCGAAAGACCAGCAGCTCTCTGGAGGATCTATGTAGGTGAGCACTAGAGTCCTCTACGAAAGTGACTGGTTGGTCAAACTTCTGATGAGCCGAACTAATATCAAAGGATAGAAATGTTCAATCCTTCTGGACCGAAGACCTGCTTTTCCCTGGCACTGCGACTTCGATCCTTGTTGTCAGCTCGCAATAAGAAAACTGCAAGATTCTCGTCGCGAAGGTCAAGATATTGACCAGTTGGATAGTGACAAGATACACTTCCCGTTTTGTCGTTCTATGACTGAAACCTCTAGCTATTTTACTCATTTGAGTACAGTCGTTGAGTAGGCGGCACTAAAATGGGCCTATCGATAGGTGGGGTCTCCCTGTAACTTACAGCACATTCACACGTGCAGATAAGATAAGATAGCCTTATCGTCCTCAAAATTTACGGCGGCTCCCAGTCGACGGATAACTTTCGTTCGAGTAGCAAATCAATCCCGCGTACTACGATACATTCCCACTTTGTGAGCAAGGACACGGATTGAAATCATTGTCACAATGGGTCGTGATCTTCAAAAACGCAAGAATCGGTCCTCGAGGGCAACCATCAGGCAGCCCAACAGGCTCAAGAAGCCCCTCAACCCTTTGGGCAACAGCATCATCGCAAAGAACTGGTAGGTCCCTGAGCCCCTGGGCGAAACCACGATGAGCCGCCCAGTCAGCCCGTATGACTATGTCTGACACAGAGTCGCACAGGAACAAGAAAGAAACCCTCTCCCAAAACTACCGCCGCCTCGGCCTTACGGCAAAATTAGGCAAGGCCACCGGCGGCGTCGATCCAGCGACCAAGGTGTCGGCGCCCAATGGCGGCGCTCAGGACCCCCTCGCCGTGACCCCAAACAGCGGCGCCGGTGCGGCCTTCCGGAGCGTCAAGGTGGAGCGCGACGCGGACGGCAAGATCGTGCGCGTGCTGCGCAAGGACAACCCGCTCAACGACCCGCTGAACGACCTCGAGTCCGAGTCCGAGGACGACGACGAACAAGATGACACGGCCAAGAACGCGGCCAAGAAGAGCAGCACCAGCGCCGGCACAACGAGGGTGGTGGACCAGCTCGAGGCGGAGGCCAGCCGGCCCACCGAGGCGCATAAGCGGCACCAGTCGCAGCAGGAGCGCGAGTGGCTGGCGCGGCTGTTGGCCAAGCACGGCGACAACACGGCTGCGATGGCGAGGGACTTCAAGCTGAACCCGATGCAGCAGACCGAGGCGAACATCTCGAGGAAGTTGAGGATCTACAAGGCGAATCATCAGAATTGAGAGGGGCGAGTTGAGCTCTCCTGCCTGATCGAACCGAGGAACAATATGTCCTGGCTGTGTACCGTCAATTCAGGAAAGGGTTGAAGGGCCCTTGCGAGAATGAACAAGCGACGGGCTGAACTTGATAAGGGCTTTCAAGAAGAACGTATCATTGTGGGATCATGGTAAATGCAATGAGGGTACCCGAGCAGTCGAGATGCGCTCGATCACGGTGTAAGCCCTTCAGGCGAGATGTCCGCCCAGGCGAAAAGGTATTGGCCGGGAACAGAGTATGCCGAAGCCGAAAACCAACCATGCCTCGCTGACCTCCCTCGCTGGCCGGCTGCGACATATATCTACATGGCCACGAGACTTTAATCGCTCCAGCGAGCGAGGAATTGCATGACATGGGCAGCAGGAACACCGCGGTGAATCGAGTCACCAAATCAATCATGGCGTTTGGAGTAATGGAGGAAGGTGGCATAATTCGCGAAACAGGCATAGAGAAAGAAGCTTGAGAATTGGTGTAAGTTGAAAACACCTTTCGCAAACAAGAATCAAGCAATTCCATTTATTAGCTCAAAGGTGAGCTCGACGAGCAAGTACTGTGACTCTATTCTGAATGCCCGCCTGCCACCGCAGCCATGTGAAGTGGCCCGCTCAACAATGCATCGGACGGACTGCGATTGGGTAACTCTTCAGGTTCCCAAAGCCCGTTCTTGTCGAAATATTTTGCTTCGGATGAACCGCTACGAGGGAGGCAATTTTGGCCCTCGGCTTGCAACCTTAGAGGGCGAGGGTATCAAAACGGGATCTCCATACATCAGCAAGGAACTATGGTCCAAGTTGAGTCAACTACATCACTCATATCAGAAGTCTTCTGTAGGTAGGCAAGTTTGCTGATGTTTCTACCATTTGCCTGTGCCGGCAGTACGACCAAGACGAGGCCCGGCTCCTGCAATGCCCTTAACAATGTATCGACATGACATAACCAGCATTAGGTACACCAAAAAACAAAGAATCAAGAACGCCTCCAACACCATCACAATGTGTTGTCCAGGGGGTCTGTTTCCCTGTCAGTTGTACAAGCAAAAGACAGCTTTTCCCTGCGCCCAGTCATGACCGTTCCATGATCGTCTATCCCTCAATTCACTCGTCGGCCGGACTGGCGTGGAAGGAAATCTTCCCACGTCGTACCCGAACCCGGTGTCTGAACTACATGATCCCTCATTATATTCCCGCCCCGTGCGTAAACGCTGCAAACGCCCCCACGTGCCTGCACAACAGCTCATCGACCCATACAGGGCGTTGAGGTCATGCTCGCTAACTAAGCACCGCAGATGCATTACTGTACCCGGCTGTAGTCCGCAGATGGGAATGTGACCGGCCTGTCATCATAGTCGTCTGCGGCCGCAGGAGGCGGCGCATACATGTGACCAGCCGGCGGCGCAGGCGAGGTGTGAGAGCTGTACTCGTTGTGGTGATCGAAGGATGGGTTGTGCATGGCAGCTGCACCACCGTACGAGGTGTCGGCGGTGTAGGGGTTAATGTCATGCGTGTCGTGTCGGGTGGAGCTAGTACCCATGTTACCTCCGTATGGAGAAGCGTTGAACTCGGGCTCGTCGTCATGGTCGTTCATGCCGACGGGGGCGTAGGCCTCCTCGTCGGCAGGAGCGGTGGAGAAGGCGGCCTTGTCCGGGTCGATGCTGTTTGTCCGGGGGCCGCGAGACGTCTCGTAGCCGGGCAGGACGCCGTTGAAGTTGTAGTATCGGTAGGTGGCCAGGGAGACCAGGGTGGTGCCGGCCCAGAAGAGACTAATGTACAGAAGTCTTGTCAGCTTGCTATTCCCAACCGTCTCGTAAGGCTAGGCTCAACTTACGTCTCAAAGACACCCAGGCCGACGATGGCCTTGCTTGGCCCGCAGGCGGAACCACAGTCGTTGGCTGTGTTGTAGGCAGCTTGTGTGGCGAATGCAGACAGCCAAATGATGGCGAAGATAAAGTCAAAAACAAGCATGGCCTTGGGGTCGGCTATCCTCCTGGCGCGAGGGTATCGAGGGGCCATGATGAGGTATATCCACGCTGGGACGGACAGGAAGCACTGCGTCGGAGGATTGTATTAGCATTGCTGGTGGGCATGCGATTGGGATTGAGATTGAGGCGGACTCACCACTCCAAATGTCCAGCCATTGTTGCCGTTGATATCACCCCCTTTGAAGACGATAATCTCGAGGACCCAGATGGTGACAGATATGACAATCTGGATGATGTGGAGGATCAACTTGTAGAGGGGAATCTTCTCATGGTCGAACTCGAGGCCCATCTTGCTGACTAGTGATGTTCTGTGTCTATTCTATGGTCGTGTTCGTCGGTGCCAATCCCACGCGTGAAGGTGACGATAATTTGTGCCTCAGTAGCTTTCTGTAGCTGTCTGAAGCTTGGTGGTGGTGGTTGGTGTTGGTCGGCAGGGGAACCAGAACCACTGCAGGCGGTCTAGACAAGCCTAGCGCAGTTGTGAACCCAGGGTGTGCTGTGCTATCAGTCAAAAATGCAGTGGTTCGCAGACACTCGACTTGGCAGGGCAAAGAATGGCGAGTAAGCGAGGCAAAGCGATGCGATGCGATACTGTGCGAAATACAGATGTTGGAGGTTGAATGCAAAGGCGATCAATGAGTGTTCAAGTGTGGTCTGGTCGGGTCAGGTCGAGTCGAGTCGAGTGGTTTCGTTGCAGTCTGACGTTGAAGAGAAAAACGGTGGGTGGGTGGGATGAGCAGGAAGGGGGTACGCGAGGTCAAAGAGGCAAGAAAAGGAAGGGGCAGGGCAGGACAGGGCAGGGGAAGGAAAAGAGGCCACGGCTGAGGCCAAGCCCAGCCATCCTCACCCACGAGCCATGTCGTCCCGTCTGGAGAGGGAGTCTACGAGTCTGCTCCTTGCTTGCACTCTGGCACTTAGCACAGCAGCCGCACCGCAGCAGCACGGGCAACGCAACGCAACGCGACTTGGGTCTCCTGCTCCTCCTTCTCCTCCAGCTGCTCCTCCTATTGACCCGGCACTCAGCCAGCCAAGCCACACTGGAGCGAACGAGACAGCGGGAAAACCGCGCAGCCACAAAGCGCGACCCATTCTTCCAAGGTTCCCGGCACAAGGCGCTGCTCACTGGATGGTCGACAGGGAAATAAGCGGACCATCACTGGCCCAGACCCAATCAACTTGACACCCAGGCTGGCTGGGGGGTGCGATGACCATTGCCTGCAGCTGCATCACGGCATGGGTCCGTCGCACTGCAGCTCATGTCAAATCGCCGTGCCGCCACAGGCAGATTCGACTCTGCGTTTTGCAGCTAATGCACTCCTACCTAGGCCTAGGGAGCAAGGGGTCACCAGACTATGAGACTACGAGATGCATCAGCACGAGTCCCTATGGCAACCGACAAACACACGGACGATGACAACAACAACGCCAACGCGGTGCTCGGACTGATTGATGAGAGCCTCAACAAGTTTCAAAGCTCGGCTGCTGGACTGTTGCTCCTCCTCCTGCGTATAGACAGACTACTGTACTACTTGCAGACAACTTGCAGACATGCAGAGCCCCCCGGGAGCTGACGTATCCTGGCCTCAGCCACTGCCATTCCCATTGACTGACTGATTGACTAGACTGGCTGGCTCGCTGACTGACTCTAGGCTGCTCACTTTTGACACAGCTTGGTTACAATTCTCGTAACAGACTGCGAACAGCTAGCAATTGATCTGACAACGAGACCGTTGGGCGCCCGCCCCTCACAATGACGAACGTGTTGGGTCCTCGCCCCAAGAACTCGTATCTGACGCAGCAGACAGGAGGGACCCCCACACCCCAGAACATCATCGGGAGACCCTGATTTTACCTCTCGGCTTTGATCTCAACTGTCGTCATTCCATCCGGAATTTCAGATCGGTTGGCCTCCCCGCGACTGGCCCATGTAGACTACCATGTCCTACCCGTCTCCACATTGCACAACGCGCAAAAGTGATGATTGAGCAACGAGCTTTATTCCCGCCTCGCCCGGCTTCGAGCCTACTCCACTTGCAGTCACAAAGTCAATTCGACTCGCGCGTGACGAGGTTCCTCGTGGTCTCTGCTCAGCCACCCGCTCGTCCCTGAGCAATCAGCGTTGACGCGCAATGCGGCAGGGAACCGGATTGCGGCTCTACCCTCTCGGCCCTGGCTAGCCGCCCTACCTCGGTGGCGGCATCCAAAAATAGCTCAGCAGGCATCTCACCAGAGGTCTCCCGCCCGCCTCATGCCCGTCCCGGCTCCGGTCAAGCTGTGGGCCGCTTTCGGCTTCCACGCGGATTCTCATACTTTGGCCAAGCCGGTATGATTACATCCGGACAGGCAATCGGTCTTATTGCAGACAATGTTTCGCGTGTTTCACTTCGCAGATGACGTGAACCGCCAAATTCGTAGGTTGGCGCCTAGGATTCAACACCCGCTCTCGACTTTTGCCTTCAACATATTCCCTGAAGCTTCAAGCTGCTTCTCGTAATAAAAGTCTAACCTTCAAGCCTTCTTTTTCCGCCGTCGCTTAATAGTGTAGCAGCCTTGACGATCTTTGTGTATCTCCAGTACGGTCAATCGGCTTATCCAGCAGGCTAAAGGTATTGTCAACAGACGAAGGCTGCCTAAAGAGGTGGGTGCTAGAGGATGATCTCAGGACCAGGGTGCATCAGCAGCTCACAAGCCATGCACATTTCATACGCTCTGACATTACAGGCCGGCAGGCGGCGGCAGATATATACAGAGCTACTGTCACAGACTGCAAGATTGAACCAGAGGTGATCGCCAGCGCACTCACTGAAACAGCCCAGGAGACGCAGAATTCAACATGGTATAGGAACGCATCCTCATAAAGTTTCACGACCCATGCACAAGCTACGCAAGAGGGACACCAGATTTTTTTATGCTTTGTCGTACACAGCGGCAAGCTGACAACACAATAACTGAACAGTCGTCGAGTTCTATGTCTAGCTCAACCTCTAGTGAACGAATCTTCTGTACCGACAGATCGGCCCTGCAACATCCAACTTGCCTTGTGCCCTCGCTGTAATTTTTTATACAGCCCGTCGTAGCTCTTGGCGCTAACCACGGACATCTAAACCCTAACAAGTTCTAGGTCTTTCACAACTTTCCCTTCGGGGCGACCAGCTCCTCTACCTTGGCGAACTGGTAGTAAAAGTCCAGGCTCTGCGGGTTGGCCAGGGTGCCGCTGGGCTTGATCTTGTGGCCGGACACGATCTGCTTGACCGGGAGTTCCACCTTCTTCATGTTGATAGTCGTCTGGGAAAGACAGGACCGATTAGCCAAGACGCACACTTACACGAGTGGATGCGGGTATCAGAGAGAAAAGACTCACCGGTATCTCAGGCGTCTCAAAGATATACTTGGGCACGTGGCGCTTCGAGAGGTCCCTCGCGATGGCCTTCCTGACCTCGGCCACCAGCGCCGTGTCGAACCGGTGCCCGGGCTTCATCAGCAGGAACAGCATCACCGTCTCGTCCTGGTCCGTTGGCCGCCGCTGGCTCACGCAGAGCGAGTCATGAACTTGGTCCGCGAACCGCCGCTCGATCACCGAGTAGATCTCCGCGGAGCCGAAGCGCACCCCAGACGGATTTAACACACCGTCTGCGCGCCCGAGGAACGTGATGTTGCCCGTGACCGGGTGGATCGAGCAGAAATCGCCGTGTCTGGTGGTGATGAAGTCAGTGAGTATGGCTTGCTTCTACAGTGGTCTTCGAAGTGCATGGTACATGCGCAGCGAAGAAGCGGGAATATGTCTAGACAAGGACTGAGGAAGAACAAGAACCTACGCCCAGACGTGATCGAAGCGATTAAAGTAAGCCGAGTGAAACTTCGACCCCGGAGTCGCCACAGGCTCCTTGTCGATCCAGAAGCGGCAGGGCACATTGGGGAATGCGACCGTGGCCACAAGCTCCCCAGGCGTGCCGTGCGGCACTTCTTTACCAGGACCATCCGGCAGCGTTGCGTCGAAGATACGGGCATCAGTGCCCAGAGAGGGCCCTTGGGTCCCCCCGACGTACAGCGGTTCTAGCGGGTTGCAGATACCAAAGCATCCGGCCTGGGTAAAGTGGGAAAGTTAGTGATGGTACTTTGCTTTGTGGAACTCTTCGACCTACAAGATCAGTGCCGCCCGAGCTATGAGGATACCAGTTAGTAAGTTTCTAGTTTAAGTGATCGATGGGCTACCTCTGGAGTCGTAGGACAATGTCTCAAGAGTGCCGACGTTCTTGAATCATCATACCTCGACGGCGAGAAGATAAGGGCGACACTGAGGGAACGGTGCGAAGGATCAACTCACATATTCGCCAGGTGCGTGTGCCTGGGGAAACCCTTGTCATAGAACCACTCAAAGAGCTGGTCCGACAAGACCATCCCCGTGCAAGTCACCGTCTTCAGCCTGGACAGGTCGACCATATCCCTCGGACTCATGCCAGCCTTCGCCACCTCAAAAAGCCACCGCGGGCTCGTGCCGAACTTGGTCACGCCCTGCTCGCCCAGGATCTTGATCAGGACGGTGACGTCGGGCTGGAACGGCGAGCCGTCGTAGAAGACCGAACGCGCCCCAAACAGTAGCAGGCCCGCGTTTGCGAGGTACATAATCCAGCCCGTCGTCGTGTACTGCATCCCTACCGTCTCAGGGCCCAGACCCTCGTGCAATCGGCCCTCCTTGAAGTACGACACCATCAGGCCGCCCACAGAGTGCGTGATGGCCTTGGGCATCCCGGTTGTCCCCGAGGAGAAGCAGATGAGCGAAGGCTCGTGGAAGGCTATGCGGATGAAATCTGGTGCCGGCTGCTTGGTGCTGGCCAGGAGGCTGGCGAGTGTCTCCGCCCTGGGCACGGAGTTGATGTCCCGCGGCTGGCTGAAACGCGGGATGGAGATCAGTGATGTGAGAGCATCGCATTCCTTCATCCCTTCGACGATTTCTTTCATTTTTGGGCGGAGATCGACTATCTTGCCATTATAAAGGGCCGCGTCGTCCACGAAGACGAGCTGAGTAACCTTGTCAGCTCGCAATACGGTATAGGAAGTTTGAAGCCCTTGCAGGAGATGGACGTACCTTAGGATTCACCTGGATACTTCGCTGTAATATGCCCTTGACACCCATATCCGTCGAGCTGCTCGAGAAGATCGCCCCGAGCCAGTTGGTCGCGACCCAGACCACGAACGTCTCGATGCTGTTCGCCGCGACGACAACCACGCGGTCCCCCTGCCTGACCCCCTTGGTGTGGTACATGGCCGCCGCCAGCGCCGCGGCGCGCTGCCTGAGCTCCCCCCACGAGCATTCGCGCAGCTCCGACCCGCCCTCGCGGATCTCGGTGATGGCGACCCTGCTGTCCTCCTTGTGCAGCTTGGAGCGGTGGTCCTGCGGGTCCGCGGCCGACCGCGAGTACAGGACGTTCTCTGCGAAGTTGAGGCGCACGCCCTCGAACCATCGTGGCACCTGGTCAATCGACGCGCTCTCATCCACCACGCGGCTGTAAGTGCCGCCGTAGATGAAGTTGCTGAACTGGAAGAGATGGGACCAGAAGTCTGAACGTTGGTTGATGGAGTAGTCGTAGAGTTGGCGAAAGGTCTTTGTTAAAGGGTCAGCACTCAGGTGAGTCGCACTGGCGTGGTTACAGCCGGGGTAGCATATATGGCCTTCAAGTTCTTACCAACCACTTGGTAGCTCACTTGAGCACATCAGAGTTGGGCCAAGCAGTGAGATGTACTCCCACGTGTTGTCCTCCAATGACGACACTCGGTCTCACCATTATAGACGTTAGGGGGACAGAGCATTGGACAAGGACAGTAGCAGCAATCCTTCATACCTTTAGACTTTGTCCGCTCTTCCGGTTGATGTCTTGCATGAACTCGTACATCAACGTGCTCTTCGGGTCTGGATGCTCCCACAACTTCCGGGGCACAGCGACTTGGTTCTCCATTTCGAACGACCTCGACGTATCTTCACGGGACTAATAATATATGTATGTCTATTGTTTTGTTACAGGTAGACGCTAAAAACTGCCAATTAACAAACAAAGACGAAGGAGATGGGAGAAGAAGACGGTGTCGGTAACCGTTGAGTTTGGGGTCCTCCGGTCCGGGGATGAGCGCGGGGAGGAGATACTTCGGAAGCCGCGGTCGTTACCGAGGACCAGAGTTGGAGAATGGGGGGTTTGGTCGTTGGTCCGCGTGTACCACGGCCTCTAGCACATAGCCGTCTTACATTGGCACGGCTGCTCTGACCTACACGGAAGTTGCCTTTTCGTACACGAGGATCCCTCCAAAACCTGTCGAAATGACTCCCTCGCGCAGGGCTATTCGTACCACGATTGGAGACTCAAGATGGGTTTGATCTCGTGACTTCGCTTATATTGCGGCGCATGATCTCATTTGGTTCTTATAACCAACTATTAACTAACCGCATGCAAAAATCAATCTGGATATCGTCCGAAACACCAAAGCAAGTAACCTGTACAATGAATGCTACAGACATATCATACCTGGGTGGTATACCCACAAAGCGCCTCTCCCCTTTTCCCTGGCTGAAGCAACCCGCAAATAGTCCGCAGAGCAAGCCCAACCTTGACTCTACCGCCGATGCCAATAGCAGAGACTGAATTTTCCATGACCAAAAACACCTTGCAAGCACGCTGAAGAATACCAAACCCAGAAGCATGACCTCCGAATAGTACGGGGCCACGCCTAGAGATACGCCTGCCACAGCGCGTCCATCATGGCAAGATTAATGGGGTTCACAGCCTTACTGATGAGGTCAATAACGGTCTGGTTTGCAGGCAGTGTTCCCTCAGGGACCGTCGCGAGGCTGACGGCCCTCTTGACAATCAGGTCGCAGTTGGTCTGCACCGTCTCCCTCAGATGTCCCTCGTTAAGGTGTGCCATTCTGTGGCTGCTGGTGAACCAGAACATGACCTCGTCGCGGACAAAGAGGGTGAGCGCATGCTCAAGCTCAAACTCGGGCTCCGTAAGACATCTTGCAATCGCCATGATTGAGCACCCAAAGACGCCTTCAGTGGCCAACGGGCCCATCAGCGTCTGTATGTTCGGTGTAAGGCGGAACGGCACCGGCTCTGCAGTGCCAAAGTAGGGCCGACTGTTCGTCATGGACGACAGGAGCTCGGAGCTCCAGATGTTGCCGGTGCCTCGGGCAATGTGTATCTTTTGTGGGTATCGTTTATCGATGAACAGGACATACGTCATGAACGTCAGCGCGGCCAGTTGGTATGAGAAGCGGCGCTTGAACAACCAGAAGTCGGCATAGTCCATATATGACCTCTGGAAGTAGTCAAGAGCCACGGTGCGTGGCACCCATTTGTCCTGGATGGCGTTCTGGATCTCCAGCCGCGCTGTAGCGCTATGCTCACCCGTCTTCTGCTCCAATGCGTCAGACATCTGTTCTCGAGATGAGACATTCAAGTTAAAACTTACCCCTTTAGATTCCCCGAGTGCCCGGAGTTTGTCCATAATGAACAATACAGGGTCATCCTTGGAGAGGCTGTTGCGTCTGCAATGGTCTTCGAAGATACCCTGAAGTGTGATGTAAGACGTGTCCTCCTGCACAATCCTAATGTGCGGTGCCAATGGTACCATCAGCGGCAGGGTGAACTGTAAATCGCGGCGACGGCTTTCCTTTTTCCTGCTCAGCCTCTGGTTAAGCTGTCGGAACAACTGAACAATCCTCTCCTCTCTGCGGCAGTGCCTAGCCGCGGGATGTTGAACCGCGAAGGGATGAATGCTGCCATCGTGGCCTCGGATTTTCAGTCGCCGATGAGACACACCAATCATTCGAACCAAATCAACCGTGGGAATGAATCGCTCGATGCGGATGAAGTCTTGGTTCTTGTCCTTGAGCTGCAAGTACTGGCCGGGGACCTCAACTTCGTCGAACTTCTGGTACTTGAACTCACTCAAGAGCGTCGTGTAAGCCTCTAAAGACATTTTTGGGTTGCGTCTGTCTAGCTTCTCCTCGAACTTGTCTCGCCACTTCCTTAACTTGTGGATGTATTCGAACATCGTAGGCTTGAAGGTCACAAAATCTGCCTCAAACGTCTTTCGAATGTGAGCCGGCAGTATCGTCTCAGCAAATCGAGTGATGTTCGTCTCTGTGGCCTGAGGTAGCTTCGTGCCCTTGGCGTACGACGTTGGCATGCGACTGACATAGGCCAGCCCGTCATTAAGGAGAGCTACAATTAGCCGATACGCATCTTCGTCTGGCGGGCACTTGAAGTGCTTCTGGATCTGGTCAACCATGGTCTCCATTGAGAGCGCCAGGAGTGGGAAGGCCGTCTTGAGCTGGGACATGATCTCTTCGGTCAGTTCCCACGGGAACTTCTTTTGGCCAGCCTCTGCTTGTTGCTCGCCGGGAGCTGGTGTCGAGCCATTGGGCCCTGCTGTGGTAGGAGTCGCCGCTGTGCCATTTGTCTCGCCGCCCTCCGTCTTAGGTTGGGCATTAGCCTCCCCGTTGGCAGTCGCAGGTCGTGAGCCCGATTCTCCTTCTTGCTTTGGCGCGTTGGGAGTCTCTTGTCTCTGCAGGGCCGGGGAGCCTGCAGGTTTGTTCCCGCCCACCGATTGTTGTCTTTCCCTTTGCTTCTTGGCCTCATGGTTCTTCTTGATAACCATCATATCCTCCCTGTTGGTCCGCAACTGAAAGTAGAGAGCCTGGGGGTAAGACCTCGCAATCTTCAAGAGTATGGAATGGACGCGCGTTGCTTCCTTATGGCTGAGCCCAGTAAGTAGCTGAGGAATGAACGTGATCCAGTACCAGGTCGGCGTGTCACCCTTGAAGTCATCGAATCCGGCAGAAATGGTTCCATTGGCATCATCCATACTGAGAAGCCAAAGAATCCTGGCAATGAGCTTCCTCGACTTCGCGTTCTTGTAGCTGCCTGCCGCCTGTAAGTAAGACGTAAGTGCTTGGCGGGCAGAATTGAGGTCGGCGGGATCGTCCTTAAACTTTCGGTCGTTGAAGTAACCCCATTCAGCCCATGCCTTTGCTGCTCCGATGTCGAAGTACAAAGCGGTGCCGTACGCATTGTCGGCTTCGTCCTTCTGGCTAAGTTTCTCGAGGAACATACCCTTCAGTGTGTAGAACTCTGCTTTCTGGCCTGGACTGAAGTAACCAAGATTGGTGTTGTTGATGACTTCCAACCCACTGTTGAGTTCCTTGGGGTTTTGGTAGTGGCACTTGGCCTGCTCCCGCAGCTTCAAGAATGCTTCCTGGATCTCGATGTTGGGTAGGGTATAAATGCGACCAAGTTGGCTGATGCAAACATCTGCCAAGTTGTGCTTCCTGGCAACATGGGCGAAACGGTTGATGATCCAGGCCGTTTCGTGGTATCCTCGGTACGCAAAGGAAGAGCCTCCGGCGTTCTGGCCCTGTTGAGGCAGAAGTCCGAGATACGTCTGGTTGATGAGGCCGAAGATGTGCTGCCGCCAGGTGACAAGGTCTTGCCAAGCAGTGATGTCGTCCCAGACGTTAGGAAGTCGGTCACGCCATCCACCCAGAAGCAATTTAAGTTCACTAGATTTAACATCCAAGTTCTGTTGGGTCGTACCGGCGAGGCTTGTACAGATGACACTGGCATCATGCAACTCCACCAGTTGCTGGAAGTTCTGTAGCAAGGGGACGTGTGCATGCGTAGGCTGCTTCGGCAATTGATGCCACTTACGTATCGCAAGCTGAATAGCCTCGTCGACATATCTCTGGAAATCTGGCTGAGTCTCCTGTTTGTTGTGAAGCTTGCGCAAGGCCATGAACGCCTGGAAGAAAGATCGACGCGGAGTCGGTGCATCCATAAGGCCTTTGATCATGGCATCGATATGATCCCTATTCTCTTGCGATTGCCACATTTCCGTGTTGCGCCATGCACACTCCAACAGGAGATCCTGGAGATGCTCGTGCTTGGCGAAGTCCTGCAAAATCTCCCATTGCTGCAATTTCTGAGCACACAGAACCCAATGGTCCTCCCACAGTGTGTATTCGGCTTGAGAGAAAGGGAGAGCACCAGTGCGAGCCTTGACCTGCGCTATCTCATACATCTTCTGAGCCTTGTCCCACAAGCCATTCTGCTCGTAGGACAGAGCGCTGTTGGTTTCCAAGAATTGACAGCGACGGCGCCAGGTGCCATAAAAGAAGTCATCTTCCTTCAAATTGGCGTATATCTCGACGAGCGCATTCAGGTTGCTCTCCCTGACTGTGGGTGGATCCGATGCCTCTAGGTCGATTGCGGCATCTTCAAGCTGAACAAGCGCTGTGTACCAAGCGTCGAAAGTCTGAGCCGCGTACTTCAAGACATGTGGAGGAATCCTACACTCAGGAGATGCCTTCGCAGCGCCCTTGAGCAAAGCCTGGATCACGTTGGGACGCTTGTCAAGCTGCCGCTGGTGGTAGTCCTTGGTCAACAGCAGCACCAGGCCGCGTTTGATTTCCTCACGTTCCTCCCTCGTCGTTGCAGACCAGTACATTGGGAACAATGTCTCCCAGAGTTCTTTGCCGAGGTTCGAGTCAACATGCTGCATTTGTGTGAGTGGTTCTATAATATCCCGAACCTTGACATCGCCGAGCTCGGACATGAAGCGACGATGATTGGCCATGAAAGCCTCATACTTGTCATCTGAGATTGCAGTCGGCTGTCTTGAGTCCTTTGCATAGTTGCCAAAGAGTCGAGAGGCAGGCAAGGTTCGGAAGTCATCGTGGTGCAAGTGAAGGCTGCTGTTCGATTCTACGGAACCGAGAAGCAGTTGTGAAGCCTGAGCAAGCCAGAAAGTCTCACCCAATGTGTCCCAGTTCTGTGTATTGATGACGTACAACAAGCGGGCACTGGCAGTCTTGGACAAACTCTTGTCCAAAAGTGCCATAAAACGATTCCGCATGTTGATGTCTTGCGCCCGAGTACCAATCAGGAAAGCGTGCTCCATACGCACAGTCAGCTCGGTCCTGGTTATTTTCGGGTCCTCATATATGCGGAGCACAAGATCCAAGTACTTTGTCAGCATCGTCGTGTCGGCGCGGTGCTCGAACGTCAACATTTTGTGCAAGACAGCCGTCTTCTCCTTAAGGGTAGGCCACGTCCCTTCTGACCGGAAGATCCAGCCTTCGACCATGTCTAGAATCTTCTCACACAGCGGTATATGCAAAGACTTCTCCACAAGCGTAGCCAGGACGCTGAGGAACGGCCTACGATTGTCCCCGAGAATCTCCATTCGCTTTGCAGTGACATCAATGGCCTTGAGCATCAAGCCAGTCTGGATCTCAAGATCGTAGTCGTCCATCTTGGCAGGCGGATTTTGGTCTGGAGCACGAGGAGGTGCGTTTCCTTCGTGACTGATGGCGGTGTAGTGAGATACGTGGTCCCTAGCCAGTTTAGACTGTAATGATTTCATGATGGCTGGAATGTGAGGGTCGATAGCCGATGGACGTCGATTGCCTAGTGACCAAAGGATGTTGATGCCCGCAACGTAATTCGCGGCCGCCATTGTCTCCGTCCCGATGTTGGAGAGGAAAGTGATGACTTCAGACGTTTGGGATTCGGGCTCACCCTCAGCGTCGGCGTCTTCCATCTGCACATCCTCCGCAGCAGTGGGCACAGCGTCAAGGATCCTCTTGACAGTCGCTCGAATCTCCCGACCGTCATCGTACTTCGGGTCTGCCAAGTGAAGACAATCCTGCAGCTCAGGGTTTTCTGACCTTAGACATTTCTCAAGAATCTTCTGGATCTGGCTCATATTCTTCAAGACCCATTCATCTGACTTTGAATCCAGAATGATGCGCACCACTTGAAGCGTATTGATGATGTTGGTAATGAACTTCTCGTCGTACCTCTCTTTGTTCTCTGGATCGATACTGAGGATCTGAGTCGTCCTATCGCTAGCAAGGACCACATCAGTGACGTTGGGGAACAAGTCGACGTCGAGATCGGCCCAGTACTCTGGCTGCAAAAGGTTGTACAGGAGAGTCATCGCCTTCTTGTTGAGCTCTGTGGATATGGAATGGCTGGCCGTGACTGGTGCGTCCTTTGCTTTACTTGATGGCAAAGAGTATCGCTCGTTCAGCTGGGCAATGAACTCGACCAGGTATTTGACCATCTTCTGACGCACAGGTGCAGGAATCTGATACTCGGTCTTCTCGACGGCAGCAGTCTGTCTGACTGCTGGAGGCGACGAATTTGATATCTCATCAAGTTTGCGCTTCTTGGCAATAGGCGATTGGGATTGGGACGCCATGCGCAAGGAACTTGCGGTCCTTCCAGTGACTCGCCTCTGTTCCCACTCCCAAATCAGCCACATCATGTTAAGGGCAAGGCGTCTGCTCTCAAACGATGGGTTGGGGAAGTTCGCCACTTTTCGCAAACACTGAATGATGAGAATGGAGAACTTGTCGCGAGTCTCGTAGAAAAGATCCGGATGCCGCACGAGGAAGTGAAAGATGCTGGTCATTTGCTGAACATTTTGTCCCTCCTCAGACAGAATGCGTCGAGGAGCAGCGGACCATACTGCGTTTCGCTCGTTGGCCTGGATTGAGCCGCATCGCTTCGGCAAGACTGGCGCCATCAGCTCCAAAGCCTGTGTAACAAGCGTGCGTCCCTCGTTCTGATTGTTTTTGAGCAGAGAAAAGTACACCTGAGATACTATCTTCGCTGGTGTGTCATAGTGCGCGATGAAGTAGGACAAAACGACGTAGGCGGCATGCTTGTTGATCACGTCGTCGAGTCTGATATATGTCCATCCAAACTTGATTATGTCTTTGCGTGCCTCCTGCAAGATGGTGTTGTGGTATTTGATGAGGAAGGCCGAGAGCTGCAGAACCTCCATCCTCGTGTGATCAATGCCCGGCTGGCTGAGGTCGTCCTGGGGATCAGCCAGACTGACCTTCCAGATCTTCGTGCTGATGGAATCAATGACGGTTCGGTCGATCAAACGATTAGGTCGTTGCTCAGGTTGGTCCCAGTGGCGCATCAGGTCCATGGCCAGAATAGGGTTGACAATGTTGTGCAACAAGAACAGTTTAGTCTTCTGGCATGCGGTCTTGCCCGCATAGATGTCAAGACATCGCAGAACGATTGACTTCCAGACTTCGACCGACTCGTTGCAAATAACCCCGTTGTACAGATAAGAATACAGGCTCTGTGTTGGTCTCACGTTCTCAGTCGTGACAGAGTCGATCAACGAAAAGAGAGCATCAAGATCTTTGGGGTTCTGCTCGAGATATTTGGTCATGATCCATGTGGCCTGTTCTACACCTTGATGAGCAGCAAGGCGCAAAGGACCAATCACCTCGTTGTTGCGAAGTTGTCGTTCAAGATCACTGCCTGCTTGCTTCAACCAAGCGAGGGCGTCCTTGTTTGCCATCCACGCTGTAGCAGAATACTGGCAGAGTGCGTCGAGCATGGTAATGGCGTTGATCATGGAGGTGGATCTACCAGGACGATCGTCAACAGGAACGTCTTTGCAAGCCTGGACCAAGGCTTGGATATTTGCTGCTGCAAATTCCCGGAGTGGACCACTGTCGGCGTGACGGAGCACCTGAGCGAAAAACCGTCCGTACTTGATGTCGCGGATCTTGTTCAACAGCAAATTCCATATCTCTTGTGGATACCGATTCAGGAACTTATAGATTGGCTTGCGGAAAGGGCTGTGATGCGTACGCCGTAGCTTCGCCTCCAGATCCAATGCCGTCTCGATGATTCGTTCTTTGTAGCCTTCTGCTGCAGCCGGCAACAGGTGGAAAATATTGAAGACAGCTGCGATGACCTCCATCATCTCATTCTGCTCAAAGAATGTGAAAGACAATTGCTGCAGCATATTGCCATCTGCGAGGTTTTTGACATGGTCAAGGAGGCGCGTGCCTATCTCGACCTTAAAGTACGACGTTAGAAGTTTGAGAAGCCTCGCCAAGTTGTTGAGGCCTTGAAGACTTAGCCTCTTTGCATCTTGGAGGCTGGCCAGAACCGGCCTGAGACCTGATTGGAGCAAATCTTTCGGTAGCTTGTTGTTGATGGATAAGACGGTCTTCAGTGCCTCGTAAGCGGCATCGATGATGGGTGTGGGATGCAAATAAAGGCACTTGAAAAAGGTTGCGACGATCCTAGTTCTCTCCTTGTTTGGCTGATTGGGCTGACTGGGCTTCATGAAATCCTCGAAATCCATAGCGGTGCTGAGAATTTTGATGCAGGACACACGAAGATTCACGATGTAGTTATGTGTCCGAAACTCGGCGGCTTTGTTGGCGAGTGACTCGTCGCTTGCCTCAGCGAGTGCCAATGATTCCATGAGCAGACGAGTCAAATTTTCATCCATCTTGACGAAATCAGGCTTCAAAGACATGTAGTGCGTGACCGCATCAATGTAGCCGATCTGGATCGAGAATGGTAGAGCTCGGAGTGGTTTGGAGTAGATCTGTGACAGAAGACGGTCCCTGTGAGGCTCAAGTAACTCCCAGACCTGCGCATCTGCTGCCTTGGCAATGATATCAAGGCAGCGTTTGGCGGTCTCTCGAACGTGCTTGTTCATGTGTGGGAGCTCTTGATTCAACACATTACAGATGTGAGCCATTCGAGGCTGCTTCGGTGGCTGCTGACCCTTCTCCTGCGGCACTGGCAGGCAATCTTCCTTCTTGATGTTTTTCGTGATCCTGTGTAGCAAGATGTCCAGCGTGTCTTGTGCAGATCGTCTCGTATTCTCAGGGAGATCCTGTGGCATATCCTTCACCACGAACAGTAATGCTTTGATGCATTCACTCTGTTTCAAAGTGATCCACGCGTCTCCAAGATCAACATCAGTCAGTAGTATGCGGATGCCAGCACAGCCACCGGCTTTGGTGAACCACTCTTCTTCGTAGCATCCATGACAGAGGACCGAGCCAAGATGGTGGAAGAATGTCAGACGGCCAACATTGTTCGAGGATCCAAGTATTATGGAGGCAGAATCATATACCTCTTGAATAGCTCGTTTAGCGGCTTCGCGGACATCTGGGTGGTCGGATGCCAGTGACTCAAGAATTGCATCGGAAAGGACACGCGTGTCTAGACACATTGGACCCTCGCCCGCGTTCACATCAAATGGACTTGCGCTCCGTTTGCAGTCCACAAGGGCTCTGCCTACTTCGATGATCGCGAAGTGGCGGCAAAGATTCAACAGGAACGCCATGGATTCCTCCTTGAAGTCAGGCAAAGAGTTGGCAAACATCATGGCCTTGATGAGCCGCTTTAGCACGTTATCTTGGTCCTCTTTGTTGGGAACTGAGCGTCCACGATCGGAGATCTCAAAGACCGAGAAGTCGGCGTCAGTTTTTCGGGCCAGTAAATCCTGCACTTGAAGGCGAACTAGCCTCGGAAGGTCCTCGGGCAGGTTATCATAGCCAATACGCAACTTGAGCTGCGCCTTGAGGAAATGGAACGCCTTCTCCTTGTAGAAAGCATCGAACTGCTTGGACGGGCCGCCTTTGACTTGTTTGGGGGCCTCCGTAAGCTTCTGGATAGCAAGCTGGATGCCCATGTTGACAGGGAATGGCCTCTCTTTCTTTGACCCTAGTAGCCGCAAATCGAAGCTTGGGCTATCATCGACAAATTGCTGGAAGCTCAGCGAAATGGCATCTGTCATATACTTGCGGTTCCGACCGCCTAGCTTCCCGAGTATTCTCATTGTTGTGTGGGCGTGGAAGTGCTGATACGGAGCTGGTTTGAGATGATCAAAGAGCGCAGACATCAACTCATCCATGACTGGGGCCATGATGGGGTCGAGGTAGTCCGCTGTGAGATTGTCCACGCATAACTCGAGCGTCCGTAGACCCTGGCCGACCAGATCACTCCCGGCGCGCAAAGCGACTACTAGCGGCCGCATGAGAAAACTTAGATGAGGCAACAGATTGCTGAGCCTGGCAGGAACCGTCAAACACAATTCCACATACAGATCTCGCTCGGCTGGCTTTCTAGCAGCCCTCAGCAGGTTGTTGAGAACGTCGAGCAGCATCTCCAGTAGCGGCAGTATCTTCTTGTAGAGATGCTCAAATTTTCCACCGCCAATGCTTCTGAATAATGAACGAAGGAGGAGGAAGTAGTTCATTGGCTCCTCAGCCTTGGTAGAGTACTCGATGGACTTTGTGACGATGTCCACAACGTGAGGCAATAGGACCTGTTCGTTTTGAGCTGCAAAGAGAGTGACGGCCATGAACGCCAACTTATACAGCCGTAGAAGTATCGACGCCTTCTTCACATCTGCTGAGCCGACATCCTCGATGTGTTCCATCAGGAATCTGAGAAGCATGCCACAGAAGCTTGGTGATGTCGCTTCACTAGCTAGGAAGAATTGTGGTATGTGCAAAAGCCCAGTATGGTCGAATATCATCTCATAGAGGCGGGGAATTTCCTGCTGGAAGACCTCGTTGAAAGTAGCTGGGTCAATGCAATGGAACACAGTTGCAAACGTTTCCAAGAGCTCCTTTTCCTCCTTGCTGCTCGAGTTCATGTAAAAATTTGCCATGTACTCAACCGCAGACTGGTATTGAGATTCGCCAATGGGCTTCTCGATTTCGTAGTATCGGAACACGTAGGCACCTTCCCTGAAGAGTTTGACAATGACCTGCACTTCCTCGGGGCTGAAACCATATGCAACGTCCTGCCAATGCGCTGGCGCATTCACCTGCTCGACGACGTGCGGAGGGTTGCAAACCTTGAGCTGATAGAACGTGTTCTTAAGACCGTTCATCAGGTTCTTGAACAGAAATTTGTTGTCAATGACAGGATCTGCCCCCTTTTCCCGAGGATTTGCTGTTTTGATAGGCATCGCATTGAAAATGTCGACCTCATCCCAGTCCGGAGGATCGTCCTTATCAGCGAGGTATGTGTCTGGGACCTGGTCTTTTGTCTGCTTCGCGTATGCTTTGGACAGCTTGACAGCGTTCGCGTACTGCCGGTTCATGGCGGCGAACTTGTCCCCAATAGCGTTCAGGATCATGATCAAGAAATGTCGAGCATCCTCCTTGTTTTCCATCTTGGCAATGCATTCTGCCATATTAAGTAAAAGCTTCGCGCTCATGGTCTGGAAACTGGTGCCGGGAAAGTTGTCCTGCAGGTTTCTTGTGTAGACCTCCACAGTCTTTCTAATCTGCGCTGGGGTGAGAGAATCTCTGACGTGGTGGATCAGATCTGCGAGCATGCTGTATGCAAGCGGCCTCATGTTCTCGTATACTGTGAGTCCATCACCTATCAAGGTCCTTTCATCCAAGAGTTCGTCGATCTTGGGCAGGAAGATCTTCCTAAAATTGAAATTGATGATATGACGGATGGCGACAAGAAGTTCCTTCCTAGCGCTCGATTTCTCTCGCGGACAATCCTTCAGCAGTCGTACCACAATGTCCGGCAAAGTAGGCAGAAAATCCGTCAGTTGTTGTGAGTACTGTCTCAGTAGATATGCCAAGAAACTCATCGTCTTGACCTGTGCTGTGATGAACTCGCCGAAAGCTGCCCGATTCCTGATATTAGGGCTGACACCGGTGAACACAGTGTGCTTGGACGCTGCCTCAGTATGTGCTTGTTCTTGAGCTTTCGCTTGTAGACACAGAACACTCTTGATCAACGGAACAAAGGCCTTAACGTTCTGCGGCACGGTGTTCCGGTAGACTTGGAATATTGAGACGACGATAATCGGGCACTCTGAGAGGACTTTGAATGATTGCATTCCCTTGAGCAGCGGCCGAGCGGTCGGCTGGTCGATGCCGAATTCAGTCGTCGTTGCAGTGGGCGAGCCTGGTCGGGGTGACTGATGCTGATGGAAATTCGTCTGCGTGCTTCCTGGGGTAGATGGCAGTCCTCCTGCCCCGGTCGCGGGCTCGTTGTCAAGCTGCTCCCTCACGACCCGCTCCATTTGCTCGAATAGCTCTTGGATCAGGCTCAGAAACTCCTGTACCTTGCCCGCGACGACCTTGGACTGGAATCGCATGATGTCGGACACGACTTTGACGCAAATGACTGCATTTTCTTCGTTGTCTGTCCGGACGAGTTTCATCAATAGTTCGACAGTTTCCAACGCGTATGGCTCGAAAGGCTCGGCGGCAGCAGGGACTGTAGGGAATCGATGCAGGATCTCGAGAATGGTGTTCCGGAGCCTCTGTAGATATGAGGTTAGCAAAACTTAAGGTCGTGAGCCCGAGTCCACATACCTGTTCGTTTGATGTGCTCTGGAATATGCAAGGGCCATTAAGAATGAGTATAAAGACGGGCATGACCCGCTTCAGGAAGACTGGGTAGGACGGGCCGGATGTGAAAACGTCGAGGTTGTCGCGTAATGTCGTTGCCGCCTCGGCCTTTGCGCGGGACTCTGCAATATACATATGGTCAGTTAATGACGCGATATATACAACGCGTTGGCTTCTGCAACTGACCGCTGTCCTGCGCGACAAGTCGCTTTACCACATCTTCAAGGAGTTGTTGCGACATTGTCGCGGTGGCTCTTGATTAAATCCACCCCGAGCCGAATTCCATCAGAGTTCAGATATCGTGACTGCCGATGATGGCTATACAGAGGCGCCTCGAGCCTGATGGTGGACAGCGCAAGCCAATTGCTGGCAGAAAGGTTGGGTTGCCTGCGCGCGGCACCTGGCCCCTCCACTGCGACCAAGCTCAAAAGTCGCGACAGAGCTTGGTAAATGTAGATGCGCAAGTGGCATTCATTTCACCACAAGACTCCAGATCTATGGATTCCTTTAAAACATGCGTTGATGAGTGGAACCTGTGGGAGGAGAGATGTTGTGGGGTTGTTATTGCTGGAAGTACGGAGTGGTAATGATGAATGGGTGACTAGAGTATGCGCCAGACAGGCACGTTCTGAAATCTTCGGGAAAGCTTGAGATGGCAGGGAATTGAGAAGCTGGGGGGACGAGCCGCCAAATCCAGCGGGTGCTTACATAACTAGCTCCGTGAGACTGAACCACCCAGACCACAGGAAATTGGAGCTAGCGCCGAGTGAAGTCTAGCGCCTTGTGGAGACGTGTCTTTGCCTGCCGTTGGGGGGCCATTGCCAGCCGTAGGGTATCTTATCTAATCTAATCCATCTAATCGATAAGATCGACTGTGATATGTGGGAATCACAACCAACAGGCATAAACTCTATTTGACAACTCCACAACTCGACTTCAATATTACTTGCTTTGTTTCATGGATTTCATCTTTCCTTAATCATGTACTGGCAAGACTAAACAATGCAAATTCATACTGGGAGCCTTGTCAAGCAGAGAATAAGTTATGAACATACACATGATCATCTTCATTGTCTATCTTCGTTCGTTTACATGACCGCCATGTATTCAACTTTCTACAAAAGTCTTCCAGATGTCTTCGTATGCACTACGCAGTAATCAACCAAAGATTCTGCGACAAAATTTCCAAATTTCAAAAGATCCATGCGCCATAAATGTCCAATGTTGGTATCTTTTTCTCCCCCCATAAATGACCCTAAGATGAGCCTGTTCCCTGTGGAAGGAAACGAGGCTGAGAATTAAATTCAAAAGAGAAAGAAAACACGGCTCAAGCATACCACCAGGGTACTCTAACCAAGGAATGGAAGACTACGCTTGGCACGACGGAGAGCCCGGGTCATCTTGAACTTGCCGGTAGCGGCAACAATCTCAAAGTTGGCCCCAGTGCCACTGCAAGATGTACCAGCTGCGACCGACATAACAGCTGACCATGTGCCTGAAGCACAGACCTGATAAGAGGACGAGCTCACACATGAATAGTCTCCCTCAGTCGTGCAGGCAGAACCGGCAGTCTGTGAACCGCTGCTACTGGAGGATCCAGAGCTGGATGATCCGGAGCTGGAAGATCCAGAGCTTGAGCCGCTCGAGCTAGATCCGGTGGGAGCCGGGGCGGCTGAGGCGCTGGTGGTGGCTGCGCCGCTTCCAACTGTGGCAAAAACGCCGCCAGCAGGAGCAGTGGCCGCGGAACTGGCAGCCGAGGTGGTAGGAGAGCTTCCGGCGCCACCAGTAGCACTGGCACCGGAGCCGGAGCCTCCACTCGAACTGCCCGCATTGCAAGAGCCGGTAGGCGCGGCAAACGCATCAGTTGCGCCGTTCAGCTTTTGAACATTCTCTCCTGGGTCCGGGAACGTAACGTCCGTGTCGCTGACAGTTGCGCAGCCGTTGTCAATGTTGGCCTTGAACATGTCCGGCAGGGCCTCATAGTTGCTCTGGGTACCCGAACCGCCAGTCAAATCGACCAATGCGCAGTTCATGTACATTTCCCTGTTTCCGACCTTGTTGAACCATGTCCACGCAAGCACTGCCTTGCCTGAAGGGATGTTGTCAGGTAGGGTGAAGTTGTAGTCGTAAGGAACGGGCTCAGTAGCCGATGTGTCATCACCCAGATTGCCCGCGGCGTTCTGAGCAGGACATCCACCCTCGATCGAAGTGATTGTTTTCCAGGTGCTGCTGGCAGTCGGGTTCTCGTCGTACGTGATGGACACTTGGCAGGAACCGCCTCCATGAACAGACTGCCCGATGAAGTTCAGGGGCTGGTCTGATCCCAGCGCCATGCTTGTTGATTCACCCGCAAGAGTTTGCCCAGAAGTCAATTGGCAGGGATAGTTGCTGCCATCAGCCAACAAGGGACCGTTCGTCACTGCAGGCGTGGTGGCGCGAACGGGGGTGGCCATCAGGATGTGGGCCTCCACAACAGTGGACAGGCCGCAAGCTGCAGCGACAGCAAAAGACTTGGTGAAATACATCTTGTCTTGGATAAAAATGCTCTTCGTTCCGGACGAATTGCCTAGTAGGGAGTGTTGTTATGAAGGTAGATAAGAGGTCCTGTAATCAATGTGGTTAGACAACAACTGCGAGACATACTTATCCAGTCTTGGGGCAGGACGAGGTTGTCCCGAAGCATGCTGGACCTGAGAGGGAGATAAAGCTTGGATGCATACCTGACAATGCTTTGTTACAGGATTGATGTGCAGCAAAGGAGGACTCGAGTAGTCAGAAAGTTTCGAATAGTCTCGGTTTCTTTTGTTCAAGGAACGGTATGCACCAGGCGGGAGAGATGAAAGAAACAAGAATGGCAGAATAGAAGGGCTAGCCTTCAGAGGAATGAATGCGACTGCTCAAGTCTTGTGGCAATGGAAGGACTGTTGATGATGAGGATTAGGGAAGAGCTTCAGTCGGGTTGACAGAGCATCTTTATAAAGATGAGAACAACACGGGAGGCAAACATATGCTTAGTCGTATTCAGGAGACCACCACCCCTACTATAGAGGTACGTTTGTGTAAGTCCTTCCAGTGGATGAGATCGACCGAGACCCAGACCAGGTATCCACTCGGACAACCGAGATCGTGTAGAAGTCAGGATACCTTGGCGAGAGACTGCGGGCAGCAGCCAGTCAGGGCGCACAGCCGCGTCCATGAGTCCGACATGCGAAGCATGATGGATCTGCTTAAGGGATCAGGGATGAGAGGGTGATCGCAGAAAAGTGCGGATGAAAAGCCATGATAGGCTGTCCCGATGTTCCTGGCTTGTTTCGGGGGGGCACAAAAAGGGTAGAACATTTTTCTGCGAGTGACCGGGATTAAGCATGGCTTTTCCTTGATCGCTCAACGGGAGCCAATGCCCCACGATCTGCAAGTGCTCGCCGCGTCACCCCTGACTTTGTCCCATTTAGGCAAGCGAGGCGTAGCATTGCATGTTCTCGAATGCCTGAGAGAGTGTGGCCACCGTAAGCAGACACCACGACTGATTGAGACAATTGCTGGAGCCAATGTCGGCGGCACGTAGTATCATCCGCAAGTGAACCGTACCGAATGAACAACATCTTCTCGAAATGCAAAGATGTGCAACAGGCGTCAATGGGCATTGGGCAGGTATGCCAGGCCACGTTGAACTCCATGGATACCCCCAGGTTGTCCAAGATCGCCAAGCTTTGTCCGATGCGGCCTCCAAGGCGGACGGCGGACCCGTGGGGACGGGTCTGTGCCACGAATGGCAGCAGTCAAACGAGCCAACACCACGCAGGGTTCTGGGGCCGCGCTGTGCGGCAAGACTGGCAGGACTGGCAAACGCTCACCTGCGTGCACAGGCACCGGAACCTGGCATAGCTAGTCCTCACGCCACGGCGGTCAAAATGTAGGCATGCAGGTACGCCGCAAGCTTGATTCATGGCGAGCCAGGAAAGGGGGAGGGACTGGGCAATCCAGGGGTACATTTTTGGAGGGTGTCAGGGATATGTCCCTGCAGCCGTCCCTGGTCAACACGAAGGGTTAGGGAGGCTGAACAGTAAAGCGCAGTCTTTTTTGGTCGAGATTTGCCCATTGCACCCCGCAAAATAAGCCGGAAACGCACCATGTCCATTTCGATCCCGTAGGAGGCAGCCGAATCAGACATCGAGACGGTTAGTCGGCTAAGACCTTTTGCTCAGCAGCCGTCGTCATGCTGTGATAGGACGCGCAGGCTTTTGCAGCGCTTGCAAGGGATCCGGCATGGCAATGAGATGCCGAATAAGCGGTGCAGGAAGAGACATCGCAGATTTAGGTCAGGGGCTACCATATGATGCCCGAGAGGCAACATGTCAGTGCCGGGCTGTCAAGCTGCCCGACAGAGAGTGCTGTCAGGTCATCCCCTCCTGCTTGCTCCTTCTCTTCGCTTGATGTTGCCCAAGTGTAGGCCGAGCCGAGGCAAACACAATCGAGGGAATGATTCCGGCGTTGTGTTTGCTTGGCGAGGTTGACTGACAGCTGCCAAACCAGGCCATGGGATGGGTCGGTAAGAGTCAAACTGTCCGGATCTGGAGTCTCACTCATGCAAACGAATCGCGGGACGGCGAATGTGCAGGGCTCAACAGTGTGTGGGTCCGTGATTGCGCAGTCCTAGCAGCGCGAGGCACGTCCAAGCTGGCCGTGTGTGGTGGAGGATGAAACCAGGGTCTGTTTCACGTCTTTGATGTGCCCGACTGTCGACGAGGTCCCTCGCCGTCGCTGTGGTTCGTCCGACATCGATTGTTTCCCTGGCCAGCGACCAATCCTAGGTCGAGATTGGGGAACAAGTCGACCAAGGTCAGGCAATGCAGGGGAGGTCGATGTGCTACACCGAGATTTGGGGTGCGAAAGGCGACGTGTGGATTGCGTGGAAGAGGAGTGCTTGTTACGAATGTTTTGAAACATGCTGGGTTGCCGACATCCAGTCGTTTGCTGCAGGAGCTTGCATTACCCCCCATTCGATGCCCTCCAGTGCCTGGCGTGCCTGGGTACCCAGCTCGAGCCTAGGTAGTGGCGCTTTAGTTGATGAGTAATAACCATGGATCTAAGAGGTTCCGAGGAAAGAGCCCACTAGCGAGCTGCCACCAGCTGCTGCAGCCTCTTCTGCAGCCGGTGCTGGCCGCCCGCAAAGCAGGCACGTAGCATCGACCCATCAACCCATTGGCCCGGATCGTGGCTGCCTCGGTCTCCCGTCTACTGGCCCGTTTTGCGACCGTTCGCTCAGCCGTGTTATGGATTTGTGACAACGACAATCCTGTGCACTTGACAAATAACGAACGGCCAGACTCCCGTCGCGACGGCTCTCAGAGGGCACAGCCGACATGCGCGCGTCTCTGTTCCATCCAACGGTCTTCCCTCCAACAAGGGCATTCATGCAACGTTCCCGTGGCGAGCCCCAGGGAATGCATGAACGAACGACCGACTGGGCGCCGAAAACCTGGCCTGGACGTTGTGCAATCGAGCTGAGCAACCCGCAGAATCCATGCCTTCAAGGTCGTCTGCGGCTCATGAAATGACTCGCACCCGCCAGGGGGACAGTGCCTCTTCATCCGAAGTGAAGGGGGCGATGCGCGAGCGATCCCCGCGGACGTGGAACCCGGCTGGACTGGTCAATGCTGCTACTTTTGCTTAAGGATCATGCCAGGCTGCCCAGGACATTTTTTGCGAGGAGCCGCTCCAAGCCACCCACCATCCTTGCCCAGCTGATGGGCCCCTGAGTTTGCCAACCGGCATGATATTTTAGATGAAGTTTCCTCGGACGACAGCGATTACAGCGCGGCAGTAGACGCCACCCGCCCACCCATACGAGCCGAATACCGCGAGACTCAGTATTTTGATTAAGGAATGTTGGACGAGGGTAGGTAGTTAGGTAGCCAGTTGGCCTCCTGGATGAGTGATGATCTATTCCGTTGCCACCTCTAGGTCTAATCCAGTTCTTGCCCGTCTACTCTGAAACCAAGCCAAAGGCACCTCGAGGCCGCGGGTCACAGCGACCAACTCATGCTGCCCTCAGACGGCTGCAGCAACGCTGGCAGGCTGGTCGGGATCGCAGTCTGTTCCCTGTGGTTAGCATTTTTGCCACAAGTAGTATCCAAATTAGACAGGTGAACTCACCCTCAAAGACGTAGCCCGCCCGCGTCCACTTCTTAAGTTTGTCGCGGCGAAACTCGGCGAAGTCCCACTCCTTATCCTCCAGCCAGTCCTTGTCCAGGAAGATGTATGATTCGGTGATGATTTGCTCTCCCTCCACGTTGCCCTCGCCCTTCTCATCGCCGACCTGCGTCAGGAGCTTGGGGCGAACAACCCGCCGGTCGTAGGCCGAGCCTTCGAAGAAGTCGAGACGCTCCAGGTTGGCTTTCGTGACACCGCTGATAACAGCGCCACGAACGGTGTGATCAGGATCCTCAATCATGCCCGGGTAGTCGGCGCCGCGGACTCGGCGTCGGCAGTAGCCATGCAGGATGGCAGGCTGAAAGCTGTGTCGCTTCTGGATCTCCTCGGGTGGATCTCTGTTGTCGTAGCAGACCGAGTAGAATACCTGGGGCTCCATCTATCCCAGCGACACACGTCAGCTTCCAGGGGTCTTCAGAAACAAGGTAGCAGGCGCTCCCTTACCAAAGTGCCTACAAAAAATGTCAGTCTACATCTTGTTAATCTTGGGCTCGAATATCAACCAACCATAGAAAAAGGCGGTACGCGTCTCGACTTGCTCCTCTTTGGTGCCTGCCATTTTGCCGATCGCGGCCGTGGGCCTAGTTGGTGTTAAGGTTAGGGAATAAGAGATCGCAGAAGTCCAGGAACACAGGTTTGACCTTGGCAGGTAGGCGATTGCAGCTCAGAGAGTGTTGCAAGTGAGCTTGGTGAATCAACAAAGGATTGAGCTGGTTCAGAATCTATTGTCCCGTCTTGTGTGGTGGTTCATCGTTGATATCTTGATAAGCCGCGGCACAGGGAGTCGCCCGTACAGCCGTGATCGGCCAAGTTGTGCACTAACTGCCCACTGCCGTACTGCTGAGTCAACGTACTCAAACGACCAAACAACCTCAGAATACAAGATGGATTTCTTTGATAGTGTCTGGGGTTGTAATGCAACCATGGAAGAGATATCAGCAACTGCAACGTAATTTCAGTCACCAATATAGCTGATTCCGCTGAGACACCCATATCCTGGTCATCATCGTTGACTGGTTACTTAGACGTCCCTCATGTCGATCACTCAAGGTACGTGCGTGTTCTGGATAACTCCACGAACATATCATCAAAGAGAAAAATAACTCAAATCGCTAGACACAATCATCTCTGACATGTGTGCTCATACCTGAGCGGCCCGCCGACCCTTCTTGCCATCCAACGACGACCTCCGGTCCAGCAGCACGACATAAGGATCCAACTCGATGCCCATGTGCGCCGTCCCATCCGCCCCAACATATCTGCCAAAGCTGTACTTTTCCGCGGGCTTATTCTTCATCTCAACCCCATTGTACATCCTCGCAGCCCGGCTCCCGGCTACAAAGGCAATCGTTGACCCAATTGTAGAGGGCATCCTGGGAAGCAGCACCTTCCTTTGCCGTGCGTATAGTATCATCCCAACCAGGAGATATATCCCGAGGATAGTCATGCTAATTGTAAACGCCGTGTCGTCCATAAATATTCTGGTGTCCTGTGTCACCAACGTCGCCGCCAGAAGCGGTGGTGTCTGGTTTGGCCCAAAGGCCGCGAAGAGGTCCGAATTAGCACCTAGAAGCGCCGCTCCGATTCGCTGGTAGTTCTTCTCGACGGAGGGTATCAGACTCGTGATATCGGGCAGGTCCTTGCTCGGATCAACATGGTCCGTCGAATTCGTCTCCAGCTTCAAGTAGTAGTTCATCCAGTCCCTCGTTAGAGTGTCGTTATGCCAGGCGAGCACGCTGACTCCTCCGGTGCCCTGCCGTGACCGATCGCCTATGAGAGTATTGGCGTCCAGCAAAACGCTCGTCGCATTTAAGCCGAGCACGTCCGTGATGTTTTCGTACTGTCCCAGCCTGCGAGACTCAAGTATTCGCCCGTCGGAATCCACGGTGACGTTGAACTGTGCTGTTATCATCTCGGTCGTGCATTCCAGGAATGCAGTGTCCGGTGCTCGCTTCGGCTGAGCCGTGTCGTATCGCAACCATCCTAGCAACATTCTCGACTCACAAAATGCCGTCGATTCTTGTGTCGTGACTGAGTCAGAAGATTGTTTGAGTGATGTGTATATCTCTTGAGCCGATCTCCCTTGTGGTACAGAGTAGTAAGTATACATATAAGGCTCACACTTTGTGGTGTTACCAGACGGAGCGTCTCCGTAGATCACGGCAAACTCCTGATTGCCCATATCCGTTGTAACGTTGAATCGATATACAGCATGAGTGAGCGAAGCGTTGCTTGTTGGCAGGACTGAGCAAGTTGCTGCGACACCGAAGCCTCGGGTCACGGCGTTGTATTGTGCTGATGTGTTGTCATTCGAGCTCAAATCGGCAAATGGAAGGTAGGCGAACTCTGTGTCGATCCAAGCGGGCAGCCGTGTGTCCGCAGACAAGTTGGTCTGTACCATGTAGAAGTGGTCGAAGTAAGGGCTATTTGACAGGGAAGCATCGCCGGTCGGCAGGACCGTGTCGCGCGTCAATGATGAGGATGTTGAAGACGTGACGTTCAGTGACATGTAGACGGAGGTTGACGACTCGTCGAAAATGGCTCCAAGACCAACAGCCAGCACATTCGCCAGCAGCACGACTAGACTAAGTAGGACCAGAATATAATGCCCGGCCTTTGCTGCTCGCCAAACCACCAACTGCGGAGGAAGAGAATCGTATTTCGTCTCGATGGTCGTCTTCGCCAAGCGTCCACCTTTCAGCAAGTCATGGTACGGCTGTAATGCACATATCATGCGATTGAGGAGGGTGAGGAACGGCTCCAGCATCGTCGAGAAAACCATAGGGATATAATTTTCTAATAATTGCAAAACCTCAAAGTTCTGACTTGGGCGTGTGAGACCTAAGGACGATTAGAAACCCATGTGGCCTTGCAAGGAAGCTCGAGGCCACAACTTCTCTAACGATCCCTCGAGGAACAATACATACCATTGAGTAACAATTCTTGGTGCTTGAGATACGCTAGGACGCCGATGGCAGCTGCGAGAGTGAGAATGAAGACTGCACCGACGGAAAGTCGCAACTCCTTGGGACAGATGGACTGGTGGCTCGTGAGAGGCACCACGTTTGCCAGGCCATTGGGACGTGTAGTTTGATTCGGGAGGAGAAGCTGCAAGGCTGGACCATCTGTGTCCCGGCTCTCTAGGCGATATCGGTCGTTGCGAACAGCAGTATAGAAGGAGTCTTCGTTCAAATTGTCTTTGGTCGAGAGATGAGACAGAAGGCTTCCTTGGTCCTGTATTTTCGGGAATAACGACGCGATGCTGTCGGGGTCGCTGGCAAGATTGCTTTTCGAACGCATTTGGGTGCAGAGCAGGATAACCGCGAGGACGGCTGCCACTGCAAGTAAGCTCTCGACGGCGATCGACAATGGTCTGCTAACAACTATGCCATAAGCCGTATATTTAATAAGCCCATCCCTTGTTCTTTGAGGAGCAGCATCGGAGACAAGTTGCGTGATTGCCGTGGAGAAGACCAGTTTGTGGGCTGCGGAATAAGTCTCCTGTATCACGGAGGTGTTGAGGAAGTTAGTCATTGTGCCATTGTGTAGACCGTTCGCAAACCCAACCATGTTCGTAGTTGGCCAGGAAATGTTTGATTTGTACAGCTTGGCGTACTGGTTCAATACCAGGTTATTCGGGTAGTCTCTGGCAACTACCACCGATGAAAAGCCGGCATGCAATAGGAACTCGAAAGCCGAATTATTGAAGACAGTGTTGTCGAGTAGAGATGGCGCAGCCAACTCGATAAGAGATTTGTCCAAAGGTCGGCCCGTAGTAGCGTCCACCGTGATCGACACTTCCTGCTGCGTGTAAGACGGCTCACAGAACATAGCAGTTATGTTCCCAAATGTGGCGTTTGCACCAGTCCCAGACCCTTGGCCGATGTTGGCGAGAAATTGGTGGGAGAACTCGGAACTGCACTCAGCGTTCGCCAGATGCCAGTCAAGTTGGGCATTGCTTTTATAGCCGATGTACTGCATGTTGTAGTACCCTTCTTTTCCGCCACTAATCGATATATTTTGTATACAACCCTGACCATTGTCGAATAGATACTGGCCACCTTGGACAGCCTCTATAGTAGTTGTGACCGTTGATGGCCAACAGTCCAAGGTGGTCGCGAATTTCGTAGTGTTCACGGTCCACGTTTCGTCCGTTCCTGCGGCCGCCTTGTTAATTGGAAAAAATGGCAGTAAAGCGTATTCATTTGTTGTATACTCGGGTAGGTCCTGCTCATACCAAGCCGTGCCATACGCTGCGTTGAGGATCGAAGCATCCATCACAGCCGCCTGCTCCTGAACAGGAATGAAGCCCGAGCTGATGGACATGGCAGCACTCCTGGATACCGTCACCGCTTGTTTTCCAAAGATCGCACCTTGCAGAGGGGTTATTGCCCAGAAGACGAGCATCATGACAGAGCCTGTAATGAAGACGGGCCAATGCCTCTGCTTCCAGGCCTTGATCGGGACAAAAGCCAAGAATTCGAATGGGTAGTTCAGAAGAAGCGACTGCTCTCCCCTGGCGCCGTGAGACCGGGACAGCTCGAGCCACGGCTGCATTCTCCGCACATCGAGGTCGATCCACGTCCAGAGAAGACTGTACAAGACGGCGACGGTTGTCGGCATGTATAGGTAGGCAATATTGACAGACTTAGGGATGTCGTCCGTGGATGATGAGAGCGCCAGGGCTCCTTGTCTCTGGCTCTTCTGTGCGAGAAACTCGAGTACTCCAGCTATACAAAGGGATATCACAGCGACGGCGCAGAGCACCGGTGCTCTCATCGTATGGGGTTTCCATCCCGCGGAAGAGCCTGATTCCTATGGCCTCAGTCTCGATATGAAGTAATAGTAGACAATGCTGAAGGAAATCGGTCATACCATTTCTCCTCCTCGAAAGCCATTGACTTAGCCTATTGCCAGATTGCTTTGGTGCAATTCCTGTGGCAGGCTGAACTCGTGCCACGAATTCTCGAATCCCAGTAGTCGCCGGCGACTTTGCTGTCTGGGCAGACGGAGGGGAGTTGCCAAGGTGTGGTGAACGACTCCTGTTAAACATGGTAGCAAATCAATGCTACCATCCCAGGCAAATTTGTACCCGGCCCAAAGAAAGGAAAAGACGAGAGAAAAAGCAGAATGGAAACATACAAACTCAAAAGGAAAGAGCTTGTCGCCTTTTCCGGAGGACATCAAGCAATACTTACATATAGACTGCCGCTGCATGACACGGACGGCATGCTGCAGCCCTGCGGCGCAGCCTAGCAGCGCATGCAACTTTGCATGGCAAGCCTCGAACCACAATAGCTGGGTCGCCAATCAGTCCACTTAGCCAGATTACCCATCACCAACAGGTGCATTCTGATCCACCTCGCCAGCGAGCCGCCTATGATGCTTGTCGCGATCTACGCCACTGCCATTGGTGGTATCAAACCGGCCCAGTATCGCAGTCCTGCTAATTCTTATCACGCAGCACGGTAGCATTTGGAACAAAACTGTTGGTTGAAATTCATTGTTCACGTTAGAAGCCTTGATTTGAGATGTGACCGGCAATCATTGAAAATAATTTCAAGCATGAGCCCGATGTCTTGAAGTCCAAAACCTGTCGAGGACATGTTGTAGGTCATGATCGTGGGGCCTGGCTGGTATGCCTCACTAGCGCTTCGGCGTCAAATCGAGCACTGTGAGTGGCTATTCTTTAGCGCGCGTTGTGAGCTCCTGGGTCGCGCTACTATGGAAGTGGATAGCAATGTAGCCCCCGGAAAACCGAATTGGCATCAATGAGAGGACCAGGGTGCAAGCGGCGAACTGTTTTAGCCAGTCAAAGTCATCTGTGCTTGGAAGACATCTTGGTTAGGAGATTGGAAAGTATGGTGCCAACCCACCAAGTCGTTGGTATCATTTGGTATCTATCCCACACGATGCCACGCTTCTTTTTTGCAATTCCGATATGCTCCTTTGACAATGCCGAGCAATATGGACTAACCGATATACGCCTACCAAGATGCTTGCCGAGACGCCCTGGAAATGCCCGTAACCGTTCGCCGAGACCTCATTGAAAAATTAGTTGTCGTCACTCATTTCCATCAAGCTTGTCCTTGCCTCCGCTTGAGGAGCACCTCCAGCTACGGCTTTCTCCTTGCCTTTACCCTTGCTCTTGTTCTGGGAACCATTCAACTTGGCCGCCAGCTTCGAAGTCGCCGCATGTTTACGCTGCTCCAGAACTTGCTCAAACTCGGCCAGCTCTGCATCATCAGTGAGTTCGCCCAGGATGTGGCCGGAATTCGAACTCTCGTCTAAAGCTTTGATCAGAAGCTCGGTTGCAATCGGGTCCTGAGGGTGGATTGCCAAAGCTTCATGCAAGACATTGACCGCCTCTTCCGGCTTCCCGGTGTCAAGGTAAATTAGGCCCTTCGCACAAAATATGGCAGCGTCTTTGCCACCCTCCCGCAGAACCATGTCGAATTCTTCGAGGGCCTGCTGAGATTTTCGCTGCCGTCGATATGCATGACCTAAATTGGTTCGCGCGACAATCCACGCCTGCGGATCACTGTCAATCTCCTCAGCAATCGCAAGCGACTGCTTGAAGTAATCCACCGCATCCTTCAGGCGGTTCTGGTGATAGTATACAATTCCGATCTCGTTCAAAAGTAATGGGTCTGTCTTGCATAGCCCATATGCCGTGTTGAGAAACTCCTCTGCCACTGTCATGTTGTTCATAGCGTGGTGCTGCATGCCCAAAAACACTTGCGGCAGATGCGTCCCCATGAACAGCCTCGCAGCGGTCGAGTAGGCCGAAATCGCCTGGTCGTGTTCGCCTTCCGCTGCGAATGTATGCGCAAATCCGATCCAAGCAGGGCCAAAGTGAGCGTCCATCATGCTGGCTTTGCTGAAGTAGCGGCGTGCTTCGGCGATTTTGCCAGTCAGGTAATAGTAAATAGCAACGGCAAGCCATGTGCATGGCTCCTCGGGATGGCTATCAGCAAGTTCATGAGCGACCAGGAACAGGAGATTCTTCTCCTTCAGCTCGTAGAGGCAAGCCAGATGAATTGGATAGATGCTGAAGTTGTACTTGTCATCGGCAAGTATAACGTTGGTGATCTCGAGTGCGTCCTTGTAGCGAGACTGGGTGTAGAGCAGATCTGCTCGCGCTAAGAGGAGGTCTGCGTTATCCTTGAGCTTGTAATGTGTGGCAAGGCTCTCACAGGCCGTGTTGAAGGCGTCATGGTTCTGATATTTGGACAGTCGAGTGCTATAGAGCATTTCAACGTAACTGGCTATTTCCTGAGAGGTGTCAGGGTCGCCAGCAGCGCTGATTGAATCAAAGTCGAGCGAATGGAGAAACTCCCACTCCTCCTCCGACGACAGCAATGCATTCTTGGTCAGCTGATTGAAGGCCTCGAAGCACTGAACGTCGATCCGAACAGCATTCTTGTAGCACTCCTTGGCGCGATCGAAGGCATTCAGCTTTGCGTGGCAGATCCCCCGTAGATAGCACATGCCAGCTTCATATCTCCGATTGATGGCTTCCGTCTCTTTCTGTGTGTCGCGTAACAATTTCGCGGTGCTCGCTGTTCTGCCACTCGTGCTCGATTGGGTCTTGCGCTTGCTCGTCTCCTTCGACTTGATTAGGTAGGTGGGGTCGCGATCTCCCAGCACGGCCAGCGCCTCGTCGAAACGCGACTGTTTGACAAGGCAGTGCGCTGCGAGGTACTGGCACGAGGGATTTCTTCGGACTAGGTCTCTGCTCTCGAGAAAGCGCTGGGCACGGGTATAGTTGCCCGTCGAGAAATGGACTTGAGCCATCCAGAACGCGTCATTATCGTCATCTGGAGCACGCGTCGCTGGTCAGCAGAGATCCGTTTCCAGAACGGGGCCAAGGTGGAAGAGAGTGGTTCTTACTTGTGAGAGCCAGAAGCTTGTCACCGATAAAGATTGCTGTTTGGAATTGGCCGGAATTGAAGGCGGTCTGCCTCCAACTTCGTAGGAATCCCTCCATTTTGGTGTTGTCTTCCTCGCTGTCCGAAGACATGGTGGGCTAGAGTGCATCCACTTTTCAGAGTCCAAAAGCCTAGAGAAGCTGCAGTGGGTCCCAGATCGTCATTGGCCGAGGTCGGGGAACGTGACAATCATGGAGAATAGACCCAGCGACATGTGAAATGGAGCATCTTGATGTCAACAGAGCAGTTTACAGGCACGGTTCCTATGATCTGACGCTGTTTAATCCGGGGTTGTTGCCCAGGACACGGTCCGCTTATCGCTTATCTTAGGCCATGCCTACCATTGACCAGCGTCCTAGACCAAACAGCACCTTCAGCGACTCACAACCATCTCACCTCTCAGCTGAGGAGCATTGACTGCGCTTCTCTTTCTCTCCTCTCTCTGGCCCTCCTCATCACCCCGAGAGCCATATTGCTGGCTTCTGAGGCTCATCGTAACTTCGATTAGGGACTGACAGACCCAGTGAATCATGCATCGAGAACACCCTCGCCTTCAACATTCTCGCCACACTGTGCCATATTCCTTGGTCGTCAAAGAATATTCTTGCCTGTCTCATTGGGATCTCTGCCCTTGGAGTTACCTTCTACTTCGTGTTTTATCTTGTTCTTGATGAAATTCTATCCATCCTCAACTGTCTACCCCATGGTCTTATTTCTGAAGTCTATCGAACATTGAGATGCTTAGTGGCACCTGGTTCAAGGCTTTTGGAAGTGGGCCTGCCCTTTCGCAGCGCTTACTCCTAATGTATGAAAGATCATTGGTGTCACATAACTTTGATTTAAAACCTTTGCCCTCAGCCTATTCTGTGATCTCTTCATTGTTGCCAAAGTTGGCCATCGTGATATGGGGGGCTAAGAGGCTGTGTTCAGCCGTGCCAAGCTTGAATGAGACCCACTGCCTAATGCCTGTCATTGGCCTCACGCCGAAGACTGGAACGGGACTCACCATGCATCGCTCCGGTCTGAGGCCAAACAAAGAGAAAATCGTGGTGAGTGATTTCAAAAATCGTGAAAGATTCGCCTTGATCAGACCCCGTACTGGAATGGAGGGGAGAATAAGTATCGCCCAGATGTCTTCTTCCCTTTTCTCTCTCATCCTCAACCCAACCCAAGGTCATACATACCCCAGACTCATAACACTCCAGAGGAACTTCGCCACAAAATGGCTTCGTCAGACATCCTTTCTAAGACTCTCCTGTCCATCACCAACACCAAACTTGCTCAGCTCAACAAGCAGAAAGATGCCTACAACAACAGAAAGCGACTCCTCATTGACACGGCTAATGCTCAGTCAGATAGCAACAAGCGTGTCCGTGAGCTTGTTGAAGGCATCAAACATCTGCCAAGCATGACATCGTCGACCCTCAATCCCATGTTGTCACTGGATAATCTCAATCGCTTTGTCCAGCAGGCCCAACATGACCCAGCTGTCACTGGCTCCTTCGTCGAAGAGTACGAATCCTTGGTCCGGAACGAATTGCAAATCCAATCCAACCGGTACGCCTTCGCTTCACTGTACGGAAAGCTTGTCAATGAATGGATATCGGCAGGCAAGAATCAGGAGGAGGGCCCCAAAGCCGCCTCCATATCGGTGGGCCGCGAGGAAGCTCAGGTTCAGCGAGCGACCTGGGAAGAATATGTGTTCGCCCCTAAGGCTACAGACAAGGATGCGATCAAGACATATTTGAGCACCGTCTTCGAGGCCGAAGAAGATGTCAAGGACGCGACCTCCGAGCTGAGAGAGAATCTGAAGAGATTCCAGGACAACTGGTCCGCCAACCCCCATTTCAATGTTGCAAGTCTCACTACCACAATCAATGGCATGCTTCGCAGCGACATTTTGACGGATTCGAAGCGAGCAACTCTGAAGGACTTTGTGGGAAATGAGACTGTCTTGTCAGAGATCGCCGATGTCTTGAACATGCGCATGGCCACTCGCGAGGCTTGGACATGGGAGAGCGACTTGGTAATCGACCAGCGACGACAGCTCAACGGGCGCTACCGGTTCTACCCTGACGAGGATCTCCTTCAGTCCATATTCCTGCATTACATCGGCATGCGCTGGGCTGTCGAATTGCGCAGCGGATTTGAAGGGCTCCTCCACGTGTGGAAGCCGAGTCTGGAACCCATCAGCACCCACGATAAACGGCGCTTGCAGTTCTTTTTGGGAGTATCCAACGATTTTGATGGAGAGATGATGCGCACGATGGAGTGGGTGAAGCGAAATCATTTCGAGAATGAGATATTCCTAGATCAGCTTCCGAAGTACATGGAGGAGCAACGGGGAGCATACGGGTCTCGTGACGACACTGAGACGGCAGACACAAGGAAGAGCCACATTGACGTCGTCCAACAGCTACTCCATATGATCGAGGCAGATATACTCTTGCAAAATCGTTTCGACAAGAAGGTCACGGTCATTCGCTCGGACTTCAAGTGGTTTGGGCCCAGCATTCCCCACTCCTCTATTGTTGCTGTTCTTGAGTTCTTCGGTGTTGGTGCGGACTGGCTGGACTTCTTCATCAAGGTCCTTGAGGCTCCCTTGAGATTCAAGCAGGACCCAGAAGACGCCTCAAGTCGGACTCGCAAGCGAGGTACACCCCTGAGCACTCCGCTTGCGGATGTGTTTGGCGAGTCTCTGCTATTCTGTGTCGATTTCGCGGTCAACCAGATGGCTGACGGTGCTCGATTGTACAGACTGCATGATGACATGTGGCTCTGGGGGGACACTGAGGCTTGTGTGAAGAGCTGGGGTGTTCTGAAGAAATGTGCGAGTGTTCTAGGACTTGATTTCAACCTCGAAAAGACAGGTTCGGCTTCAAATCTGGGTATCGACAAAGAGTTAGCCCCCTCTGATCTCGATACCGGTCTGCCACAGGGCGATGTCAGCTGGGGATTTCTGAAGCTTGACCGACTCAGCGGACGGTTCATCATCAACCAAGACGAAGTCGACAAGCATATCGAGGAACTGAGACTCCAGTTGGACGCCTGCAAGACTGTTTTCAACTGGATTCAGGCTTGGAATACTTACGGAGCACGTTTCTTCTCCAACTTCTTTGGCAAGCCTGCGAATTGTTCTTCCCGGCAACACATCGACAGCATGTTGGAAACATTCCAACGCATTCAGCAAAAGTTATTTCCAGATACTCCCGGCGGCGTCGGTGCGCACCTTAAGCAGATGGTTGCAGAGCGCTTCGACATCCCGTTGTCAGAAATCCCTGACGGGTACATCTACTTTCCTCCTGAGTTCGGTGGACTCGGCCTTAAGAACCCCTTCATCAATCTCTGCCTCGTTCGTGACGCAGTGGTGGAGGATCCAGAAAGGATTATTGATTCTTTCTTCGAGCAGGAGGCAAGGGAGTACCGACGCACCAAAGCCGATTTTGAGAGTGACGCGATGTCTTCGAGAAGGCTCGACATGAGATTTCAGTTCCAAGACCTCGAGAATGAAGACTTCATGAGCCTTGAGGAGTTCTCGAGATATCGCGAACGCCTCAGTGTGTCACTTGGGTGCACATTTAAACAGCTGATGCAAGAGCCGTCGCCGAAGACTGTGGAGCTCAAAGGTACGATCAAGGCCGTGCTTGATCCGGCTCAGTGGCGGGCGCTGACCAGCTACGACCAGTGGATTGTCCAGTTGTTCAACAAAGACATGATTGCTCGGTTTGGGGGTCTGAACGTGGTTGAGAAGGGGCTTCTGCCAACGGGTCTGATGGATATGCTGCGCCAGAGCAAGTTTCAGTGGGTCGGTTGAGCGGTGGGCGGCCAGGGGCAAGGTATGCGACCTTGGTGTCAAGTTGGGGTGGTGGTACGCGACAGGTTACCTGCATGAGAGGATAACAACTAGTCCATATGGAAATACATGGTCATTTCGCGCTGAAATTGGAAGTAACGTCTTCGTGGTGTGCCTCATCTTGCCGAGTCCCTTGGCCTGGAGCATTCCGCTGAAGAACAACGGGGGATGTCGCGAGGCGTCTCTTTGCTTCTACCTCAAGTCTAGACCCGCACAGACACATCGATGAGAACGGCAGTCCACACCGAAATTTGAAGATTAGTCGCGGTAAGGCTCGCCAGAAGCTGAGTGCTCCCTGCATGTTCCCCCATGGGCCTGTAATTTTGCTCGTTTCGTCCGGACCAAGATGCGAACCGTTGTACGACGCACTGGGTGGACCACAGCGCGTGGGTGACCTCGACGGGAATTCATGAGCCATTCCAAGCCCCTCCCTTTTTATTACACTTGAATCTGAATGTATCCAAGGCCACCATGTGTGGTTTTGAAGACAGCGCGCCCACCAGTCGCGTTGGGCTGCGCCGCATCCCCCCGGCATACAAACAAGGCGTCCCATTGTGGCCAGCCCAGAGCCCAGGTCTGTGAACTTAGAGCTCCGAGCGTGCAGTCAAATTTGAAGAATCCTTGTCATAGTACCGTAGGCGACCACCAATGCCTACAAGGTACTAGAGAGACGCGTGCCATGTATCTACCTAGGCACGCACAAGGGCTATACAGCACAGGAGCTGGGCCTAGAGCCAGCCACTTTGCAGCATATACCCATTATTCTTGCCAGTTCTAGTCCTTGCGCTTTTCTCAATTTCGACACAAGGGCACAGACACGTGTGTTCAAATTGGCAACGAGCACACTTGATGTGCACCGGCAAAAGGGACCAACGAGGGAATGACCGTGAAATCAATATTTAGGGTCCAATTTTTATTCGATCAGGCTATAGGCTAGTGAACGACTCCCCTTGACTTCAACAGGCGTCTCCCCATATAATTAGAACATTTAGAATACTTCGATCACAGTACAAATATGACATGTAGCAAATACTCACACCGGGGGAGGGTGGCGTATAACCGACTATTTTCTATATTTGGAGCGTATTTGCAGGAGTCACTATCGTTTAATGCAGGGCTTGTCGTTGCAATCGATTATAGATGGTTTCAAAGAGAATGATATGCCCACTGATCAGTTGACAGCCCTTATTCGATCCGAATCTTGCGGAATGATACATACCCTAATTTCTGTTTTAGACCTCAGTCCCTGTTATAGACATTGGATGAGGCAGTAGCCCCTGCAGTCAGAACTGAACACTCAAAATTGAGACCAGGTTTATCCTCGATTGTGTTGCCTGGAATATTCCACAGCCAAATAAGGACTCTGGGCTCTGTTCGTGACAGAGAGCAAGGGGTGCCCCTCGAAAAGCTACCACCCTGAGTGACGATCACCCCCGGCGCATGCAGGCGTGCCGGACCACCTCAAGAGGGATTCTCACCATGCCGATCTTGGATATAGTAAAATTTTAGAGTTTTGTGCCAAGCCCAGCTCTAGTCCTGCGATTCTAGAGCCGGAAGTTCGGATGTTATAGACCGAACCAGTCACCATTTGCATGTCCAGACATGTACCCCTTGCTGCCCTGTAGCCAAGAGCGCGGCTCCCGTAGGCCAGTGGTCGCTTGCATCTCGCTTGATGATCCTTCAGCCTCAATCAAGGTACTATGAGTTTAAAAGCTGACTGAGATGGCTGGATGGGTGGTGAAGGCACTGTTAGCGTCTTGCATGCTCTTCGGGTATGGGGCATTGCAGAGGCAGATATCATCTCATTTTCCGCCAGCATCTGAGACCAGTAATTGATCAGCGCTAATCTCTCCCAAATTGTGTCCTAGGTCTATTGACAATCCAGGATTTGAAACGCTCTCAACGTCGCGGTGCAGGCAGGGCCAGGGCCAACGTGCGTCGAGCTGCACAGCGCGCACACGGGAAGTGGATCCCGCTGGTCAATTTTGCAACAAAGCTCATTGTTTCTGAAAATAAAATCTTACCAGACAGACATTTTATCGCTAGTCTGAAGTCTCTGGGATCGATGTCAGGGGCTTCGAAGACTGCTGCCCGTGCATTGTCACAGATAGTGCAATGTTGGCCCTGAGCATAAAAGCCATAGAAAGCCACTTGGAAATCGGCCGTCAACTCTGGAGAATAAGCCTCTCCTCCAAAAGAAACTTAGAAGATATCCATTCTTGTTGAATTTCCCAGAAGCTCAAAATGGTCCTCTGTCCCGGAAACTCCAACAATGCGTTGCGTGAAAATTCCAAGCGAGGGACTGTAGATATCAGACCGTACGAGCCCACCAAACCCATCAAGCCCAAACCAGCTTCCAACTCGTCCGGACATACGGTCTCGATCCCGCCTGGAGGCTCTCAATCATCAGGCGACACTATACCGCATGACTGAGGACTACGACTTGGGCCCCGCGCTCACTCAGGCGAAAACGAAGGTGCGAACATGAATTCATACATCCCGGCCATATCAACACATTGAGTTCTCACAGCGAGGCAAACGTTGCTGACAGGATAGACAGCACTCTGCACACAGAACACAAATTCTATTCAATCACTCCATTCGAAATATTCAATTCACAAATTGTTACACTATGTAGCTATGCGGAAATCGGTTGTCAGTGCCCGATGGAAACGCTTGGCTGGATGCGATTTTAGATTCTAAACAGAAGTCCCGAAGGGAGCATGATTTAAGAAAACAAATAGAAATTAATTTTTCAGTGGCACAATATTGATATCTAAAGGCGTAGAATTGAGTGCATCTGGACGATGCTAAGCCAGAGCAATTCCCAATTTATCTGTTCGTGACTCTGTATGAGCTATGGCGGTCGAATTGTCCTGCACATGCGCTAGCGAGTTGTTTGACACCATCACAGCTGCATCTCGAATGAGCCGCCCAATAAAGCCCAAGGACATCACCTATGTTGCATATTTGGGGGCTGACAGATGTCGTAACCTACCAACCGACACGATGATAGTCAACCGCTGACGCCCGACTTGTATGATGCCTCCGCGCACCAAGCATGGATCGTGGTGTGCTGACTTGCTCGCTCCGAACGGACCAGATATTTAGTGGCAGCGGAGCAGCTCATGCGTTGTACGGCAGGCAGCCTCCCTTCAATAGATCGGGCCGCTGGTATTGATCATCCTCGTGAATGCCTCTTTGGATGTCAGTGAGGCCCCCAAGGCACTCACGCCAGCCGCAGTCAGGCATATTGAGCCTGGTACAAGAGCACTTTCAAGGGCATGTAGGTCCCATGATAAAGCCTGCCCCTTTCCAAGAGGGCTCTGCGGTCTCCAGGGCAATTCGCGGCCGAGTTGTGCAAACCCTCTTTATTCTCTTGCTCCTTATTACATCAGTCATGTCGAGTGGATTCGTCGAGGAAAGCGAATTGGAAAGGGGAATCAAGACCAGTCAGGTACCACCAGTCGTTGCTGAGGCAGTGATACCCGAGCATGGCCAAACTAGCATCGGCAGGGAATCGGAGGACAAAAGCGCGACAATATCAACATCTGCAGTGGACGAGGATGATATAGACGCGGGTCAGTAACGATAGAGGTTGGAGATACTTGTGGTAGACTAACTTTCTCTTCTTCCAGTACACGATACCGGCCAAATAGGACTTGCTCGACTGAAAAGCTTTGACAGCCGCTTCGACTTTTATCCGGCTTTCTCCACGGGTAGATCGCTGGTATTAGATTCCCTCGCCGGGCAGATATTCCGCATCATGAAGAAAATGGACGCCTACAGAAAGAAGATTAAGGCGGAACACCATGTCGAGCCATGTGATTTGGGATGGGGGGAGCGACGCCACAAGAGGTGGGAGAAGTTGACGGTAAAGCTGTGGAAGAAGATAAAGGAATATGGTGAAACTCTAATTGAAATGTTGGGAATAGCACGCACTGACATCTGAGTCCCAGACGCTGCGTCCATCAACGCGAAGACAGTGAACGAGTACGAACGTCCAGGAAAAGACGCTATTGAGAAGCTGAAGTTCTGGCTTGACAAGAAACTCAATGCACAGCGTCACATGTACAATGATCAAGACGTGGATGACTTCCGTATGCTTGGTCCCAAAAGAGGCCCCATAAAGAAGCTCGTTCACGAGACACTGCCAACGTCGAGGCTTGCAAGATTCCTTCTGGTGAGGTTTTGAACAGGACAAATCTTTCTGAAATAATATAAATCACTGACCAAGATGAAGCGTCCGTTCCGAGCTCGCAGTTCCAAGGCCGAGCATTTCGAGAGTGTTGAGTACGGCGAGAAGACTTTGAACTGGATTGGCACGGTGGCCTTCCTGCTATGTGCGTGCGTGCTTTTCGTCATTCCATTAGCTCTCACGGTCTATTTCGAGGAAAATATCACGGTCAAGGTCTCTTTGATACTGGTCATGTGTCTCTTGGTCACCATTCTGGCTCTCGCGACGGAACAGGACGAGGGGCGTCGGCTGCTGCTTCTGTTTGCTTACGTTGCCATCGTGTGCACGCTGCTGTCGTAGGTAGCCAGGGAGGCTTTTATATTTTCGGTCCCACTTGATTTATCCATTAACAAGGTACTGATGATATTTTGCGACTCATCATCGATAAATGATGCTTGGGAATTGTGTTTGAGGTGCCGAGCAAGATTGATATGCGATGGGGTAAGGGGGCAAGTGCGAAGGCAGCGATATGAGAGTGAAAGAGAGAGTTTGGAGGTTTCCAGAAGGGTCCAGGGAAGAGATCTGAGGAGAATTGAGATGGTTGGGGCAGGTTGGTGAGGCGAAGCACCACAGTCATGCTTGCTGCCCATAGCTTCTCTGTGACACCACCTCACCTACTGCTGCTGCCTGGATCAGCCCCAAGTACTCCTTGTATGCTTTTCATCTTGAGATTTGCAAGATTGTCCCCGTATATCGCAATGTACTTCATTCTCCTAATGATTTGTTGGTAATGGAATTGTCTACTTTGGTCGATGCTTTCGACCTGGCTAGGTACCGGCATTTGAAGTGACACCCATGGTGTCCACTCGTTGGGCTACTGCCCATCGCTTCTCCCATTTCCTCCTCGCCCCCAACAGATATCTTAGCAAACATCCAAGCGTACGTCGGCTTGCTTGGAGGAGAGAATGACTCACCTTTCTCAACATAGTCGAGGCATGCAGGGGGCCATTCTACGTAAGGCTCTGCTAACGTTTCCCGTCACATTGAAGGAGCCATGGCACCTGCATGCGAAATGAGCTGATGAAAATTTTCATCATGGCACGGCCAACAAATCTCTTTGTCCAAGGATGGATTGTCGAAAATGCACAATGTCGCTTTGATTCATTGTATGATATGCAGTGCTCAGGCAGACAGAGGTAGAACTACTACGTCGAACAGAACCCGCTCACCCATTTCAAACAGCATGGCAGTACTCTTTCTGCATCTGGAGGGAAGGGAATGATGACAAGGTAACGGACCATTGCCATCTGCGGTAGGGCAGCCTTCTGCGCCCATACACCCCCCCCCCCCTTTCCCCCACCACAAGAATTGCAGTAGGATGCACGCTTTAAGAGATGCTCCGGTCGAGGTGGTTTCCTCATCATTCATTACACCTATAGAACAATTGGCCAGTCAAGGCTAAGAGCCTATGATTTGTCTAATGATATGTATCACCCATTTAGTGACCATGCCCTGTCAAGTTGTACACATCGGGCAACGCTCTTTTACGATTAGAGGCTCACTGGATTAGTAGACATAGGCGCTAAAATTGGAACCTTGCACGCTTCACTGTGGCACAGGTAGAGGACATCACCCTGAAGACGCATGATGGCGTTGATCAAAGGGAGAAAAATTACTGAGAATCTCGCTCATGAAATAAATTGTTTATAAACACTCGGATTACGAATTCTAGCACCATGACTGTTCTTCTATTCATCACATAGCATTCATTAAGACCGCATAGCCGCGGCCCAAAGCAAAGCTTACAGAGCTTGATTACTAACGACCACAAGCCAATGAACCAGTCAGAGGCAAGTTCAGCCTAGTCTTAGATATGAGGCCAAGGTAGGCATATACACGAGCTCAATCAAGCAAATGTATATTTATTCCTCTCTAGCTTCAACACGGGCACAAGAAAGGACAAAGCCTGACCTCTTGTTCAATTCCACGATTAGTTGAAAAAGAGGAAAAGAAAAAAAATCATGACTAATACTCAAGGCTACGACTACCCTCGCAAAAGAGAGCCTCCCTGCCCTTCCCGCTCTTTAAGCCTTGAGCACGAGGGCAGACTGTCGGCACCCACGGTGACCATTTCCAACTCACAATTTTCTATACGAGCATTCCACATTATAATACTGCAACTATAGCGACAACGCCTTTGATCGCTCCCTCAACATCTCCACGATGAAAAGATGTGTACTCCAGCGCTGCCATAAGGGGCGGGCTAACGCGCTGGATCTCGAGAGGGCAGGTGTTCAGAACCATATCATCTTTGAAGGCGCTACCAAGACGGAGGTATACGAGTGGTCTGCCATTCACACAATGGACCAGGCGCAGACTGCTACACAACGCGCTTGCTGCCACAGTTCGAGTACTTCGGTTGTATGGAGGCACTTCGGGAGAATAGCCTTGCCGGTCTCAGAACAAACCTAGTAGCGATGGGCCATGAAACATAGGGAAGAACAAATCTCCAGGCAGGGTTGCATTTCAGACAAAATGCAATACCACATGAAAAGGTCAACAGATAGGAATATAAATTTTGCAATCACGCCCGTGGTTGTCCATTAGGTTATTCCCAAAATAAGTACTACTAGGCAAAGTCAACAGTGTCTATTCTAAGATGTTCTCGGACAGTTTCGGGTGCGAAATTATATAATGATCATCCTCCACAAGCCTCAAACCACCAGAAGGCGGTCGATATCAGATTTTAGGGTGTTGGTGTGCTCAAATGGTCTGAACGCACAGAGCCTTGTGGAAGATTCTTCTTGATCATGTTCATGATGAAGTTCCCGTCAACGACTGTCGACTCACGACGTGCGCTCTCCCAAATGGCGTCCACGCGTTCAGCAATGCGCGGTGAAAGAGGGCCCTGTTTTAGGCCGGCGAGGTTCTCACTGAGCTGCTCTGCGTCATGCACGCCTATAATTAGGGCATCGCCACGCTCTGGCTGGAGGACAGAGTTGTAAGAGACCCAGCGAGTGGCGAGATGGTAAGGTACAGTGCCGGCATCCTTAGCGATGTCGGCCCAGGTAGACAGAATTTCAAGCAAAGCCGGCTTATTGTAGAGCTCATTGTAATAAGCGCCCTCCGTCCCACCGTCTTTGCCGAAGCGGCCAACTCCATTCACGACCTGCTGCTTGCTTTTGGCTAGAAAACCTCCTGCTGTTGGGCTGTAGGCGTAAAATGATATGCCTAGATCGCGCAAAAGTGGGAGTAGGTCTGTCTCGTAGTGACGTGTGATTGGGTTGTAATTTCCTTGGTACACACTGGGCAGGACCCAGCCCTTGGATTTCTGGTGTTCATAGATCTCGCGCACGTCTTTAGCGGCGTAGTTGGATATCCCAAAGCGCCGAAATGCGCCCGCAGTGAACAGCCTCTGGATGCCTTGCAGAGTTTCTTCGATGGGTATGGAAGGGTCTGGGGTGTGAAGATAGAGGATGTCCACTTGCTCGACCTTGAGCTTCCGCAGAGATTCTTGGGTTCGCAGAACCACCTGTTCTGCCTGGAACGAACCCGGCACTGTGACTCCTGGCACCTTAGTGGCAATTTCAAACTTGTTTTTTGTGTAAGCCTCGCCTAGGACCTCCTCACTCTCCCCGTAAATCTGCGCAACATCAATGCCTCTGACACCCGCAGTGGCAAATGAATCAAGGAATGTTTCCAGCTTGTCAGAGCTCCAATGGTCTTTGGACCAAAAGATTCCACCGCCAAGTATGATTTTTATACCAGCCATCATGTGTAATTAAATGCTTATAGTAGCGGACAAAGGAATACATTACCAAACTTTCAAAAATGGCAAAATGATGAACACTCCGTTCCTATCAATGGCTCGCTGAGGCGGTCCCGTGAAAAGACTGTGCAGGGAAGATGATCTTACTAGACCGTTCCTATGCCCAAGCGAGAGTTTCCTGACGCATGCATTCTTCACGTTCGATCATGCGTACTGTCATTGTGCACAGAGTTGAGATCATGTCATTCAGCACGTTGTCTGCTCTGACGATGAATTGCGAGTTGCCGCACGGTGGCCGTCGGCGGTAAATAGAGTTCACTGTTCCCACATCTGGGCGGTCTTGTGATACAGACAAGGTCCTCACCGCTTCGTCAAGTGCGGGTCCGGCCTGAAGGTCTTGTCCAGGAAATGGTAGTATTTCATACCTGCGTCGATGTCATTGACGTGCCAATAGCTGTTCTTGTGCTGGCGAAATTGGAAGGTGCTCCAATATACATATAATAACTTGGATCATAAACATGAACAAATACTGCTATGGCTGCAGACAAAGCTTCCGAGCTTGGACTATCATGCTGTTATAGATATCCATAGATATCGATCGTATGACTATCTCATAGATTGGGGTATTGCCGAGCCGCTAGTATTTTAAAGTTTCGACAGGCCTATGTTGGAGGCGTCGCGGTATACTCAGAGAGAGGCGTAGGCGGGTCTGGATAAAACCTCGAAGCACCATCGTGGATTTTGCGCCGCACTTGTGACTTTGAACCGATTACCCACTCACACTTCAGTTGCGAACCCCATATATATTTTACAGTGTTAAGGAATCCATGACACCAGTGTCTGAAGACTCTGGTCGTATGCTTGAATCGCGTATGAAGTGCAATACTATACATAAACATGTGCTTGCATGCTCTACACTGCTTCTAAGGTAGCGAAACAAGGCACTGCAAACCCTAAATGGTCCTTGGCTACATATTTGGTCTGTAGGCGAAAGTTAGTAACGCGTCGCCAGAAAATTAGCACGTTACATTGCATAGCATGCCGGCAGAGTCGTGCCAGCAACCAAAGTATCAGTCCCCGAGATTGTTAGTATCCCGCGTTGAGGTTGCCAATTGCTGACCAACTAGAATTATCTGTTCGTAACCAGATGAAATTTGTCTCAAGTACTGCAACACCAGTATGAACACGCGTTGGAGTCGCTCAGTACCTGTTCCCCATATATATATATACACACATAGTATAGTATTCTTGAGCATGTTTACACATACTGGAGTACATCTTTGTCTTCATATATTCCTGCCCGCATAGACTCATGGCTGCTCAAGGCAAATCGATATTCACTTTTCCAACATCTAAACGATCAGCCTGTGATCGTTGCCGAAAGCAAAAGTTGCGTTGCCCCAGCAGGACAAGTGAGGCACAACCCTGCTCGAGGTGCACTCGTGCCGGTGTAGAATGCATCACTGGTTACACACGGCCGCTAGGACGGTCTCGTCGCGTCTCCTATGGTTCAACAAATAACGACAATCTGGGCCAGTCGCATTTCATTCCTGTGGCTCGTCCACGGCTACCGCACAGGGACACAGAGCTGCAGAGCACATCATTTTCTCACACAACTACGCGACCAATACAGACAGTCTTGGCGGAAACTTCAATGGAAACTGCAAGCTCTCCCTCTTGCCTTTTCAGTGAAGCGGCAGAGGATTTTGGCTCATTTTCCTACCGTAATGTGCTGGACGACCTAGCTGGTGGGCCAACCTTCCATTTGAATCAGAGCTATAATGCAGCAAAAATCGACAACACTTCAAAGTTCTTATCGTTGCCTCCTCAGTATCTCGAGTTGAGTGAAGAGACTTCTAGTTCAAGATCTACATCCGGAGATGATACTCCATCGACGTTCCCTCCCGAAAACGTCCTCAGCAGAGCACTGTCGAGGGTCAACTGCGATCTCCGCCTTGCACAGCTTAGTGTGGATTTATGCCGACAAGCTCAGCGAATTATGGCCGGCAATGAGCAAAGTGACGGAGTGCAGACTGGAAAAGACCGAAACTTAACTTTAGTCGTAACCGAATCCCAACACTTGAGTGGATGCCACGGCACATCTGATCAAAGCAAAGAATTCGGAGATGCTCTCTGTAGCACTTCTGAGTTCATGGCTATCATACAGTCCATGGAAGATGACATGTGCCTCGATCACCCTACTACAAAGCACGAAGCTCATTGGCCTTTGGCAAATGTTAGCTGGGTTATGAACCTCATGTCGTGTTACCTTCGCATAGTTGCAGTCTTTGAGAGACTAGTCCTGCGTCTCTACTGCCAGATGACGTGCAATGTTGATGAGGCTCCATCCTCAGATTCATTCTCTGCGTCGCGTCTTGCTGGCCCACAGACACTTCCTGGCCTATGTTTGGCTAGCTTCCATGTTCAGCAGACCAATCTACAGACTAAGATACTGGTCCAAATTATCGAACATCAGTTCGAAATGATAGAGAAAAGTCTAGGCTTGCCTATCGAGTTACGTGTGTCATCAGATCAGCGGGAACCCTATGAAGGAGGGATATTACAAAGCGGAATGAACGGGGCCTTGCTCCAAGCAGTCATTACCCGTCTTTGCACTAGTCCAGCAGCAGCAAGTTCTGTTGAAGAACCACTTGTGCCAGGATCTTTGGCATCATTGCGGGAGAACATAATTAATGTGAGACGACTTCTCACCTCATAGCATCATTGTAGCCATAGCCACACTCACAACAATAGGAAACGGTCACATAATTAGGACATGGATAGTCCAATCAATCATGCAACATCTTGAATGCGGACTTATACAATTGGAGGCTATCGTCAAGCATGAGGCTCGAACTTTGAGCAGGCTAGTGAAGGTAAAAAGTTGCTTCAACCTCAGGACCGCAGAGTATAGGCTCACAGAAGAGAGGGTTCCAAGCCTCAGAAGAGTATAGCGCAGGAAGGACAATTGAATGTTCTGTGAAGACAAACAGTCACATATAAGGACTATTTTTACATGATCTCCCTTACCTATATGTTGCCTGTGAAAGTACATGATTGATGTTCGCGTTCTGGAATTCTGGTTTGCAGCCATTTAACCGTAGCCTCCACTACATAATCAGCAACAAATAACAGAAACTGGGAACATGAATTCAAAGCTATTTTAGGGAATCCGACTTGGGCATGCCAAATTCTAACTATATCCAATCAAGTAGTTCCCAGATACTCTACGATCCCTTCCCCCTTACGAGGGCCGGCCATGCTGTCTTGGGTTCGTCAAAAGTTTCGATCAGGGCGGCTACTGCCGGTTGCAACCCAGCCTTGATAGCCTCATCTGCCCATTGATCGAAACGAAGTGTCCGGTATAGCTCCTCGTTGCCTACAGTCTTCCCAATCTCGGCCATCCTTCTCATCGGGATGACAACATCGCCAACATTGTTCGTATATGTGAGTGTATTGCCATGATCGATGCGGAAAAGCTCTTTCATAATGTCATTGCAAACGGTCCGGATGTAGACAAGATCGAAAGCGCCTTGATTGTGCTCGGCCCTGGGCACGGCACGGATCCGATGTGAATAGTGCAAAAGCGCGTTCACCCAATCGAATTCTGCCTCCGCGGTCGTAGCGTCTTCGCCCTCTCGCACAATCGTTGAGGGCCGGTTGATAGAGATCCGTAAGCCATGAGCTGCGCTGACTCCCTCGAGAAGGTATTCGCAGACCCATTTGCTGCACATGTAGCCATGGGCACCATCGGCTGGGGGTCTGATTCCGCTCGCCGTGGTTGAGACTTCTGGAAAGGTCTGCATCCCGGCTAACAAACAAACGCCCACCGAAGATACGTAATGCAAAGGGATCTTTCGAGGCAGACATAAACGGACTAGCTCACGAGTCGACTCAACGTTGCATTCTCGCACGGCCGAATAGTACTTGAGATGCGAAGTATCCGACCCATTATGAATCACGGCATCGACTTCCGTGAATATTTCTGAAGCTTCCTCTGCGGCGAGACCGAGCCTAGGAAGGCGTAAATCGCCTTCATAGTACACAATTCGACAGTTAGGTTGTGGGAGTTGGCCGCTTTGTAACCTTTCTGATAGGCGGCGAACAGCCACACAGATTATTTTGACTATTGAGGGTTCTGACGACAACCGTTTGAGCAAGTGATGGCCAAGGAGCCCACTCGAGCCAGTGAGAAGGACGATACGGGGCTGGGCGCTGGGAGATTTGCCAGTATTCATCTTACCAAAGCGATCCGGCTCTGGTAATCGTACCTCGGCGTCCCAATCGATTGCGTTTCTGATAGAAGCGGCAACTGACAGGTCTTTGGTTTCTGTCGGAGTAATTGGCGTAGTCATATCGGTGTCTGAAGAGAAATCCTTTGAAGTACTTTCAGAACCCGGAGTTCGAGGGATGTCGTCGCCCGTCGAGCTGGTGTCATCTGAGCTTTGGGACTGTCCTTGCCTCCCGACTTGAGGAGTCAGTTCAGCAGGTACCCCTTCAGCGGCCAACTCGGCGAGGGTCATCATTGAAACATCGTTTGCCATGATCTTAAGCACAGGAATGCTAACTTCGAAGTTCTTCAAGAACCAGGAACGGATGTCGACTGAGACTAGCGAATCCAACCCGAGGTCGACACTACGCATCGACATGAGATCATCATCAGCCGTCGATAATTGTAGGATTGTGCGCAGCTGGGCGGCCAGACCCTCTGTCATACATTGTCAGCTATCACATATCCTGGCAAAGTTGAAAAGTGTGGAGATTAATTTACCTTTCGCGACATGGAGGATGTCTTTCTCCGACTGGCACGCTGAAAGACGGTCTTGTATGGACACAGCCTTTGTGTGCCTCTTCTGGTCCCCGCTGCTGCTCGATTTGTGGACGATGAACCGAGAGAATTTAGGGTCCGAGTACCACTTAGGAATGTTGCTCGCATCAGCCGAAATATCAAGAAGCCCGGTCGATATCTCTGGCCCATCGGGCGAATCGACATGCCCAGCATTTATAGCTTCAGCGAAGATCTGATGGAAGTCGTCTTCTGATAGGTGGATCATAGCCATTTTCGCAACCACCGCATCAAGTTGACGGTCAGACTCGGTGATGTACCCTGCTCCAATGACAGCGCCGACATTGATGACCGTTGCGGCGAGACCACTGTAGTAACTGGAGTCAGCCACCAGACATCGGACTATTTGAAGTCTCATTGGACAAGGTGATGAGATGGGATACTATCTTCCCATAGGCCGTGTCACAAACTGAAGCTTCATTGAATGCCTCTGAGCAAGCTGTGAGACGGCCTGGGGATCTAGCAGACCTGCATCCTCACCAAAAAAAGACACAAAAAACAAAAGAAAGAGAAAGACAAAAAGAAAAAGAAAAAGAAAAAGAAAAAGAAAAAGAAAAAGAAAAAGAAAAAGAAAAAGAAAAAGAAAAAGAAAAAGAAAGAAGAAAAGAAAAAGAAAAATCGGCTTACCGTTTTCGGCGATGAGCGGCTAAGCCACACATGCCCATATTTGCTGCGGCATAGTTTGCCTGGCCGACGTTGCCAATTATACAGTTGATTGAAGAGAGGAGAATGAAGAAGTCCAGTTCTGTGTCGTGGAAAATACGGTCAAGATGTATACTGCCGAGAACTTTTGGACCGACAACATCTGTAACTTGGTCAAATGACATGTTGCGGACCGAAACGTCCCTGAGAACCATAGCACCGTTCAGCACACCGGCAACGGGTGGAAGAGAGGCGACGATCCTGTCATGCACGGCCCTGAGGGCCTCTTCATCTGTCACGTCGCTTGAAGATTACAAAAACATCAGTACAGTTATCCCTACAGAGAGAGATTACTACCACATACCATGAAAAGATCTCAACATTAGCACCGTTGCGCTTGTGATCCTCGATCCACACGGGATCGATCCTGGGGTTCCGACTAGTCAAGACCAGGTGCCTCACGCCCCGACCAATCATCCAATCGCATAATGAGATACCCAGAGCGCCAGAGAGACCGCATATCCAGTAGGTTCTGTCACCTCTGAAAAGTGGTCTCGTGTCGAACCTGGTGACTCGTGCGGGAAGATGAGCTGACGAGGATGTCCAATCCAAAACAGTCAATGGGTCGGCAGGGCACTCGCCACGAATGATAGTCTCCAAGCTGATAGACTCTGCAACACGCTCGTACGATTGACTTTGAGCATATCCAATGGCCGTTTCAAGTGACCGCGAAAGAATCGATAGCGACTTGTGACTATAGTCCACTCTGGTGCGAGAGAACAGGGTGCGTGTGTTATCCTTCCGGCAATAGGGGGGCACCAAAGATGATATGGTCTCCTCGTTTTCCGAAACTTCCTTTGAAAAGCTAATAAGTGAAGCAACATCTGTAGGGATCATTAGATCAAGATCCGCAGAACTCATATTGGGTGATAGCTGGATCCAAGAACTTGGTATCGATTCTCCGTCAGTCTCATCTGTCGTGCAGACCACATGAATCCCCTTCGACAGAGCCTGCGATTCAATAGCTTGACTTAAAACTTTGGGAGCATCGTGTAGAATCATCTTCTGGCCAGGGAGCAGCGGCTCCACAATGGCAATCCCTAAAAGCTGGGCTGCTGTGAGGATGAGGATGTCATTATCCGCAAGGCGGGGTGCAACAATAGGGATGGCCAGCTCTTCGGGAGTCTTGATGACCGATGTGAGGGATGAGGTGAGTGTGAGATAGCGTAATCCTGTAGGGTCAACGCCCACAGCGAGGAACATCTGGCCAGCTGGGGTTCTTATTGCCGACAACATAGATTTTGTGGTACGAAGCTCGATGGATGTGGATCTAAAAAAGGATTAGTCGCAGATCCATAGGGTGGAAATCGTTTGAATAGGGAAATATGAATTCCCAATGCTCAAATGCCCATGCAGCGAGCAGAAAAGTGTGTGTGGAGATATAAAATTCATGTTGAAGCAGGGATCATACGTACTGTTTAGTCAAGTTCGAAACCTCAAATCGTGAAAGCTGTCGGAGGCTATACCCGTCATGATCCGATTGAAGCTCAAGTTTCGAATTCTCCGCGTCGACCTGATGGACTATTGGTCGCTGGATGCAGTTCAGCCGATCGTTTGCGCCCTGGATGGGGCATAGTCGAGGAACCAATTGGTGGCCCTCTGCGTCTGTGACGACTTCTGGCTCCAAAGTGTAGAGAAGGTCCGGCCCAGATGGATGTTTTGCTGCGAGGCAGATAAAGGTCTCTGCTATTTTGTGGGCATCGACAAGCTTCCGGTTAGGGATGTCGAGTAGCTGTAGGACTAGATCTTCTTCTTCATGTATCGCTGAACGGCCGAAGCCAACGGTCATATTCGCGTAAGGTTCATCCTCGAGACGGCCACTCGTGAGCCAAAGGACAGTTTTCTCACCGATAAATAGCTCTCTGAACCCTGACCATCTTTCATGAGTGATTCCTTTGAAGACCGGTTGCTCGAGCTCGATCAAGCCAATAACGTATACATGTTCTTCCAGCACAACATGTTCCAGATCCTCGAGAGTGACACAGATATTTGTCTGACTGAAAGAAGGCCTGAGAATGCTCGCGAGTTGCTCAGCGACAGTGGCGACCTCAGGCGTCTTTCCCCCCACAATTACGAGTTTCTTCATTGAAAAGGGATTGACTGGAGACTTGAGTGGTGCTCGGATAGATTCAATGCGCTGGTCTGTCGCTTGGGAAACGAATAGAATTGTGCCAAAGGTATCCAGCAGTTGTTGGGGTGATATTGTATCGATACCAGAGAACCCGGTACGTTTTAAAATCGCATCCCATCTTGAGAATTTTGATTAGCGACCTGCTCTCAGAATTCGAAGCGAGGAAGGAAAAGAAATCCCTCAGACTAGTACTTCTGGCATGAAGGTAGATGAAAGTCGAACACTATGTGCTTCGATGTTTATTGGTTGAAAACTTACTCTTCAACATTGATGAAGGGTGTGAGGGTCCGACCCTCATCAACTCCGCGCCACCATCCAGGCAGCGGACCAAATATGTAACTGGCCCCGGCTTGCATCGGGCCTTCGCTATTGCCCTCACCAATGAGCAAGAAACCACCGGGCTTGAGCAGCTTACGGAGGTTGCGCATGGTCTCGTCCAGTCTAGCCGTAGCGTGCACGACGAGAAAGGCTATCACCACATCGTAACGCCCCTCGACAAAGCCTTGGTCGAGAGGGTCCTGCTCAGCATCGCATACTTTGAAGACCATACGATCTCTCCACTCTGAGAGGTTACCAGCAGCATTCTCAAAGAAGCTTGATGATATGTCGGTGAATGTGTACGAGTCGAAGTCTCGATTAATTGTACGAAGGATCTGCTTCGTGGCGCCGCCAGTACCAGCGCCTTGAAAGATTATTCAGCAATGGCAAAGAGGAAAAAGAAAGGTGACAAGGTCAAGTTGTTAACGTACCAATTTCCAGGAGGTTCAAATGAGGGCGGCGATCGGTAATTTGTTTGACGACATTGCTCAGCCACATTGTTGATTGAGCAGTGCCGAATCCTTTCGCGTAATACTCATCTAGAAGACCAGAGGTACGAAAGTGCTCCAACATGGTAGTTTCTCCTCTGAAGACCTTCGGCATGGTGTTGCCTACAAGCAGCATGATCTTGACAACGGGATTTTCGGCGAGTCTGAATGTTCCAGCACCAACCTGTCAGCCAGTGATGTACCAAGTTATGCATATTTGCGTCAAGGGATGTTAACTCACCCTTTCGACTCAACCTCCGCCATGATATCCTCAAGGTTATCATTGAGCCACTCAACTTTCCCATATCTATGCCCACCATTTTTGAGAAGGGTGGTCATATGTCTTGCATAATTCAGGTAATGCTCAAGGGTGCTGTCCGACCTTGCCAAGGAATCCTCCGGGACTCTGTCAAATTCCCGCAGATAATAGCACACAATTCGGCTGAATGCCCACAGCAAATCGGTATCAGATTTCGTAACTGGGATGCTGGCAGCAGCAAGGGTGCCATCTGGCTCGCATGGCACATATTGCATCTTGTAAAAGACATTTCTATCATCACTAGCCGATGACCTGACTGGTTGGAACTTCACTTTATCCACTTGAATGGCGGCATTAGGACAGCCCTTGACGTATATGTTGAAGTTGCCAGAAAACCCTGACCCGGGCTTTGCTCGACGGTCTCGGTTACATGACGAGTCGATACCAACGGTGTTGTCATCGTCGGCAGTCCGTTGCTTTTGTTGTAGGGCCAACACAGCCGGATTGATCCGGATCTTGGCAATTGTTGTCGGCATGTGTAAGAGCCTCAATTGTTCATCGCCAGGATAGCTGTACGCCAGGCTGACAGACTGAATAGCAGCGTCTAGCTCGACAGGATGGATCAGCAGCAAGTCGGCATCGGGCTGTGATGATGCTTTTGCCCTCTTGGCAACGCATGAAGCTATACCCAACTTCCTCCTAAGCTCTACCAGAGAGAGGAAAGGTCCGCTGAAGTTGTATTCCAAGCTCTCCATGAAATTGTACAAACGTACAGGGTCCACGGTCAACAAATGTGGAGCTGTTGGCTGACGCGGGGGTAGCAAGCTGAGTGAGGCGTCTCCCAGATGTACTTTCAGCTCTCCATCGGCAATCAGCGTTAGCTCTGATTCTTCGTTTCCTCCCATGGCAGCCGAATAGGTAAAGTATGAGGTGAAGCATTCTGACTTAAGCTGTGAGACCCGGGATAACTCTATCTGTACCTCGATCCCAGCTTCACGGCTTTCGAATCCAAGTCCTTGGTGAATTGTAAAGTTGCTCAGCTCAATGAGTCTGATAGTCCTCCCTCGAGCGAGAGACGTTGCAGCCTCTACTGCTGTACTGATATATGCAGAAGCCGGGAATACTATTTGCCCTTGGACTTGATGACCCTCAAGCCATTGGACCTTGCTTGGCCTGAGTATGTTCTTCCAGCGTAGAACGTGAGCGGCACTATCAGGGGATTTGTCTCCCAAAAGGGGATGGTAGGGCTCTGATCTCGAGCGAATCCGCCGAGATCTCCGGGACTCGTGCCAGTAATGGACATCGTGTTTCCACTGGTACGTGGGTAGTCCTTTCAGTAAGTTGAATCGTGCTATCTTCCCCGAGGTTGACAAGATCCTCTGACAACGTCCCATGTCGATCGATGAAGACAGCCCGCCCATCCGCTCCCACAAGAACCCCAGACATGTTGAAAATGCCGCGATAGCATTAATACCGCGAGACAAAGTGCCGTGATACGGAATGCCGTCCTGGATTGTTTCCTGAATTGTCTGGGACGCAGGACCCTTGAGTGCTGGGTGTGGGCCGAGCTCAAGTACCGCACCCAAAGCGGACACTGGGTTCGCAACGAGGGCAGACTTGAGTGCTAGAGTAAACAGTACCGGTCTCGTCATGTTTTGTGCCCAATACACGTCGTTGAGCTCTGTCGATAACTCAATAGGCTTCCCGTCGTAAACACTTGAATACCAAGTGCAAGGTGACGACGAGGAAGACGGAGGGGGGCGTGCCTTGACGCCAGCGCGCTGCAGTGAGTCGATGTAGCCCCCTGAACAAGGCTCCATGTGGTGTGAATGGTAGGCCATATCCACTCTCAAGCGTCGGTGGAATTTCTTCTCGTCCTCAAGGATGAACTCTAGTTCCTCGATCGCATCCTCATCTCCAGATATAGTCACGCTCGAGCTAGAGTTGCTGGCGGCTAGACCGATGCGGCCCGCGAATTCCTCATCTTCACAAAGCTGGAGAGCGTCCTCTATGGAAGTTCCGACAGCAAGCATAGCTCCCTTCATCTCGCCGTTAGGACTCGCTGCATGCTTGCAGTGCAGACCTCGATAGTAAGCAATATATATTGCATCACGCGCGGTCAGGAAGCCCGCGGTGTAGGCAGCAGCAATTTCGCCAGAAGAATGGCCTACCACCGCATCGAAATGAACATCTGCTGCGCGGAGTAGCTCTACCATCAATATCTGTATCGCGGTGCATAGCGGTTGTGAAATAACTGCCTCGTTGATTCTTGAGGGTGTTGAAGAACCGGCAAGAATTTCGGCTTCAAGAGACCAGGTAGGCCGATCCTCCGCGGGTAGACTAGCCAAGTCCACTTCGAGTGCCTGGATAATTCGTCGGGCGAAGGGAGATTGTTCAATCAGTTCAGCTCCCTGACGCACGTACTGGGCGCCTTGTCCAGTGAATACTCCGAGGAGCCTAGGGGTGCCAGCGCTCTTGCCAGGTAGTGTTCTGATACCGATTTTCTTTTTTTCATCTTCCAGCATCACACGAATTGCAGTTGCAAGTTCCGAAGATGAATTCGTTGCTGGTAACGACACACGTTGTGGGAGAGTGGAGCGTCGTTCACGCAACGTGTAGGCGAGATCGCCAATGTTCACATCGGTATGAGCGTCCAGGTACTTGGCATAAGCGGTGAGGTTGCCTCGAAGCGAATCAGCCGAAGCAGCGGAGAATACAAATGGAGTGAAAAGGGTGTCTGCGCTGACTTCAACCTGGCAAGCGTCTGCTGAGCTCTCGTAATTCTCCAGAATAGCGTGGGCATTAGCACCGCCGAAACCGAAGCTGTTGACGCTGGCTCTCCTCGGTTGGCCCGGAGGAACAGCGGGCCAGGGCCGAGCATCCTTAAGAATTTTGAGATCCCTATAGAAAGGTACAATAGACGGGTTGATATTGTTGAACAGGAGATTGGGTGGGATGCAGGAGTTCTGTAGGGCAAGTGATGCCTTCAGGATTGCAGCTACACCAGCCGTGCTATGTCACCCATAGTGTTACTGACGTTCTCGAAACTTATAAAATGATCTGGAAATGATGTAAGAATCAAACTCACCCTTCCGTGTGACCAAGCACGGTCTTGATGGAGCCAACGTATAAAGGATTGTTGCTTGTCTCTGCTCTACTCTTCAACTGATCGTGCTTGAAGAAGGCAGTGCTGATAGCTTTGGCTTCCACTGGATCTAAGGAGGAAATATCGTCAGTAAAGAATACTGAAATTGTAAAAGGATCGTGATCTGACCTACCTCCTGCTGGAGTACCAGTGCCGTGAGCCTCAAAGTACTGGGGCCGATCTGCTACGGACCCAATATCAAGACCGGCCTTGGCATACGTGGCCTGGATCAAGGCCTTTTGCGCCGTAGCGCTAGGCATGGTGAGTCCTGCAGTTGCACCGTCTTGGTTGAGCCCCGTCTCTCGAATGATGCATTCTATGTGATCGTTGTCTTCCAGCGCGGCACTGAGGGTTTTGAGTATTACTGCAGCTACGCCACTATTCAACCTTCCGTTAGTGTATTCGGAAAATTCATTATCTCAGGAAGCTGTTGGAGGTTTATTCGGCCCTACGACCTAATCTGATACTTGCTAGGGGGCACTAGGTGTGGAAATCACGTACTCGCCGCGAGCGTATCCATTCGCATCTTTATCCCACATCCGACCTAGTCCATCCGGGGACAACATCTTGAGCTGCAAGTTGTTAGCACAGTGGCGGCTACACTTTCACTTGTGCGATGATTTCGTACCTTGCTCTCGATTATGTACATCTCTGGCCCGAGAATGACGTTAGACCCGCATGCTACTGCCATACGAGAATCCCCTGATCTCAGTGTTTGTACAGCGGAGTGGACTGCGACTAGACTTGAGGAACAAGCCGTATCGGTAGTCACAGACGCTCCATGCCAATCGAAGAAATACGAGATACGATTCGACAACACAGCTGGTGAGGTTCCTACCGCAAAATATGTCGGGATTTCATCTAGATCTCGCAAAAGCATGGCTTCATAGTCGCCACACATAACTCCAGCAAAGACAGAAGTATCGCTGCCTCGCAAATTCTCAATCGTCATACCACCCGATTCTAATGCCTCGTAGACCGTCTCCAACAGCATTCGCTGTTGTGGATCCATTGCTCGCGCCTCGATAGGGTTCACGCCGAAGAACTCAGCGTCAAATGCCTTTGGATCTTCGTTCAACAGATACGAGTGCGTGACATTAGAACGTCCATGGTGAGAATGGTCCGGATGGTGAAATCCTTGGGCACTAAAGCGGGACTCCGGTATTTCGCGGCGTACATCCCGCGGTTCTTTCAGGAGCTCCCATAATTTCGAAGTTGAGCCTACATCCCCAGCAAAATGGCAGGCGCTGCCCACAATAGCGATGGGCTCTTTTGGTGAGACTTTGCCCGGCATCTTCTTAGAATCTCGGTCGAATCCCAATAGTCTCCTGAAGTACTTATTAGCATCGTCTAGGGCCGACTACCCGTGCATCGGTAAGTATGTAGATCTGACCTGAGATTGCGGCGTGGAACTTGTCGCTGCGAATAGATAACTAAGCCAAGGAAATTTCTATATTGCACAAGTATAACCTTGGAGCAGAAAGTCAACAGTCAACTAATTTGAGAGAGTGTTACTCGGCTAGTTGGATTTGATTTACTTCAATGATTGTCCGGACCGCCGATTCAGACCAGCCTCATCACAACCCTGAATCACTCTAGTGCGGTTCCGACGAGGTACGCGCGTCGAGCGTACTACGCAGTACAATCCTGTCATCCGAGTCCCTACCGAAGTCTCAAGTCATGTGTGTGCAGGAAGATCCACCGAGAATGATCCCCGAACTCGTTATGTAGATGACGAGGGTTGATCACATGAAACGCCAGCCCGAGTATGTGCACTCTTACTCTTATAGGCAAGTCCCACCGAATCCAGAAATCGGACTGTGCCATACACGTGAACATTTGAAGAGGCTGGATAGTGTCAATAGAATGTAGAATATCATTTATGTGGGCAGTATTCTACTGCATGCTGTTGAATCTTTATCTTGTTGCATATTAGACTCAACCTGGTGGAGCTGTGTTGCAGCATCAGCGTGGATGCGAATGTTGAAACGGTCCTCCGAGATCATTAGACCCTAATATGCTCTGGATATACGATTACACTTTGCCAGCAGGTGATGATTCAATTCTCAGCAATGCCTCTACAAGCCTTCAACTATGGGCAATCACCTGGCAAACATGCCCCATCAGAATCAATTTCATACACGCACAACAAGTTTCTCGCCTTTCACCTCTCCGCTTTGAAGCATTTCCAATGCTCTGATGACCCCCTCGAACTGGCCATCTATCTCGCGGATTGGCTGTGTCTTGATCTGTCTCTGATCCAGCAGCGATTGTATTTCTTGAGCCCACTGCAAGGCAATGCCGTGTAGCTCAAAGTTCGCCTTGCGCGTGTATACCGGATGATTTAGGTCAACGTCAAAACCTAGTGCCTCAAATCCCATAACCGCCTTGTATTTCACCGCGCGCCTCGTACGCCATGATTCTGGGCAGTCCTCGAGGCAAGCATACCGAGCACCCACCCGCGCTAAAGCAGCGTAACAAAACGCGGTAGATTCTGCATCGGTGATGCAGTCGAGCGCGTACTTGATCGGAAGCCCATTCGCAAGGGACTGCACTGATTCAAGGCTGTCTGAGGATAGATAAGAAGCCGTCCCGACAGCGCCATACTCCATAACCATCGGCGCAGACTTCGGCGAGCAAACAGTAATGGGGTCGTATCCCGATCTAAATCGATAACGGGTTTTATTAATTAGTGTCTTATAATGATTTGACTTGCGTATTTAGAGATAGGGCCCGAACTAACAGCTTCAACATCTGAATAGCCATGAGGCCAGTTGCTGTTGCTCCGCCATAAATCAAAACGGGCACAGGCTTCTCAGTTGGCCGAGAGGGCATCCCCTTCAGATTGAGAGCCCCGGGGTCTGATATTGCGAGACAAGCAGTACACCAACCGATAGCACCGAGTGCAGCGGCCTGAGTATCGCTCCAGTTCTCTGGAACTCGGAGTACGTGGCGAGAATCGGTAACAGCGTACTGAGCGAAAGCGCCGTTCAACGAATTGTCAGGTCGATATGGAAAATCTGCACCGCAGACTCTCTCACCAGGCGATACCAAGGCCAAAGCCCCAGCCGACTCCACAATACCACAGAAGTCGCACCCAACAGTATTGCCTTCCATAAAGAAGTGCGTTATCATTTTGTAGTCTGTAGGATTTAAACCCACAGCGAGCACTCGCACCACAACATGGTATGGTGAAGAGATTTCGGGCACTGGTTTGGATGAAGTGATAGCCAGTGGGAGTCCAGACGGCCTTGAAGGCGTCTTGGACTGTATCACAGCGGTCTGGGTCCTTGGTGTAGTCATTTCTTCTCTAGCAATGGTTGAAGCAATGTTTAATCGATGACAGGCAATGTTGTGACTGAGCGCTGAGGTTGTTAGCGGGTCACCACGACAGCTTCGCGTGTAATCAACATCGGAGGGGTTGATGTCACAGAGAACTGTACTCCAGAGGTTTTACTAGTGAATCTATGCACATAGCAGTTTACATGGGGTTCCTTTTCCGTGATGAACGCTTGGAGCCGTCAAATTCCGAATGCTCGACCTTACATTCCCGACAGCCAAAATAGGAAACCGATCGCGATTCGGGGACTTGTTGCCCAACTTTCAGGTAGTCATTCAAGTATTCGGAGGATACAATCTACAGAGTCATGAGTTCCTTGCGTTTTAGTCAGTGCACTATTGGAGCAGTCGTAACTCGTCTCCCATCTATGAACCCTTTTGACATCCGGGCATCTACTTGCTTTCTTTCTGACCACGACTTGAAGGAGATGTGCTAACCAATTTTACAAAATCCGCACCTTATTCTCGTGAAGATGCTGTTCCAGGTCACAACCTCTGTCTCCTGGCAGTCAGTGCTGCTTTACGGATCAGGCCTCGTAAGTCGGCCACGAACTCGAGTCAGCGGATGAATTGAATCCGATCAGTTAACCAAGACTCCAGCTGGTTATTCTACTTGCCGTGGTACGGCCATTATACAATGTGTATTTTCACCCGCTGCGAAAATATCCCGGACCTAAGCTTTGGGCGGCCTCATCACTACCATGGGGCTTTTCGTTCTTGGCCGGAGAAATCCACAATAGTCTGATGGATCTCCACAACAAGTACGGTTCGGTGGTCCGTGTAGCTCCTGATGAGCTGTCTTTCTCCTCTCCAGATGCATGGGAAGATGTTTACGGTCGCTACAAAGCTGGGAAGCGGAAAGAGAACATGAAGCCGAACTGGTATGCGAGCAGAGACAGCAATGATATCCTCGGAGCAGAGCTTGGCGACCATGGACGTATCCGCAAGGTCTTGGATTTCGGCTTTACAACGAGCGCGATGCTCGACCAGGAGCCTGCCATTATGGGATTTGTTGACCTGCTTTTCGAACGTCTTAAGGCAAGAGCAGGAGATGCTTCCGTGGACGTATGGAAATGGTATCTCTATACTCTTTTCGATATTACGGGAAACCTGGCCTGTAAGCATTTCGAAGACTGCCCTCATCCTTTGACTTCACGTCTCGATCGATTCGAACTTTCTCCCACTGAGGCTGTTTGATGGCCTCCATTCCTCTTGCTGTTACTCTGAGGCAATCTTCTTTGTTTGAAATGCCTTCTAATACAAGTCCTCATAGATGGAGAGCCTTTTGGATGCTTAGAACAATCCATGATGCACCCATGGGTCGACTTCGTCATAAGCAACATCAAACTGACCTACATCCTCCTTCTTTGCATGCGAATTCCCTTCTTTTTCTTTTATTCACCAGTCATAGCAACCGTAAGAATGGTGCGAGAATACGTGCGTTCGAAGAAAACTCTCCGGGACAAGGTAGACAGGCGACTAGCACTCGAAAATCCCAGACCAGATTTAGTACAGGTTATGCTTGCAGAAAGACAGGGACTTGTACGTAACCACACTTCCATTCCACCTATTTGCACTCGTAGCTAACCTGGTCAATAACATCGCAGTCCATGTCCCGCGAGGAATTGTACAGCAATGCTCTCACATTGACTTTGGCTGGCGCAGAAACCACAGCGAGTGCTTTGTCGGCGGTGACGTATATGCTGGGGACGCACCCGGACGTGAAAGCCAAGGCCGACCAGGAGCTACGGGCCACTTTCTCCAGGGAGTCGGAAATTGATATGCAGAGCTCAATGAAGCTCCAATACCTGGCTGCCGTTATAGATGAGGCATTTCGGTATCATCCGCCGGGGCCAAACGCTCTGTGGCGTCAGACTCCGCCCGAGGGCAACTGGATATTGGGGGAGTGGATTCCAGGCAAGGTGAATTCGCCAGAGTTATCTTTCCTTTGATCCAGCGAGACTAAGACAAACCATGACTCTAGACTATCGTGGGAATTCCTAGCAGGGTCATATATCGCAGCGAGTGCAATTTCAAGCGCGCTGACGAGTTCATCCCGGAACGGTGGTTGAGCGACGAAAAGGGCCCAGAATTCGCAAATGATCGCAGAGACGCTTTCCAGCCATTCTCCTATGGTCCTAGAAACTGTTTGGGCATGAAGTGAGAGCCCATCCATGTATGAGTGGTGTTTTTTCCCCAATTCACTAACGATAAATGTAGTCTTGCGAGAGCCGAAATGCATTACATCATAGCTCGCTTGCTGTGGAATTTTGATATCGAGCTGACTGCAGACAGTCGAGACTGGTTACATAGACAAAAGTCTTACCTGATGTGGGAGAAGGGTGGACTTTATGTCCATCTAAGGCTGAAGCAGCATGCGATTTGACATTTGAAAGGATTCACCAGGAAATCTGAATTGCCAGGGTGTCTGTTGTGCTGTATCGAGGGCGGTCTAGGAGTTGACGCGAATCCTTTAAGCCAGGTGACGATACTGACAGCCTTGTGCATTGCAGTTGAGCGAACGCTCTTCAGCGGGACACCTCGTCAATAGATTGAGTCTAAAACTATGCTGAGTTTTCACACACACTAGCGAACTTTACATTATCAATTGTGTTCTGCCGGAATGCTTTGAAGTATCTCCACATAGATAGTACATGTTGTTTTTAGAACCTCGAATCGGCCCAATTCATATCAGTGTCTCTCATCTCGTGTCCTTAATGATGTCCAACCTAGTCTTAACTTTCTCCAATGAGCTCATTTGCCTCACCCGTCAATCAATCTCTTTTCCAGCCGTGTCCACATGGACCATTGTTGCTCCAACCAAAATCACTCGGTCGGTCTTGGTCGCTTGAATGGTTACAATTTCCATAAGAAATGATTACGTTGAATGTCTCATCCTTTGAAAACAGCTGACCCGCAACGCCATTGTGAAAATCGCCTCCACAGCACGTCGTGACTAGAACGCCTTGTAATTAGACAGCTATCCACCATAGGGCATGTGTATCACAACAGTCTCTCCACATGCTAATCTCACCACGCATAGGATGCTCATGTGCCAGAACCTTGCTATGGCTGACCGCCATAGTTTGGGGGGTGTGCGCCTGGCGCGGATTGAGAAACACTTACGAATGTGGGACGTCCATTTACCCAGAGTCGGTCGGTCCATCGTGATATCTTCGTCACTATCCTGTCAAATGTGAAGATCAGTATTGTCGTGTCATACTGATAGCTCTTAGGTGGAAGGGAAGGTGCAGGTATCAACGTGCACAGAAAAAGCCACAACGCAGAGAGGAACCATAGCTTACATTGCAGATATAGACTGCACTTGTGTTTAAACACCATTGGCGAGAGCACTTTCGGGCAACCGCCTTTCCGATGACACCTTTGGCCTGTGGTAAGTCGGTGAGGATGGCGGTTTCAACTGCAAGCGAACACTGAGTTAGATACCAGCCGACGGAAAAAGAGGCGACCTCGTATACTGCACCCGCCGGTTGGAAAACTCACCATCTTCCCAGCTGGCAGTCGCGAAAAGTCCGCAAATTAACTTTCCGGCGTTTTCTGGCAAGGGATCCGGAGTATAGGCTTCTGTGACAGTGAGGAGTAGGGCCCCGAGCAAGGAAGCTGTATAGAGAACGACCATCATGACACACAAATATTCGTGGAAATAAAATTGCCAATCGAAACCGAATCTGCCGGTATCTTGTCGTGTTGAAACGTGAGATTGCATGTATCAACCATATTTCAAAGGATTGCAGTTGCATCGGGTTTTCAAAACCACTTCACTCAAAGAATCGTTGAGTCCTTGACAAAGAGATGACGTTCCGTGCATGTGGGTACTGCAGTGAAGCGCTCGACGTGACCTTGGTGTGAAAGGGAGGGGCAGGGGAAACCCTTTGGAACTCCCGTTTTATGCTCAATCACCTATGGAAATTGGGGGAAAAAGTGAAGCAAGCCCTGAATACGGTCTTTCTATCCACATTTCCCAAATCACAAATGAGTTATATGAGAGATTCAGGCCTGGAAATGTGAGATTTGTTCCAAATACGGTCCGGGCTTTCAGATTTATCATTGCGAATTATCGTAGTTTCCTCTTCCACTCCCATATTATACTGGTCTTAATTGTGCTCCCTCCACTAGCAGCATGGTCGACTTCTGATGGCAGAAATTCAATCAGCGAGATCCAATTCTGAGACTATAGGCTACAGTATAGCTACGTCAAACACCTGTCGACTCACGTTGGCTGACTTTGACATTGTAACTTGAGCATAAGAACTAGCTTCCAGGGGCGTATATTTAACTGTTTTCCATCCCATGGAGATCAAGACGATGACAAATGTCGAGGAATCTGTCGAATGCTCTACAGCGAAGCGTACTGGTATCGAGCAAAGAACTTGGCCGTCTAACAATACGCTTCGTGCAGAATCGTGCTTATAAAATCTGCTCTTCTGCGCATATCTTGTCCCATAAGATCTCCCTACCATCCATCAATGAGTGAACTCTATCAATGATAAATCATTCAATCAACATTTGAAAGAACCATGCTCTAGGGTGGGTTCTTGATTCGAAGACATCTCGTTGGATAGCTCACATGACTACGTGGAATTCGAGAACATAATAGCACCGCGTCTTATCGTACTGGCTGAATCACTCTAGGCATTGCAGTTCGGCTAGAATATTCACTGGAAAACTCATAATGAAATGTACGGCGGTGTGAAAATCCGGCGATAGTCCGACCACACCAGCCAAGAGTCGGTCCCGCACACCGCATCAATAAGGTTCATTGAAGCCCACTAGCGATCAGACCTCCGAACATGCAATGTCAGTGACAGAACCCTCCGAACACAATTCGGCACCATTTTCCGCATACGGACCTGCAAACACGACCACTGACTTGTCTGCGAGGCATTGCAAATCCCAGCACTGAACTTGCGATGGCTGGTCCTTCGCCGTCCGGGGCTTCCAGCACTTGGGTTCAGTAACCCTCGTCAGGCCCGTTACTCAGGAACGCTATCATGCCTCGTCCTCCGCGCCCGCCCATGCCGTCATGGTCTAGCATCTTCACACAGACGTGGCCTCCCAAGCCGCCATTCACCGAGAAAGATGTGCCGAATCTTCAGGGCAAGGTGCGTAATGGCAGTCTCAGAGACGCCGAAATGGCATAGAAACACTGATTCAGTACCGCTAAAAAGGTCTTCATCGTCACGGGCTCCAACACAGGAGTGGGCAAGGAGCTAGCACAGATACTGTACTCCAAAAACGCCAAGGTCTACATCGCAGCTCGCTCCGAAGAAAAGGCCAACCGTGCAATCGACGACATCAGACAGGCCTGGCCGCGGTCCACAGGAAACCTGGTCTTCCTACCCCTGGACCTCGCAGACTTCAACAAGGTTAAGTCAGCCGCGGAGCAGTTCTTAGCCAAGGAGACCAAGCTCCACGTGCTCTTCAACAACGCCGCAGTCCAGGCACTGGGGGACAGCAACGGGCAGACCAAGACGGCGCAGGGCCACGAGCTGCATCTGGGCGTCAACGTCCTAGGCGTGTTCTTCCTCACACGGCTGCTCACCCCCATCCTTGCGTCGACTGCCGAGGCCGAGCCGCCGGGGACGGTGCGCGTGGTGTGGGTGTCGTCAATGGGGACCGAGGCCGTCGGCGAGAAGGGCCGGGGCATCTCCACGGACTACCTCGACTACTGGCCATCGCTGATGCCCCTGGAGCGGTACGGCGTCAGCAAGGCCGGCAACTGGCTCCACGGCGTCGAGTTCGCGCGCCGCCATGGGGGCGACGGCATCGTCAGTGTTCCTTGTAACCCGGGCCATCTCCGCTCGGACCTCTACCGTGAGAGTGGGTGGCTGTTCAAGGCGGCTATCAGTCCTGTTTTGTACCCACCCGTCTACGGGGCTTATACTGAGCTCTTCTGTGGGTTGTCGCCAGCCATCACTATGGGTGAGAATGGAAAGTGGGGTGAGCGAAACTTGACCCATCGTGTGTTCCATGGAAATAGCGAAGACTGATTGTGTTGTGATTTAGTTGTTCCTTGGGGTCGGATTTATCCAATCCGCAAGGATTTGCAAGATGCTACGAAAACAGAGGCTGATGGTGGTAATGGGCATGCTAGAAAGTTCTGGGAATGGAGCGAAGAACAAATACGTGACTATTGTTGATTGAAAAATTTGGAAATTCTCATGTCATTACAGGCTCGTACCATAATTATGGATGATCGAGGCCGGATTGCTTCTGTCCGTCCTAGACGAAAAGGAGATAGCATTGACGTCGTGGTGCCTTGCATGCTTGACTACTTGTATAGCTTAAGATCTTGGGCCTTTGGCACCTTGCAAGGCTTTGAGGACGTCCAGAAATTTGTTTTCACGGCACAGATCGTCTCACTGTCAACATTTTTGGGCTTCGTTCACAGTCATTTTGGGGATCTCCAGTGCGGGCTGTCTTGGGAGTCGACGAGATATTTCAGTGCCGCCATGATCGAGGTGAATTACCGCCAAGTGTTCTTGGAGATAAGCTCCATGCCAGCCATTTGATGGGGTTGTAAAGCATAGACTAGGAGTGAAATGGCATTACATGGGTGAACACCACTTGTTGATCATCTCGCACAATTTCTTCCCATGCCCTTGTTCGATACTCGCCCTGGTATCCTCCTACATAATTAGGAGCTGGCCTCATGTTTGAACAAATCAATTACCCACCCATTACAACATCGTGTTATGGCGTGCGGTGCTCACTAAGGCCAAACTTTACGAGGGCGATGCTGAAATAGTCACCAACCCCTTCCTCGTCTCTGCTACAAACTCTTGCATGGTTTCAAGCGGCACAGAGTAGAACCAGAAGCCGAAGAGTGCCACAATGTAGCCGAGCAGTTGAAGTGCGCCGATTGGCGTGCCCCAGACTAAGACACCGGCGACGACAAGGAGGATAGACTTGAAAATGCCGGTCAAAGTCATCACCAGGCTGCTGGTCTTCCCAATCTAGGTAAAGGTCAGGTACCGGTCTTCTTTTCGTATTTCGTAGGATAGGAGACACTCACCAGGAAGAGGCTGGCGATGTTCAACATAAAAGCCACGGAAGCATTGATTACCAAGACGACTGGTCCGACTCTGACGAAATCATCCATCTTGAAAGTCTCCATCTCGGTGTACCAGACCAAGAGGAAGTTCATGACGGCACAAACGGGAGCATAGTAATACAAGCTGACCAAGGGGTCCATCTTCTGGCCGTCTCCAGAAAGCAAGACCTGGGTCATGACCAGGCGGACTGATTCAAATGCAATACCAGTGATCTGGTACCAGAACCCCATCCATTGAAAATGGATCTCTCCAAAGCTCGCTAGCGCCACGCCGAAGACAATGACGAGAACTTTGAAAAGGACCGACCAAGATGGACTGGCAACTCCCCAGATCCAGCTGGTGAAGAGGACTGCGACAGGGGACACCGACTAGAGTTGGTCAACGCCGTCAGCGAATCATGGTTGATGCGCATTCCAAGAAAGCAACCCAGACCAACCTTGAGCATTTGGATGAACGGCACACTGAGGTAAAGGTAGGTCAGGTTGCTGCAAACAAGGCTGCCGCTGTAAAGAAGTCCGATAGGCATGATGGCACGCATGTATGTGCGACCCGTCATCTCAACATCTTTCCGGCCGTCAAGCATTCGTGTGGTCCGGGCCAGGATCTGTGTAGAGATGGCGGAGAAGGTCATGTGCCAGCATGTCAGAAATATCGCTGCACCACCACTGACATTAGCCATCGGACGCGTACGCGCAAGGCACTGAATGGTGCTGAGGATACTGACGGTATGCTAGGGCGAATTTAGAATGTTAGCTACACTGGCGTTGACACGGAGACGAAGGGCTGGGAAAACACTCACGAAACCCTGCAGTATCAATCAACCATTTGTTAAAGAGAATGGTCAGGTTGGAAAAGAAAATATAGGTCCTGCAGCGTGTGTGAGACGCATGTTAGCTGCAGGGCATGATAAGCAAGGCAAGTGACAGGGGTTCGTACGCGATGTAGAAGGCTGGATGTGCAGAATAAGCTGTTCCTCCGGTCGTCCATTGCTTCTCCGTTATTGGGAGGGACATTCTTGAGTTGAAGATGGCACCAGTAGGCATGGTGATGTTGGCGGGTGAGTGGTCAAGGAATAGGATCGCAACAGTCAAGTCGGCCACAGGAGGGCCGGTGACAGATGAGCATCAACAGCACCCATTGAGTGTGGTTACATTGAGGTCCAAGGTGGCTATGGTCCAAGGTTATGATGAGGATCGGCGCAAAGGGCGCTGCTGTTGTTGTTTTGGTGGCGGCGGCGGCGGCGGTGACTGGAATCTCGTTTGGAAGGAACAACTGCCCAAGCTGGCGAGTTGTTGTTGCTACTTGACAAATGAGCTGTGTCGGCCAGAAACACGTCTCTGCCTTGTGCTTCCAGGGCCCCAACATTTTCAGGGACAGCGGAATTATCAATGGTGAAAGGCTGCATGGCAGACTGATTCGTTGTAGGTGACGTACTTTCCGAGAGAACGGTAATCTATCCCTCTGTGCCAGCTGAAGAACTGTCCCAGAGCCAGGCAATGTTTACTGAAATTTCTGTAGATGAGTCGAATCGCTCTTAAATCAGCCAAACTAAGAGAGCGTCATTGAATTAGGATGATCAATCAGTTGAACCACCAGCCAGAGTCTGCCTGTCTAACGTGAATCTCAGAAGGCACTGTGCTTCAGCTGGGCTGAAAATATTCGACGCCAACACCAAAGCAACAGCTGTCCCACACTGTTTAAGTTGGTACTACAAAGGGAGTGACGTCCAGTTTGCCCTGCTCAGCATGTATCACCTCAACCAAGCACACTACTGCACGTCTGTTGCATTGGCTTGTCACACGCTCTACTTTTCCTTGCCACTGGAGATGCCGCCAGTGGGTTTTCCCTCTCTTCAAGTGCACGACTTAGCCCACTTCAAGGGCCGCAGTCCCTCCCTGCGGTCAAAATAAGGTTTATGAGGCTTTCGTGGGGACATTTCTGGGCCTTGGCCCATTGCCAAAGTAGATCGCCGGCAGGGATCCATGGCTAGAGTCATGGCTCGTCCCGCTCAGGAGAGCAAGCAGCAGATCGCGAGATTGACGACGGCCGGTTCCTTCTACGATCTGCCAAAACTTTTATGTCGACCCTCCCTCGTCAAAACTGTATTTCGAACCGAGAAGCGAGTCAAATGGTTTATCGGAATACTGTCAGCGGCTTTTTCCCCTGGCTTCAATCCCTATCTACACATGGAAAATGCCATCTCTGAGACCAGGCGGCCCGAGCCAAGGGAGGGTCATTGTGGCTGGAAAGGGGTAGCTCCAACGTCCTCCCTTCGTGGCTGGGACGATGCTCATGCGTTCTTTGCCATGATGAAGAACGCCTCGTTCGACTCTTTTGTAGCAGACATCGTCGGCCCTCTTGCGAACCCTCACAATGATATCGCTCAATATACCGACCACTCACAATGGCAAGGTGTTCACAGCAGCAGCGGCACTCGTCTTGTGCTGGACCATCGGCCTCAACCTGCCCCATCGAGCAGACGACGAACATCTGACTTATAAGCCATCATCTATCAAGTTTGGGCCGCCATACCTCTCCCGTCCAGAGAAGGGCCATGGAGTTGCTTCATCGGATCTTGCGACCCTGTCGGACCAGACAGAGGAATTTTGCTCCCATTTCCATCTGGAGGTTCACAACTCCACAATCATACAGGAAGACGGTCAAGTAATACAAGGGCCCCCAAGGAAGATTTACGACCTACTGCTCATCGACCCTGGAACTTCACTGGATGCGCTTGAACTGCACCTGGCACAGATGTCCCCGTTCGTGGACTTCTTCGTCTTACTTGAGGCTCCAACTATCAAGCCTCCCGCTCCGGAAGTTGCCCCTGAGCCTCAATGGTGGGAGCGCGATCTTTCAAAATTATCCGGTCCCAGCTCTGTGTCCCCCCCTGACGATTCGGACATCGACGCCCCGCATATTCTGGACCAGATATGGGATACCGTCCTCTATCCCTACCACAAGAAAATCATACGTCGAAACCTCTCTCAATCCTCGTCCGACTTCGCCCCCGGTAAGGATCATCCAGCGGCGGCTCGCAACGCTGTTTACTCACAAGTCGTACCGCTCCTGATGGGCTCTCAAAAGGCGGCATTAGGAGATGTGCTGTTGGTGTCGGACGTCGAGGAACTTGTGCGTCCTGACACCATGGAGGTTCTGAGATATTGCCAAATTCCCCAGAGGGTAACTATCCGGACGAGGAATTACTGGTACAGCTTCCAGTGGTTCAAGATCGAAAATCCCAAGGACACAGCAAAAGAGAAGAACCCTCCGAAGAAGGCACTGCGATCTCTGCATGCGCGGGATGAAATAAAAGACAGGGACGCAGCGAAGGAAGACTCCGATGGCTCCAGCCCCGAGTGGTGGTCACATCCCCAGGCGACCTTGTACCAGGGGCCAGAGACTGTTTTCCCAAATGACCTACGCAAGGACAGATCCAAAGATGACTACGTCTTCGGAAACGGGGGTTGGACCTGTCAGCTTTGTTATGGAACGATCACGAACATACTATCCAAAGCAGGTCAGCAAGGACTAATCTGGTATGATGGTCCTCGGTGGAAAGGTGCCGGTAGAATTGTGGACCGAATGAGGAGGGGCGTTGACCTGTGAGTTCACAAGTTTCTGCGAAAGACAATATTAGAAACGATTCACTAATAATGCCATAATGAATTTCTAGCTTTGATCGGACTGAACTTAGCCGGATTGAGTCCAACCCCGACATACCCTCATTCCTCAGTGTCAACGCACATCGTTTTCCATGGTTGCTTGACCGCGACCCCCACGGCGCCAACTTCAAGGATTTTAACGAGGCGGAGTTTGCACAATACCTCTCTAAAAAGAAAGAAGTAGACGCTGAGAAGGATACCGAGGTCGCGTCCGCGCCGGGCAAGGTCTGGAATCTCGCCAGCACCCAGGCTCACAACGATCCAGAGTTTGCACCGTCAGACAAGGACTTGCCCTTGTCACCAGGCCCGCTAAATGATCTACCTCCGTTGAAGCTTCCCCCGCCGCCGGAACTGAGCGATGCAGACAAGGCATATCTGAAGAAGATCAAGGAGAAACCCGGGTCCATGCTGACGGTGACAGAGATGGCGCTTTTGGACCAGCTTTCGATGGGTGAAAATGCTCTGCTGCCCCCGCTTACGTACGGGGAGGATTGATGGGTGCTCAAGGATAGGTTGATTAGACACGTAATCCGTCCGAACTGATTCCGTCAAGCCTATTTTCAGTGAATCGGGTATCGCGAGCCTCACATTCTAATTGTCACGTAATGTCTCACCCGCGATTTAAGCACTCGAAGGGTGGCGGGAACACATTATCCCCGGCCATGGCGGGTATATTTCCTTTACGTGTTCTCGTAGACGTTAATAAAAGAACAGTTCCAAGGAAGCATCATCGTCGGATTGCTCTTAGTCTTTGAGGTGTCATAACTTTTGAAGCAAATTCTCCAACAACTAGCTCATCACACGCGTTCCGAAATAGCCGGTGTTCAATGTCGTGTGCCATCCTGATCCAACCTACTTTTGCGAATACTCTCGAAGTCTTTCTCACGTTCGCCCTTGGGCTCGCTCACTCAGCTTTACCTTCATCTTACAACTATCGACAGGCTTGGCAGTGACGTGAGAGGTCTGAGTATAAACATTTAGCTCGAAACGTAAGAAACGAGGGTTTTACCTTCCACGAAAACTTACAGTGAAAAGCGTAGACTTGGTCTTATAATACCCCTTGTCATCCAAAATAGGTTTCTCCTTCTCGTCCAGCTCGAACTCGCCCAGGCCGATCTTGACGAAGTCGTACTGCCTAGCAACACAGGCCAGTACGACGAGCGCCTCCATGTTGGCGAGCTCGGCCCCTGTGCATCTCCTGGGCCCGCGCTCGTATGGCCTCCACGCGCTCTCCGGGATGCTGGCCGCCTCGGGTCCAATCCATCGTTCGGGTACGAAGTCGTCCTTGGTCTCGCCAAAGATCTTGGGGTCGCGCTGGATGATCTTGGCCACAGGCGACAGCGTGAGGCCGTCGACGGGGAGTTGGGTGCCGTCAGGTAAGGCGAGAGTGGTTCCAGAGCCTTGGGGGGAGACTCTTGCTGTCCCGCCTGGCGGGTAGAGGCGGAGGGTTTCTTTGATAACTGCATTGGTGTCTGTGCCGTTGAGTGTCAGTTCTGAGTGTCTTGTCACCTAGGGTTGAAGTTTGGAATAGATTTTGTGACTTGGCGTGGCGAATACAGACTACACTTAAAACGAATGCAATAAAACGTAAAACCTACACGTCAGACGAGCCACAAGCTTCCCTGCTTCGGGCCCCAGTAATTTATCGCTGACAGCACTTGGGCTGGGGTCAGGGCCAAGCACCTCGTCAAGTTCGTCCCGCAGAGCCTTCTGAGAGGCAGGTCGCCTGGACAGTTCATAGAAGGCCCATTGCATGAGAATACTCGTAGTATCATGGCCAGCAAATAGGAAACCACGAATCGTGTCGCTGGTTTGCTGTAGTATTTGTGGAGTGAGCTTGTCAATGCCTTGGAGACTCAGCGCCTGTTGGATCTCGTAGTTAGCAATTTTGGCTGACATGTAGGTATCCCATGGGATTTTTTATTTGGTTGGTTGGTAATCAGAATTTTAGGGGTAATCTGGACGTGAAGAAAACATACCATCACACTACGTGAGTTCACGTCGCCAGCTAGCACTCTACTGTACCCTTGCCGAATCACATCTTTGAGAACGTCGTCCAGCTTGTTTGAAAGTCTTCGAATATGCCGTCCGACCCACCATTTCGGTAAGGGAAGCTTGGACGGCCGTGCGGTGATGAAAGCAAGCTGACACTCCCGATATGCTGTCAACACAGGGCTTTCCTTGCCAGGAATTTGAGCATTGAGGTCCTGGTCGAATGTGACGATTCCGATCACATCGAAAGCTAAGTTGGTACAGTGGTCACCCAGACTGAATTCCTCGCCAGATTTTGCGTATCCTTCTAGGTAGTCCAAGAAAAACTGGGTCTTCTCGACCATAGCCGGTAGGAGGGTCAGTAGATGATGTGGAGCAAAACCAGGGATGATCCTCTTTCGCAGATCTTTCCATTCATCACCCTAGTTAGTATTGACCGATTAGTCTCCGCAAAACGCGTGTGATTTTGATACTATATTTGTCGATTCGAAGGCCTTTAACTCACGTCCAAGTTAACAAGAGAGCGCTCTCCAACCAAAGGGCTCAGGTTCTTCATATTCGGCGTCTTTGGAATGCTCGTGCTGAACTTCTTTGTAGCTCTTGTGATCTGGTCCGCGACATCGTGGTCCGTAATGAACAGTAATGGAGGCTCTCTGGGACGGAGGTCGACCAAGAAGACCGGCGGGCTTCCATATTTCGCAACCTGTTCCAGTAGCACCAAATCTGAGGATAATTCTCGTGTCAACAACCATGACCTCTATAGGTGAGACCATTGAATCTGGAATGCTTGCTGCTTCATCGATCAAATTGAAGTGTAATCACGCACCGAACGATCGCCTCGGATCTCCCGCACCAACAGACTCCTCAAGCCATTTCCAATGACCGGTCTGAAGCTCATTAGTAAGATTCCAGGTTTTCATGAGCAAGAAAACAAAACTAGAGAGCTAGTCGTCGAGAATTTGGGTGTTTGATGCATCTAACGCAGCAACTCGTCGATTGTGGAGAAAGGCTTATTTTAAAGCACGTACCTTCCATGAGGGTTTTCCTGGCTGTGGGAAGCCCACAAATGGCTTGAATGGATAGTTCTTGAACTTGTTGAAAATAAGAAAACCAAGCAGCGGAATGGCGGCTAGCAAGACAGTGAGAAGTCGCTCGTGCATTGTGATTCTAAGTGTGCCTCAGGCACAGAGTATCACGATTATCTCAATCAGGAGAGCAAGAGGGGCGACAGCTTCAGTATTGGGTGCAGTCAGCAGCATTATCCATGGGGCACTGATCATCTTATAAGATCGATTGATAAGATTAGATATTATTCCCGGTCCATGCATGACCCTACCATCGCCCGTGGGGGGTCGCATCGTGCTCACCACCACAACATGACACTCCCCCAATGAGGGACTCGGATCAAGCCAAATGACGAAAATCTAATCCTTTGGCCTCGGTATCACATCCCAGAATGCCTTTTGGAGCAGTGATCCCCGTCTGCAGACTCTCCTCATCAGAGCAAATGGCTGCAGTGTTCCAAGTCTATACTGGCAGGTAAGATGGGCAGAGGAGGCACAGATGACGTTCAGCGTATCACAGCTTACACATTAATGAGGGGATCTGCGGTGACTGAAGCTCGAATTCCACCACTGGCTGATCTTATCGACAGATGCAATAGCTCTACCGCCTTTGTTCTCAAGACATCCATACCAAACGCCTTACTTGAAGTTTGTGGTGTGATTCACAGAAGCTACTTAGTTACCCAACAGTCAGCGTCAAGTTCCCGAAAAGCTACCACCAATAGCTATCAGCCAGCAGCAACCAAGGTTGATCGTCCGCCCACTTCCCGTTCGGACCAATCTTCATCGATATTGGGTGCTACCATTTTTCGCCTTTATGGCGTTGGTCCCGCGATGAACGATAGTGGTCTAGTCACTGGGGGAAAAGAAATAAGACACAAATAGCAACGGACGAGATTCATGACCTGCGCAGTACTCTCTAGAATGAAGCATCATTCAAGTTCGAAGTCCCGAGAGATAATAAACCTTTATAACAAAAGCTAATTGATGCTCAGGGCAACGAGGAGCCTTTCATTCATCACAATATGGTTGCGGCAAAAAGCAACGGCGAAAACCAGCAGAGCAGGGTTGGAAGCTTGCTGGTATCGCCAGACCTGATCAAATATCACCACTCCTGAGGGCGCAAAGATCAATTGCCTTTGCCTCAGTACCCAGAATGGCTCAGCGAGGCTCACATTCTCCTGCATAAGCACTAGGGAGATGTCAAATAATGATTCTAACATGATAGCCTTTGCAAGTCATAGCCTACACTTGTATATTTTGGATGGTATATCACCATTGCCCATGATGACTAGCAAGTGTGGCCAGGCTGAGCGCGGCGAGTTCGGCGGCCCACATTGTTTCACGCATGTGCTGAGTTGTGATCTCTGACTTGGATCAAGCAATCCCACATCAAGATGTCCAACAGTTGGCACCCCAAAAATTCAAGAATCATGCCCCTGAGTTTTTTTAATCAAAGTCAACGGGGAACTTCTATTCATTTCTCGACAACACGCATAGATTTGCGTTGACTCGTGACACGATTTAAGCGAACAGCGCACAGTCAACGTCATTTCGGTGTGTCCTAAAGAAACTGAAGGCCAGGAGGATTTCAGAGCTGAATTCTGCCGCTTATGCCATGGGACAAAAAAAGAATTCCTTTTTGGTACACATTCTGATAACGGCTCCGCCGATATCAAGCTGAACTACACTGCAACCGTGGCAGCGGTCAAGGCGACCCTTGACATGTCTTAAAATGTTCACACTATATTGAACTTAAGATTGGAACAAGATCACTGAGGAGACTCAACGCTACATATCATGCCACAAGCCGAAGGAATAAGAGGGGGTGTTATTTTTCAAACAGAAGGTGGGACATGTTCCGCTATTCTCATGAAGTGAGAGACATCGAGAGCAACAATGAAAGCTGATTTTAGAAAATATCTTAAACGGCTTAGTATACATATAGAATGTTTGAAGGGTTTCCAAATCAGAAATTTAGTTGAGAATTGGTGGTCGTCACACATTGCCCCCTTATGTTCACGCTGACGTATCACTCGAACTTTCCAAAAAAGACGTCGATAGCGACGTGTTAGGGTACTTTGAGCGTTTCTTTCAAATATAGTCTTGTTTGCGAATTGTTTTGAACAACCAACGCTGTGAGAAGTGGTTTCCTTGCCGTCTTACTACCGAATACATAAGACGGGTGGGTCGATAGGAACTTCAAAACCGACAACATATATCAATTCTTACATCTGTAGTGTGACTGTGATGTATCAACATAGGATTAGGCAATCAATAGGATTTACGTGACTGTGTTTTTCAAATTGCCCAATGAATGTCAAAGAATTTACATATTGCAAATCAGAGAAAACCTCTTTCAGGTATTGTAAAATCAAGGGAGGACAATGTGCTGTTGAGGGAACCACGACACTGTATAATAAATGCGACGAGCTTTTTGAATGTCTGACTCGCCCTGAAACTGAAGCTAAACAGCAAGAAGATTCTCTGCCCACATGGGGTCCTATCTGAAGTTGATTTCATCTCATTTCTGGACTGGTCACAGAATGACAGTGGTGGGCCATGTTACATAAGCTCTTGGAGTAGCAGAACGATAAGATGCTCAAGTGACACTTGATCACCAATACAAAATCCTTTCCCTCCCTTGAGCCATATGAGAGGCATATGAAGATTGAATTATTGAGGCATTCAATAACAGTCTGTGCTGAAGCGTCTCCTTCGAAGATTTTCTGGCCCATCAACCATGATAGCCACCTTCCATGAAGATAAGAAGGGCACAGTGTCTCCTACGTGAAGCAACTCAAAACGCGAAACACGGACATGACGAGCCACATCACTGAATACTGAAGATGCACAACCCGGTAAAATTCCATGGAATAGAGGATGTCTCAAAGGCATTTCTGCTGATGAGAGGAATGATGAAACTCATAGACCACTATGGGAGCCTGGGCGATTTGTGTTTCAGGTGGAAAGTTTGACATCAAACAACGCACAATTGGCCAGACCGACGAGGAAAGGAAATAATATGGATCAACATGAGTCGCCACCGCGCGAAATGTCTGCGAGAGCGGTGTGCTGGGGGTCTCGAACTGTCGAGCGCGCTTATCTTTCCCACAAATATAAACTCTTTCTCTCCACAACAAGCGACTTTGCTTGGCCATCATGCTTGGCCGTCCAGCTCATCGCCCAGGACGGAGACATGAAGTCACCTCCTCGGGGCAATGGAAGTTTCTTCCTACTGCAGCGGGTACCGAGAGCGAGCCCAACCCCCCAAGCAAGGCAGCAACACCCCCAGCACTCAACCACGCTGGCAGCATCATCGGCCCACTAGGCCCAAAGAGCGAGTCCAACTGACCGTGTGACATCAGAGTGCCTCTTCCGAGCAGATCTGTGGCCTGAGCCGGGAAGGAAAAGACAAGCGAAAAGGATGGGATCTACCAGGGGAGGGAGGGCAGTCCCTGACCACTCTTCTGCGGCGCGAAGCTTTCCCCCGGGGGGAGGTGTGTCTCTCTGGGCCGATCCCAGCCCGATTCGAGGCAAGACTGTGCGTCAGATATACTTCGAATGGCGGCACGAGGGGATAACGTTATCTTGCGCATGAGCATGGTGAGTCTTGACCGACCTCTCGGGAGGCCCACAAGGGCCAGAGGCAGCCACCTCCCCCTTCGAGCAGCAGCAAGCAGTGCCCAGGGGCAATGTCGGCCGGTCTTGACCAGGCCCCACGAGAAAAGTGTTGACAGATCGACGAGACCACGTCTGGGAACGGACCTGGGGTGTCATGTCGTAGCCCAGAGTTGCAGTTTTCAACGGTTCGTGAGAACCAACGGTTTCGGTGAGGTTTTTTTTCTCTGTCTTGTCTGTGTGTCTCGTACTCCATCACCATCCTGGGGAGAAGAGATAGGCGATCGAAATATATTTAGACTCCTTTTCGGCCTACATCCGTGAACCATGCTATTTTTAAAAACAACCTCAAACAATACCTCACCGCGACTATCTATTAGCGCGCCTGTAAGATGGGGGAGTCATGAGGGAAGGGAAGGCCAGGAGTGGCTGGTTGGTGGTCCAGGGGCCGCGCTCCTCGTATTCACTCCCGCATCCATGCTGGCTTGCTTATCCACCCGACTACCACGGGACAGGCACGGAGACACTCGGAGGCCAACACAAACCAGAGACAAGAGCCTTTCGAGTAACTTGAGCTCTGAAGAAGACTAGCCTACTGAAAGGGTGAAATGTCAGCCCTGAGGTCGTTTATGCGTCACGGGAAAGGATGACAGTTTACATGGCCCACATGGTCCTGCTAAGGGACTTGCCTAAGTAGGCAGCGAACAGCATCACAAAGTACCAAGAACGTGGGGAAAGATTCTGCGGATGAGACACAGTCAATGCCAAACGTGTACTGAACACATGAGATTATCATTAAGTATTAGATCCCCTGCAAGCAAGCACTCAGGCCGCTAGCCGACCCGAGCTCGGCAAGAACAGAAACCTTATCGATGACAATGCCTGGGAATTGACTGATCCTTTGGGGGATCACGATGTGCTGCACACTTCTGATGTTGCCTTGCTTCAACCGGGGTCCTTTTTTCATAAACAAGCTTAAGCGCACTACTTCACGCACTGTCTGAGATCTTCTTTTGATCGAGGGCTATTTTTACGCCCTGAACGCCATATTTCCTTCCGTGTGATAGCAGGACACAATCTGCTCACAACCCTATCCTCCATGATCCACAAATTCAGACAAGCCAAAGCCAAACCAAAACGCCACGCCATGCAAGATTACTATCTTCCCAGCCTCCAGTGGGCATCCCACCCACCGAGTCCGAGCCTGCCTCCGTAGTGTGAAATCCAAAAACAACAGTCGCTTATGCAGTAGGGTATCATGATCATCATCCGTAAGGAGTGTCGTCTATGTCGAAAAATATCCGCCATAATTGTTGGTGCAGCCAAAGGAGTGTCTAATATGCATTCATCCGTGCCGATGTGTGGGAAAGGAACGTCTAGAGTGGGTATCATCGAGTTTGAATAAAGGAGTGTCGGGACGTATCTGGCGATACGTCATATAACCGAGTTTTTGGAACAAAGGAGCGTGTGCATGTATCTTGTGACACATTGCGAAGTTCGTGTGCTGATTTAAAGGAGCGGCTGGGCGACGATGCGCACCTCAGGACGAAAATCCTGGCGAAGGACAATCGATCGTTGTGGTCGAAAGGAGCGTGTTGTGCAATTGCGGCTGTGTTGGAAACGAAAGTCGAGCGACAGCTCGAACAGGATTAAAGTATTAATGAAGTTGTCGAGGATCCGCGGCTAGAGCCTCTCGAGCGGTTAGGAATCTTCATGGAGTGCTCCTTCTCTCCTCAGCCTGGTGGTGATAAGTCGGTGGAGCGGAGGCCGTGGAAATGTGTCGTTGGTGCGAGTATGGATGCGAGTAAGCAACAACAGGAGACTCAGGGACCGGGAGCATCGAGAAACCCCCGGGGGTCAGGAAAGGAGACTGAGAACCAGTTGGGACCGATGGAAACATGGCATTCTCCGGTACTTGTTGAGTGGGAGTTGTGCTCAAGAAAGGCGAATGAGTCCTGTCCACGAACAGTCAATTCACTTTCTCGCTTTCCGAGCGGTTGCGGCCAGATGGACCTAGTTCCACACAGGCTGGAGTTGTGGAGTGACGAACCCAACGCCGTATGGCCCGCCCAGTTGGGAGTGGGTGCCGGCGAAACCCATATCGTAGGAGCCATAATCCTCGTTGTCGCTGTAGAAGACCGGTGAGGCTTCGTAAAAGTCATCTCCGACGCTGGAGGCCTCGCAGGTGCTCGAGACCGGGCTGTAACAACCATTCATTGGAGGGGGAATGTTCAGATACTGCTGGTTGCTGTACGGAGAGGGCATGGCCATGGGGCTAACAGGGACCCCAGGAGCGCTGCTCTCCGTCTTGATGGACAGGTTCTCGGTGCTGTAGCTGAAAATCGGGTTCTCAGCATATCGAAGGCCGTCCGGCATTGGCGCTGTCGTCATTGGCAAGCTGAAGTCTTCAAAGACGCCAAAAGGTGAAGGAGGAGCCGGTGCGAACCAACCCATGCGGTTGCGGAACTCCTGTACCAATTGCGTGGCGTAGTCCATTAGCTGAAACAGGGACTGCAACTCGGGGTGATGTTCTGCCCCGTAGGATACGCTGATCGACTTCAGACGCCGAGAAATATCTTCCAGGGGCCCGATAGAGAGGCTGCCAAAGTAAGCAGCGCCGATCTCGGGGAACATGCGCTCCATAAGCAGAGCCACGGCGTAGTAGTGGGCAATGATGATCAGCGCGCTCGGAGAAGCCTGGGTTTGCTGAAGCTGCATGACCGGAAGCCAGAAAAGCCAGTCTCTCAGCGGCTTGAGGCGTTCGAATTGATCAGCAACCTGCAAGGCCGGGTCGACCTTGCGAGTGCCTTTGAGAAAGCTGACCAACTGAGCGACAAGCTTGGTGTCCTCCCGATTTTGCTTCAACTGAGTTTCGAGTTTCTGAAGGTGCTGAAGCATGCGGGACAGAGAAGGCTCAACATCGTCCTTGGAAGGCAGTCTGGGCTTGTGGTCCGGTGTAGGCGACGGAGGAGCAGTTGGGAACGTGGCGGTCTCGGCCATGAAATCGGCGAACTGGGACTTGTCCTTCCAGCTGTCCATCAACTCAATAATCTAGGAGACGTCAGTATACACAAAATTTGCCGTAGTCAAAAGAGTTTTGAACATACCCCGCGAGTTCCCTGCATGTGGTGTGTCCAGCTTCGCCTAGATAGAAGTGGTCAGTCATGCCAATGTTTATTACCGCTGACCTGTTATTCGACAACTTACCAATCCGTAGCCTGCCAGGACAGCACAAGAGTCGCGCCCAGTACAGCATCTGAGTTCGCCTCACAGAAGGCATTGATGGCCTTTGACAGGCCAGTCAGAGCATTACCGCGGTGCTCAAAGGCCATTTTGCCAACCATGGGGCAACCAGTGATGCTGGAAAGGTGCTCTGCGGAGAATGCCAGGAGTGCGTCCATAACAAAGCGATGCGTCGTACCGATGCCAATGAGACTAGAAAAGCGTTAGCGATGCTGAATAGGTACAAAACTGTGCTGGTGTGTATCTAAGCCTTACGTTGGGATCTTGGAAGTCCACAGGGTGAATCCGTTGGCGTCAAGAGCATTGAGCTGAGAGCTAATGGAAGCGACGTGGTGGATCAAGCGTAGCTCCTCATAACTGTAGTACTGCGGCGCAGGGACAGGGTTGACGTCGAGGTCAAAGGGGAAGACGCCTGTCATGCGCCACTGATCGATAGCAGCCTCGACCTCGGGTGTCCACATCAAATCAGGAGGCCCATTGGGGCGGGCCTCCTGGACAGGAATGTCGTTGTACGGGCATCGAATCTTGTGCTTGGTGCAGTTCTTGCACTGAGGGAAGCTTTCATCACACCGGATATGTCGCTTCTTGCACGTATCGCAGCCCTTGCGGGACTTGGTGTGGCTATAAAACAAAAATTAGCACTCCCATGAATCACAGTTGTCATGTTCAAGATGCAAACTAACCTTCGTCGGGGAGGACCGCCGCCGGGACCAGCCATTTTTGAGGATGTTGATAGGATGAGCGAACTGTGTCTTCTATATCACGTTAGTGTCGCGAGCACCGACTAAATGTGGCACAGAATAGGGCACGAGTGTCTTGTAAAGAGCAAGGTCAACTAACTGTCTGAGATATCACACGCAATATTACGCGTGATACTGTAGCAAAAGCCTGCGGATCACAATAACGGAGGCCGATGCTGGCTTGGGTTCAGATTGATTGCAATGCTTGAGAGTCGTAGGGCTACTCGGATATTCCAGTTGGCGGGCCTAGGGCAAGGTGAAGCCTTTAGAGCTACAACGAGACAGATTTGGCGATCAAGTAATAAGAGGGTTTTCTTTCCTCGGAACTTGTGTTCACGATCCTATTCCCCTGGTCTTTACTCCCTAGCTTCTTGCTGGGTGGTAGCGAGCGTGGTGGGCTGAAGGATGTTGAAAAGCGAGTGTGGTCAAGATCGAAGGCTTGGGTTTACAGGAACATTTGGGCCCCGTATGCACGGTTGAGCTGCGTTGGCTTGGGCTGGTCTGGACTGAGATGAGCTGATTTGACCAGAAGTGATCTGAGCCGGGAGCCTGGGCAGCGTTGGGTTGGGTTGACGGGGGATATGAAGATCGGTGGGTGATAGCCGGGCTTCGATGGGTGACTAGACGATGCAGTGGGTATAGATAGCCCCTGGATGCGAGAGTTGAGTTGAGAATTGCGGGTACTGCTGCTAGTAGATGTTGCCACGCGGGGTCGAGGAGTCTTGGGTTTTTATGATGGATCAGGATCAGGAGATTTCAAGATGGCGAAAGGAAAACAAAAAGACAAAGCGAGTGACAGGAGTCGACGAGGACTTCCTAGGGGTTTTTTGCAAAAAGCGAAGGTGGGTTAGATGCAGCGACAGCGGCTGAGACGAATTTGGGCGCGATGACAAGTTTTGGAGATGATAGAAGCAACAGGAAGGGCCGAGGGGCAGGGTGGGAGACTGACAGTGTTAAATAAACCTTGAGCACAGAAACAGGAAAGCGCGGATCGCACTGGCGCTGGCATTGGCACAGGCAGTGGCATTGGCTGCTGTGCTGGCCTGGCTGGCAATGGCGTAGCCTCCTTCCCTCTCGCCCCCCCCCCCTGTCACCCTCCTTCCCCGATTGCATTGCCCCCCCCCTGCCCTGCTTCCTCGGGAAGGTACCACCTGGTATGGGTAGGTAGGCAGGCTGTCAGCCCGAGCAAGGACCGTACCCAGGTATTTTAGGTACTGCGTATTACTGGTACTCCTGGCACATACCTGCCTACAGTAGCGTAACCTACCTACTGGTGGCCTTCTCCAGTTGTGCCGCTTTCCACCGGAACACCTTGGAAGGTTGGGACTACCGTCAAATCGCAAAAGGTTGCAGGCCACACTGTACCTAGGTGTACTGCTGGTGTGCTGGCGCGCTGGTCAACATTGGAAGGGGGGGCAGCCGAAGGAGCTTAGCGGCTCTTCTTCGGGACATAACTTGCTTGAGTGGTACTGTACTGTGGAAGAAAAAGCTGTGACAGTGACAGTGACGGTAACATGCCCCCCAGCACCCAGCAGGAGGAGGAGGTACGTACATGGTGCTATGTCGCTTCCTTCCTGGCCATTGACGCATGAGGAGGCCATGCAGGGAAAGGGCTGCCTCGAAAAAGTCGACGGGTGAGAGCCGTACCGTACTGTGTATAGGACAGTGAGGACATCGACCCCAAGCCCCCAGAGGTACAAGGTGAGTACTCGGTCTCCTCCTCACTCGACGAGCGGGCTTCATCCCCACTAGACAAGGCGGCGATGCCCTTTTTTTTCCCATGCTGGACCCGGCTACTCGGTAACTAAAAAGTTGTTCGTTCACTCTCTGGACCAACGCTGCGCGACTTGAGTGCTCGAAGTTCCTGTTTGGAGTTCCCTGCATCGATCAACCGAGGCCAAACCAGGCTCACTCGAACCGGCACAGTCCTTAGGGGGGGTAAATGAATGTATTAGTCAAGTCAAGACGAAAGCGACAAGCCATCAGTCTTGGTACGGAACCGTGACTGATGGATCGTCTTGGGTGTGGCCTGAGCCAATGCGTGGGCAGAGGGCAGTGGTCAGTGGACAGTGGTCACACACGCTTTCTCGCTCTCTCTCTCTCTCGTCTGGTACTCGGGTCCCTTGGTAGTCCGGTACAGTGTGGCGATGACGATGGACGACTAGGAATCGACGGGAGCAGCCCGTCCTGGGCATGGAACAAGGGTATGGGCATGAGCCATGAGGCATGGGGCTTGGGGCATGGGGCGTGGAGCATGGGGCATCTGCCCAGGAGTAGGAGCAGGAGCAGGAGCAGGAGCAGTACCAGCAGTAGTAGGCATGAGCATGATCTGCCTGGAGGACACACAGTGTCCCTGTCTTGTCCCCCGTCCTCCGCCAGACTGTGATGTGCCCATTTTCTCCGCCCCTGGTGCTGGGCTGCTGGGCTGCTGGGTTCCTTGCTGCTCATCCCCACACAGACGTCCAGTCGTCGGGCTGCAAAAATGCACCGTCACATTCTCCATCTCTCCCAGACTTGACCATCGCCCGAGACCAGGCGAGCGCATCTATCCACTCGCCCACCAGCCCACCAGCCCAGTCCACCCAGGGGGGCAGCCTGTCCAACCTGTCCATCTTATTACCGCAACCCAACTGACACAGCACAGCACAGCACAGCACGGCACAGCACACCAGCAGCCTGGTCATGCGGCTGGGCAAGACGTACTGGACCGAGCTGGACTGCCCAGGTGGACTGCACTGTACTGTACAACGCCTTCCCCCTGTAGTCAGCGTAATGTCCTACAGGCAATTCACTGACTCAACCGGTCGATTTCCAGAAAAGACCTCAAGCTTCGGTTACATTTGCAACTAACCCCAATTCTGCACCGGAGTGGCTGGCAAGACCAACAAATGGCCGGTGACCCAACTACCAGAGCAACCTTGGAATTGATTCAGCGCCAATCGAGTCGCGGTGGCGCTCTACCGTGTCTGCCACGAGACGAAATGGGGAGTCCAGCGTCACGCCGTCCGAGCTCACACCATGCCGCAGCAGCACCGTCCACGCGCGCGCACACACACACACACATCCAGACACACACACACACACACCTACCCAGACATCCAAAGACCGTTATTGAGGCTGTGCAGTCCCACGATCCCCCGACCTCCCCCTGAGGCCTGACGACCAACCCCCCCGAAGTTTGTTTCCGAACGACCCCATTGTTACAAGTACTAGATCTCACTTCGGATTATTTTCATGTTTCGAATCCTAGTCTCTTTTGGAAAGGGGTGGGCAGATCACGAAAATCCTGTCCCAAACGAGAGAAAGAAAAGGAAAAGAACAGAACTCCAGTAGGAAAAGCAAAAAAAAAAGCCCAACTCCACTCACCGTTGCTGGAACGCTTATTCCTGCATGACATCTGCAAGTCGGCTCCACTGTACACAGTGCAAGGCCTCCCCCAGCACCTGTCGCCGTCGCTTGGTCAACATGGTGCTTGAGCATCGCCTACTCACACCACGAGCATGTCATCCGCCTCGCAGCTTACTTACATGATGGTCTACCCTGTAAAAGGCAGCATTAAGCATCTCACAATCATATGAAAAACAGGCGCAGCACTCCAAAGTTGTCAACTCTCGATGGCTTGTTACCTCCGTTTAATTGACGACCACTCAGGCGGAAATCCTTTAAGCACCCAGCAAGCGACAGCTATGGAATCATTCCTGCCGCTTTCGCCATTAGCCCTGTCCTGTCTGAGGAAGGCAAGCCTCCTTTTGTCTGACAGCGCCCTGACAAAGTTGTCGACGTCACACGCTGCTGCACGGCTGAAGTTCATTGAGATTCTGGCCCAGTCCGCCCGTGGCTCTGGATGAACAGCATTCCTGGAGCATTAGGCGTTGTCCATGAAGCACCTTGCATACCTTCACCCGCTCCAATGCTACTGGTGTGGTGGCATGCATTTATTGGATGCTTTCGACCCAAACTCAGGCCAAGTCAATCGCGGCAACCGCGAGAGAGTCTGTGCAAGTACTTCGCAGTCACCGGAGATTGGACAGTGCCCTCTCGCATCCCGAGCCTGTATTCATCCTTCCGAGCCATCACTGCCAGCCGAGCTCGAAACCAGTGGTACATGCAGCATATTGTTGAAGCAAGGCCTGTCTCTTAGCACCGCAAGGCACCCTCCGAAACAAGATGTCCACGCGCGTTGCTCCCAGTCGCATTCTCCTAAGTTAGGTGCACTACATGGAATATGACTTCTACTCATGGTCCACGATCCAACGAAATGACCTATTCTGTAAGCGTCTGACGACTGGATCACACAGCATCAAGACCACTCGAGTGTCCTGCTGTCAGGCCAATCTCTGAGGATAACAAACAGCTCCGAGAAGCATGTCATGCCAAGCATCACGTGGGCGTGAGATCAGTGCATGATTCTTCATGAGGCCTGCTTGTTCTCGATGGGCTGTGCCCGCCCATGTTGCCTGATTGTGTACTTGCGCCAGGGTGCCTGATCCGACCAACTCTTGGTGTGACTTCTGTGCCGTTTGGCAGACACAGATTACGTATGGTTACTACGACATGCTCGAGGTTCCACAGCTAAGATTGACGGAGTCAAGCGTGCGAAGACAGGAGGACGATGTCAGCGACACCAAGCCGGCGCGAAAAGGGGTAGCCCCGGACGGCACTGGAGTGTTGTGGGCAGACCTCGGCCCCAAGGAATCTGTCAACTCAAAACAAACAAAGCACTCAGGGATGCAAGGCATGATATGACCCGCTGGGTTAGAGTATCGAAGCAAACTGTATGGGGGTCGCCCAGGAAGGGCGTAGCATCCCAGTATGCACCGGCAAAGCCCGGGCATCCAAGCCGCACCTCAAGCTAAGGTCAGCGCGGCAAACCTTAGAGGGGCAGCCGCGGTCCACGCGCCGTGGAGTCTGTTCATTTCCACGCGAGCCATCTGGCGAAGAAGCCACAGCAACCGTGGAGACCCGAGCCGCTGACAAG